ATCGATTTGTATCAGATTCAAAGTTATGTGCGGACTGTATGCACCTACGGAGGGCGAGGTGTGGGTCGCTGGAACTACGGTTGGTGCAGATGTAGGGTTGGAAAATATGCTTGCTTTTCTCAGCAGTGGAGTTCCCTTACTACAGTGTAAACCAAGCAGTTGTGTAGATCTTGGTTTTTCAAGAGTTTAGGCTACGGAACGTCGCTGATCGAATCACACTGTTGATATTATTTCTAAGTTCATTTTCGACTTTCCGGAAATTTAACGCTTCGTGTAACGGTTTGGTTCACACTGTATAGAATTTCGAAAATAGATTTGAGTAGAGGTGTACAGAAACGAGAAGAAATTTCCTCCGAAAAAATTCTCAAAATTTTCGTATTGTCATCAATTTTTTCCCACATTGATCGATTTCAGACTTCGAAGTGTCGAAGGAATCTCGGCTATTGCCCGCAGTTCGACGCGCTCCTGGATCAGATGACCACGAAGGAGCATCTTGAGCTGTATGGTCGTTTAAAAGGGCTGAAAGGACATCTCCTTGATAGTGCAGTTGGGAGTACGTTGAAGCAGTTGTCTTTGGAAGCGTGAGGGCGTGGGTTCGATCCTCGGTGGCGATATTTTTCTGATACAGGTATAGGGATAAGCGCGCTGGAAGTCTAAGTGGAGGAAACAAAAGGAAACTCTCCGTGGGAATGGCAATTGTGAGTATTAGAGAGGATTTGGAAAATGAGAAGTGAAATGCAGTTCGGAATTTCCTATCATCCCAGCTCGAAATTTACGGAAATTTTGAAATTAAGGGAATTTTTTAATATCATTTTGGCATTCGTATAGGAAGAAATTCTGGTATAAACTCTTCATGCAATTCAGCGAGAAGAAACTTTCTCGGGAGTTTTTGGGAAAAAATTTTCGGTTGAAAATTTGTGTACTAGTGATTTAGTTTTTGGAAATCGTCTTAAATTCAGATCGGTCGACCCCGTATTGTATTCCTCGACGAGCCCAGCACTGGTATGGATCCTGTATCGAGACGTTTCCTGTGGGGAGTAATTCAACAACTGGCAATCAGCCGCAAAAGTGTTGTGGTTCTTACAACACACTCTATGGAGGAGGCGGAGGCGCTATGTTCACGAATAGCTATTCAGGTGAGTTAGTGAATTTTATAGGGGCTTCAGCAGTGTGGTCAATTGCATGTGATGAAAATCGCGAGGAAAATCTGGGAGAAGTTCTCATTGGTTTCTGTATACTCTCACTCGAGTTCGTATATAAACTTTCGTAATCTCTGAGAAATTCCCGAGCTCGGCTGAGGAAAGCGAAAATATAATATTTACTATATACGTTATAAATCGAGTTTCACCCGTTTTACGTGAAGTGGCGTAAAACTCGGTGAAAAAGGCGATATTCGCGGTGATATGCAGTAGTCACGAAATATATTTTTCACTAGTGTTTTTCATATCACGGTCGTGAAACTCCTATATATTGGAGTTTCACTCGTTTTACGTGAAGTGGCGTAAAACTCGGTAAAAAACGCGGTGATATGCAGTAGTCGCGAAATATGTTTTTCAATAGCGTTCTTCGTATCACGGTTGTGAAACTCCATTGTATAAAGCTGCTTTCAGGTGGGCGGCCAGTTTAGATGCCTTGGGTCTCCTCAACGATTAAAGAGTCGTTTCGGGAGAGGATATGAAGTGAGCCTCAAATACGACGATGTTACTGAGGTAGCGGCTGAGGAAATAAGAAGTAAGAGGAGTGGTAGGGGTGAAAAAAGGGAGGTGATTGTCTCCACCTCGAGTCGGGTAGAATGTGCGAAGTACTTCGGATGGTTTCAGAGTTGCTCGAAAAAAGTGTTAATAGGAAATCATTGGAGTTTCACCTGTTCTACGTGAAGTGGTGTAAAACTCGGTGAAAAACGCGATTTTCGCAGTAGTTGTGAATTGTGTGTTTCACTAGTGTTTTTCATATCGCGGTCGTGAAACTCCATTATAGATGATATATGTGCGTCCCTGGAATCTATGAGAAATTGCTGTTACGGAAGACACTATAGTTTCAACTGTGACGTGGAAACGGTTGAGAAGTAAAATGTGAAATATATTTCTTTGGCAGTGTTTTTCATATCACGGTCGTGGAACTCAACTGTTTGAGTGTGTCCTTACCACAATTTCGATGACTCTCCGCGCGTGTTGTCAGATTCAATCGGGATTGCGTCTGCCAATTCAGAAAGCTCATCTGCTCAGTTATGCATGTCTGTTGAAGATGCTCGAGCTGCACTGGAAAAAGTGGGTATATGAAACGATTATATTTTCGGGGATTTTTTTCTCGCAGAAATTGTGAACAACATCGTTTTACGAGGTGTATATGAATTTACACTTATTCTCGTGCGTATTGGATTTGGTATAACCAGAAACCGTTGCTGCTGACGTATGACGATCTGGCGCTGAATTTCTGGTATATATCTTATCGGAAAATCGGGCTAATTGTAGCATGTTCTACCCGAATTCGGGTAGAAGTATACAGAAACCAACAAGAAAAGTTAGCAGTGTGGAAAAATATGCACATGGTTACTTACATATGTTGATGACAATATGAAAAATTGTGAGGAAATTTTTAGGGAAATTCTTGTTGTTTGCTGTAAATTTCTACTCGAATTAGTATACAAAATCAGCTTTGGGAACTACTGAGGAAAGCAAACATATACACCTCTAACACTCTTAATAGATTCCCGATCGACTCAACCGGGCCAGTTGTTTGCCCGGAGCGGTACTAAGAGCTGCTGATGAACAGGGGAGGTAGGCGTTGAGGAAATGCAAGACTTGCAAGATTTGCTTAGTCATGCTATCTTGGTGGCCGACCTAGTCGGATGGATCGATCTAGATGAAAAACTCGCTAAGCTGGAAGCATTTTTAAGAGCTTCTGGAATCAGTTCAACAGTTTTACTGGAGCGCCATGGTAAAGTTTCGGGGAAAATTTGGTAAAATTTTCGGAAATTTTGTAATAGGTACGAATGTGAGGTATGCAATAGTTCCGGAAGGGCATGATGGTGACGCTAATGGGAGATCTATGATGACTATCGGTAAGTTGAAATGATGTTGATTTCCTCAGCTGAGGAGTTTTCTCACTATAGAATTCGTGCAGGGAAAAAGAGAATTTCCCGGAAATTTTCTCAGAATTTTCATGTTTTCATATTTTCCATTGTAAGCAATCTTGATTTTACGATGGGTTTTCAGGTGAAATTTTTGGTATATTTCTAAAAGGAGAAGAACAGCTGATCTTCAGCGATTTGCAAGTGAGTTGGGGTGTACTTATATATTGCTTGCCGATTTCATTTCAAGAGTCTTTTATTAGATTTAGAATAGTTAGTACATGACGAATTACCCACATATAGGGGATTCACTCGTAAAACTCTATGTGAAAAACGCAATATTCGTGGTATGCGGTAATCGTGAAATGTGTTTTTCACTAGTGTTTTACATATCACGGGTGAAACTCCAATGAAAATTTCCCAAAATTTCCTCAGAATTTTCATATTGTCACCGACATAAGTAGTTGACCATGCGCATGGGTTTCCATTGAACAATTTTGTTGTTTTTCTAGATATCACAAACCACATTGGAAAGGATATTTAATGCGTTTGCGATGGGAGCTGCTACTGTTTAGCTAATTTTCAAAGGCCGCGTATTCGGCCGTTTCCGCTGTCAATTTCTCAGTAGGACAGTGAGTGAAGTCGAATTTGATATTCTTGTTGCTCATGTGAGTGCACGTGGTGAAGTGTGATAAGCTATGAACACCGATTTGTGTTGGTCACAGTTTTGGGAGGTAAATTTTAGTGAGCATGAACATACAGTGTGAACCAAACCGTTACGCAAACTAGTAATCATTTTTTGGGAGCTCAAAAGTGAACATGATAACGATGTGAATCGATTGTCAGAAGCGTTTCGTAGTACCTCGTCGTATTACTCTCGGAAAATGAGAAAAGCCATCTCGGAAATTTAGGTATGCATAACTGTTTGCTTCGCACTAAACAGGAGAGGAAGATGTATGAGGACCAGCGAGGAAAATGTGCATATGGTCAACTAAAATTCCGAGGAAATTTCTGGAGATTCTCTGTGGTTTATACACGATTTCGTATATTAGCTCCACTAAATAGTGAGGAAGCTCCTGAGCTCAGCTGAGGAAAACGAACATATATTCCGCCAACGCTGATGAGAACAAAATCATCACCCCTAATACACCGAGATGATTGCCTTGATTACTCTTGAGAATCGTCGATGTGAAAAGTGGCTGTTGTATATGATAATGGCGGCTAACACTGTATCTACATCAGATGAGATAGAGGTTCAGCAGAGCGCGGTAAGCAACGAGGGAAAATATGCAAATACACTGGAGTTTTAGCCGCGATATGAAAGACATTATTTTGCAATTCACTTCGTGGAAAACGTATTTACTTTTGAATATAATGACAAATTATAGGTGTGATAATATAATTTCTTGAAAGAGCATAACGTGAAAGTTCACTTCATATCGCGAATATGGCGTTTTTCACATTGAGTTCCACGCCAGTTCACGTTTTACGGGTGAAACTCCAGTTAATGACAATGGAGATCCACCCGTGATGTTTGTTTTACGTCAAGTGGCGTAGAACTCTGAGGAAAACGCGATATTCACACTATGCAGTAGTCGTGAAATGTGTTTTCCACTAGTGTTTTTTCATATCACTGTCGTGAAACTCCAATATATTCAAAATAACATTAATCGAAGTAAGTTAGTTGAAGTTTTAATTTCCAATTTGTTAGGGTTCAGCAGTGCTGGCCTCCCTAGTTGAATATATGCTTGAGAACACGATGCATACAGCAGTAGGAGGAAGTATAGCAAAAGAGCTCGCTTCGCCATCTGAAACTATGTAAGGTGTGTTCTCGACTACGTTAGGGTGTGTGATCGCTTACCACACGATAGAATTCGGGTAGGAGTGTATAGAAAGCAATGGGAATTCATTATGGGAAAATGTGAAATTTTTGAGAAAATTTCAGAAAATTCTTATATTGGTTTCTGTTCGATTCTACTACAATTCGTATATAAACTCCTCTTATTAGTGAGGAAACTCCTTAGCTCAGTTGAGGAGAGCGAACAAATATTCCAACACTAGAATTTTCCCAAAAATTCCTCAGATTTTCCATATTGTCACTAAATTTTATCACTTGCAGATATTCCTCAAGCGGGCTCTGTATTGGAAAGAACGCCAAATTGGTGTCCCGCGGAATACAAGTTGATCGCTCGTTTTCACCAAGACGTCTACAAACAGCTGAAAGTTTACAAGAGGAGATCAAGGTGTGCATGCGTGCAGTTTTTGAGAACTTTATCAGACTACAGTGCGAAACAAACGCTGAATTTTCGACATAGTTTTCCCCAATTTGAGACTAGTACGACTATAGACTACCGAACGCTTGTAAGACATTTTCAATCGATTCACACTGGAGTTTAACTCGTTTCACATGAATACCCTATGAAAAAACCCGATATCCACGGTGATATGCAGTAGCCGTGAAAGATATTCTTGGCTGGTGTTTCTCATATCACGGTCGTGAAACTCCATTGTTGGCTTCCAAGAATTGAAATACTACTATTGTGCATTACGGTTTGGTTGACACTATATGACTAGGGATATTCTTGTTATATTTGGGTACTCAGAAACTATCAGAGGATCGCTATGTGCTCATACGCCGTAATGGGCGATACCGTGAGGAAGTGCTGAAGCTACGTAAAAGACTTGCTGATCTTGGCAAGCAGCTTGAACGGAGTAAATCTCCTAAACAGCCTCAGGAGGAAAGTGAGTGATGATCTTTACAAAAATTCTACTTGTGATATGAAAGTACATTAGTGGAAAACATATATTACTTAGCGGAAATCACATCTGAGCTGCGAATAACGCGTAGAACATGTGCCGTGTTTTACGTGGTATGAGGTGATTTGCATTATATACTAGCGTATTAGCATCCTAAAACATACTCCCAACGTGGGAGCATGTTATATCAGTAGTTGAGAAGGCAAGCTTATAGAGGACTATACATGTGCACCATAACGCAAGTAGTTTACGGTTGCGGAAAGACACACGACTTTACGGTTGGTGCTGAACTGTAAGGCGCTCCAACGTAGCTCGAGTGGTTGTTAAACTCATTTTTGGCGGCTCGAGTTCAACCAAACCACTGAGGAAAGAACATTTGGTTCCGTATTGACCACGTATTTCGCTTTCAAATTCCTTCCACTTTACCCCCAGGCTGGCACCAAACTGCCTAGCCGGTCTCGTCTACGCACGCGCATTCACATGCAATCGATTCAAGCGACTTGAATTACCAAGCCTCGTTTTGTCCTCTGCATCTCGGTAAAACCTACTACGATGTCGTAGTTTTACGGTACGGAGCTTGAAGAGTAACCGTAATAGTAACGGCCGTAACAGTCCATAATTCTACTCGTTATACACTACTTCACGTAAAACGGGTGAAGCTCCAGTGTCTCAGCCGCACATGAGATGGGCTCCGGCGGTTCCCTCCACTCTAGTGATTATCAAGCTAAAGAGTTGGAATACAAATCCAGGTTGGCTAAACTCGAGAGAAAGCTCGCGAATGAACGATCGTAAGTGGTAGGGGTTTGACACAGGACAGTAGTTTCCAGTGTTGCAATATATGTCTAGTTTCATTAGCTGAGCTCAGCAGTTTCCACACTAAGTTCATATACGGATCGGGTTACAAATGCGAAGGAGAATTTCCCAAAATCTCCTCACAAATTTCATATTGTCACCAACACATGTGTGGTTGACCATTTGCATATTTCACCACACTGCTAGTTTCCCTTCGTTTGGTTAGGCACTCTTGTTGCCTCAAAAAGCGTCTTGAGAACGCCATGAGCGAAGCTAAGGACTTGACTATACCGGTATGGTTTCCGCTGACTTCCCGTCACATGAGCCAAATTCACTACAGCGGTTTTTGGAGTGAATTTTTGATAATTTTTTGAAATGTTGGTATCTTATCAACTTTTACCAACTGCTCTCAAGAAACTGCCCAAAATTTTGATGAATTTCCTGGTCTTCTTGATACCGTACTGTTTTCAGTTAACGATGTTAAATTTGCAAATCTGAATTAGGTAGCAAGTCATAGCACCGGTAGAAATCTCATATTAAATTAGTACTTGTACTATAACTCGGGTTGTTTTTATGTGAAGATCTCCTACAGTTGTGGGAACGTGTATTTTCATAGGGAGTTGAGAGATGACTTACAGTATTCTCGGGAAGGCAAAATTGTGTATGTTGTTATCACTTTTCATAGTGGACCGCATTATGGCGTTTTGTAGATTGAATCGACGCTGAATCGGATAGCCAATATAGGAGTGCTAATAGTTCTGAGAAATACCCGCGAAGAACTAGTGTCACAGATTACTGGTGTGGTTAGTTTTGATTAGATCTACAGAATTGTGATCACCTAATCAACGATATGAATCTATGAAGTTTCACGACCGTGATATGAAAAATCTATTTCACGACTACTGCGTACCACCGCGAATATCGCGTTTTTCACCGAGTATTACGCTATTCCACGTGAAACGAGTCGTGAATCTCCATAGGAGTTTCCCTAGAATTAAGGATTTAATTTTTAATCTATTAATCTCACTAGTGTACTGCTAGTTGTACGCCATAGACACAATAAAGAACGGTTCGCCACACACATGAATTTTCTAATAACAGTTTGCCGATGTCCTTCATGAAAACCATATTCTGCACTCAGGTTCTTGAGGCTAGTAATGGGAGGAAGGAGAAAGGAAGAAAACTGAATGCCAAAGTTGAGAATACGAACTGTGAGGATATAATGATCGACAGGTGAGATGACCGAGAATAGGGTCCGACGCGATGGGGTTGTGACTCTCTATGTGAACCAAGTCGTTAACAAATGGTTTTAATGTACTGGAGTTTCGCCCGTTTTACGTGAAAACAAGGCGATATTTGCACTATGCAGTAGTCGTGAAATATATTTCCCACTAGTGTTTTTCATATCACGGTCGTGAAACTCCATTAATCATGGGGTATACGCTAGGCTAGCTAGAAAGGTGAGTAGTACAGGAATATTAGGAGTTAGGACACATACTTGTGGAGAACATTTTCATACAGATATACTCTGTGTTTGAAGAATAAATATTCCGCAGGAATTTATAGGGACCAACATTAATTTCCCGAAATTTCCTAAGAATTCCCATGTTGGCAACAACACGTGTAGTTGATTAGTGCGTCGTAGTCTCCAAAACTGGATCTACTACTTTCCTCCAACTTCTATGCATATGCATTACGAATGCAAAATTTTAGGGGTACACAACACGATATATGTTTAAATGAATTATGAGGGTTTTTAAAGTAATTCCTTTAGGCAAAGTTAGTCTGATGGTTCCTCACTTGCCCGATTGTGTCAATGTAGAGGAGGGGTTGACTCCCCCTCAGGCAGCTTCAAGAATTGTATTCTGTGGTAGGTTTGGTCGCCCGATCTCGATCTCTACGAGCTCAGCTCGGAAGCAGCGAGCCCCAGGGATTAGCCGACAAGACTCGGAAATTCAGGTGACACGATGATTGGTGTCACCGTCAATTGATACAACTGAGTGTTTACTGTTCAGTGACACTGAATCAGTGTTGCAATATATGTTTAGTTTCCTTAGCTGGGATCAGCAGTTTCCTCACTAATTGTAGGAGTTCATATACGGATTGGGTTATGAATGCGAAGAAACCTGAAATTTCCTCACAAATTTCATATTGTCACTAACACATGTGGTTGACCATGTGCATGTCTCACCACACTCAGTTGATAATATTGTCGGCGCCACCAACCACTACTCGGTTATATGGATGACTCAGGTGCTGAAAGAAGTTGTCAGGAGTCACCACAATGAAATCCAGCAGCTCAGATTTGAACTTGACATGTGAGTTTAACGAAGTTCGTAGATTAAACGCTAGAGGTTAAGTTAATTGTGAAATATATTTTTCACTAGATTTTTCATATCCCGGGGGCAAGTGCTGCATTTAATCACTGATTCAGGTTCCGATCCCCGGCACCTCTCATGGGCAACTCATCACAGGGCTCGAGGAATGATGTTGCGGTGTTCTTGGGCCCTTATGAAGGTCGTGAAGATTACTATCTCGACCAAGCTCGATTTGTTAGAGAAGTCGCGGGGGATTACTTCAGTTTGCCCCCGATTGAGGGAGTACGCGGTGGGCGACTGGCTGGGCATGCTAGGCCATAAATCAATCACACCCTCGGACGGAAACTTGGTCACTTCTTATGTTGAAAAGAACGGCTCAGCTAACCTCGAAATTCCTGCGAGGTTTACTGGAAGGTAGACGTCTGCTCTCTCGTATGCGTCTTAGTCGGAGCTACTGCACTGTCCTTGTTTTTACCATTATTCATGCATTACATGTTAGCTGTGTGTCTGATCGCTAGTCTGTAGTCTTGAGTGTCAGTAAGGAGTGCGTTAGCGTTGCCGACCATGACAAAGGTGAGGTAACAGTGAAGGAGAGGAATCCGAGCCAATATGCATGCGGTTCATTTAATGGATCACAATACCGATACAATAAAAGCCTCTATGTTCAACTATTTTGCTCTCTATTCGTTGGCATTGCTTTAATCAAATCTTCGGCTTATGGAACCACCAAGGGTCATGGAAGCTGGCTCAGGCTCAGCGACGCTGAGTTAGCGTAGCCTTGGTCGTAGCGTCCAACTCCTTATTATTCATGGTAACGTCATGCCTTATGATAAGTTGCTAAGTATGACGTAACATGTCAACGCATCTCGACTTACTCCTAAAGGACTCACTCCTCGCTAGACAGCGAGTCGCAAGCACACAGATCTTGATGGCATAACTATATCGGCGCCGCTAGTCTAAAGGTTATGACATCTGTCTGCCAAACGGATGATCCGGGTTCAATTCCCGGGCGGCGCAGTTTTAGATAACCGTGTGGTGATTGTAATGGGACATCATACATAACTTCGTGGCGAGTCTATCGCTGAAAACTGATGCTGACGGTGTCAATGTAGGAATAATATCCTTAGGATATCGAATCAATATCATGTTCTTGGATCATGATATCATGATATACGTGTCGGGTGTGATTCTCCAGGTAAGCATTGTAATCCATGTCGGATCTGCGACCGATGAGTTCAGAGGTTTCATGGGTCGGGTTTCTGCTGCTCTCAATGGCGAACATGCTGTCATTTATATGGATAATGCGCCTTTACATAAACAATTAGCGAATTCTCAGCTATTGGCGAATAATCTGGAGGTTAGGAGATTCGATTAGAACCAAAAGAGATCAGTTGATGATCGTTGATGGATCATCTTCACCCCTTCCTTATGTGGGTCGATATCGTCACAACGCTCTCCATCATCAAATAACACCGTCAATAGGCCATTATCCTTGACTCGTTCGACAACACCATCGTAGAATTCATGTGAGCCGTTCACGGTGAAGAGCATAGAGATCCTTGTACCAACTGGGAACGAAGGGAGGCCATCATCAATCGAACAGGAGCTCGCTGGAGCAGCATTGGACTTCTTGAGATTGAGCATGGACTCCACAGTCTTGGTACCCGTCGTTGGATCTTCAATAATGCCCGTCGCCTTACTTTCCACAGAAAAGCCTTGAAGGTTGAAGGGCCTCCACCTTTCCTTCCCTCCGCCCCTGTCGCTGACAAGCTACCAGGCTCTGAATAATATTGGTGATAGAGATAGAGTCGAGGTAAGAGGTGAACGAGGTACTCCTAGAATATCTAACTACATTGCTGATGTTCAGACCTTCCTGACTTCCCTTTCTGCCTTCCCTTCGATGACTCCCTAGTAGGGAGTCCCTACTCCCTCAGTACTACTGCTTAGTAATGGCCCTGATACACTGGGATTGTTTCGCCAGCGCCACTAGCATTGATCACCAGAAATATCAGCCCGAATACGACTTCGAATAAGTCCGCCCACACGTAAGCGTGTAGCGTGAAAGACATCGTGCGCTATTAACACTTCGAAGGCCGGACGTACGAATGGGTGCAATGGGAACACGCCCAATTTAATGAGTCAGTTGGATGCTAACATTGTCAGAATCTTCTAGTGCTTTTAACCTATTGTAAGCACTAGACGATGAAGTTTCTGTGACCAAAAGATTGTCGTCCTGGGTCAGGGATGCTATGAGAAGACGCCTGTCTGTCGAGTTACGTAAACACGCATGTCCTTGAAATTGTGCAGAGGTTTGTAGGGAGACGCACAACACCAAATTGTGTTCATGATTTTCTCTATGTCTGTCCTCGCTATTCTGGTTCATATCTTCATCTCGGCTTACGTCGGTGCCTACAAAGTGAACAGTACTGATGTTAGCCCACCAGTTCCCAATCGCATAGGAGGCTCTAGGCAACTGCAAGTCGTGGCAGAGAATCCTGACGCTTGTTTGGGACCTCACGGATCGCTGAATGGGACATACTAACCCGACGATCTACGTAACCAGCATGTATGGTAATCAGTGATTACTAATCACACATTCAGACGGTCGGACTCTTCCTCCCTGAGTGAGAGCGAGTATCCATCCTGGTCTGGAGATGCAAATGATCATCGGTCACGGACCGATTTCGATACCACAGTGTGTCCATATGTGAACTATATAGATATATGTATTGGAAGCTTTGCTGCGCTCGAAGCTTCCGCCTACATGTCACCAGCATATGTTATCCTCGGGAATTCTAGGGAAGTCGGAATGGTACTGAATTCCGTAACTAGTATTTTCTTACGTTATTACTGAGCGAACGCCTAGCTATCATTGCCATTATATACTGTGTTGTATATGTCTTGCATCACCTGGTGCTCCAACTTGGTGAGGGAAGAAGACCACTCGTGATCTCATCCCACCCGGAATCATATTTCCCTAATCGTCTCTTCTCAGTGGTGGCGCAGACGTGATTTTATGGGTGTTGGTCGACGTGAATTAGCCTTCGAGTTCGGCAACATGATGTGGGCTTTTCCCGGAGGGTGACCTCTTTCCTGAGCAATTAATCCAGGCGGGGCAACTATGTCATCCCAAGATATGCCTTCATACAATCAATTTTGTAAGCGGGGCAACTATGCCATCCCAAGATATGCCTTCATACAATCAATTTATCGAAGCGGGGCAGTTATGCCATCCCAAGATATGCCTTCATACAATCAATTCATCGAAGCGGGGCAGTTATGCCATCCCAAGATATGCCTTCATACAATCAATTTATCGAAGCGGGGCAGTTATGCCATCGGAAGATATGCCTTCATACAATCAATTTTGTAAGCGGGGCAACTATGCTATCCCAAGATATGCCTTCATACAATCAATTTATTGAAGCGGGGCAACTATGCCATCCCAAGATATGCTATCATACAATCAATTCATCGAAGCGGGGCAACTATGCCATCCCAAGATATGCTATCATACAATCAATTCATCGAAGCGGGGCAGCTATGCCATCCCAAGATATGCCTTCATACAATCAATTTTGTAAGTGGGGCAACTATGCCATCCCAAGATATGCTATCATACAATCAATTCATCGAAGCGGGGCCACTATGCCATCACAACAAACAAACTAGCCTACTAGCTCAAAAGACCTCATACATGTTGGCTCCATTATGTTGACATCACAGAATCACTTCGTGTTATTGATCCACGGATATACCTCCCACTTTAAATATTCCCATGTTATAGACACAGCATTATATGACTCTATTATTTTTCTCAAGCACTCTTACATAGGAGTGACCGGACAATTTACGATATGCTCATTCACGATGTCAAAATCAGCCACAATGTAACAGGTTTACAATTCGTTCTCTTTCTAGTGACCAAATTGAGTTAGCACAGACAGGCTACTCCAAAACTCAATTTCTGCATAAATTCACATCACTTAACAATCAAGGACACATCATGTAGAATGAACACAGCGCAAGGATGTGAACTTCCTGTATGAATAGAATAACGACGAACACTGCGGCAACTTTACTCCGTTACCAACGACTAGTACTTTGGGTCATCTGCATTGGGAATTGGAATGCCTCCATAGGAAAAGGGTTGTATGGATCTGAATAGATGAAAGTGCGGTAAGATAGAAAATCATAAAAAAATTGAAATGAACCATCTGGTCACATCTCCGAATTCAAACAAAATCGTGTCTGTTATTTTCGTGATAATAGCCGACAATACTGAGAACCTCAGTGTAACACTTGTTTGTTCTCCTTAGCTGATCTCAGGAGTTTCCCCACTAATTATATGAGTTCACATACGAATTCCAACAAGAATTTCCCGAAACTCCCTGAGACTTTTCATATTGTCACCAATACGTGAAGTTGACCATGTGCATACTTTTCCATACTAAGGAACCTACTAGGTAGTGGTTGTTGCCATGCTGGTGGAGGTAAGCCCCTAAGATGAGCCAGTGGGACTCCCATACTTGGCATCGGTGCTTGACTGTAAACCGTATACGACGGTGTAGGATAAGGAGGGTTGCTTTCCTGAAGTCAGAACAAAAGAATTCACAAGGCAGAGACTGCGGAAGCCTACGAAAATTTCGATGTTCCATGTCTGTACATTACACAGATTATGTATTCAGAAAGTACCGAGAATATGTACAGTTTGGTCGAGGAGAATGCCCAGTACTGATTTGAACCATGTCGAATAGTGTAAGCTTCGTAGAAAAGCCCTCGAGGAAATAAGGTTAAGATTTTTTCGTCGGCCACACGTCAACTTTCACAGTGATCCCTCGCCCATGAATTTCAATCCAATCCGGCCACCAGGGGCGTCAATGAGCTCAAGATGGTGCGTCATTCGGTGTGCTGTTGGAGTTAGTTACTTCACCCGTGATGTGAAAAAAGTATATTTTAAAATTCACTTTGCGGAGAACAACAGTTTCATCCGTCGCGAAGGCATATGCGTCTTACAATTCACACTGAGTATCACGCCACTTCACGTAAAAGGGGTGAGACTACAATTTCATAGATTATTATGTGCATACATAATAACGAATACTTTCTCGGTTCATCATTCATCGCCTCATGCTTTCTCACCTGGATCACATTCGACTGAATTTGCTTCTCTTTCTCCACAGGCTTCAACTGTGGCGGCTGTTCGCGTTGCTGCTCACTTTCGACTTGTTGTTTTTCATGCGCTTGTGATTCGTCGATTGCCCCGATGCCTGATGCCTTCGAACCCTATATAAGAACTCCATCTTGCGAAAGTGAGCATTCCGACTTACCCCCGATGATTTGTTAGCGTAGTCCTCGAAGATAAATGCGGCAGAAGCTGATCTCGCAGTCGAAGCCTCGGTCGGGTCCAGCAAAGAACTGCGCCGACGTCGTTCCGCTCTCTCGGCGGAGTCAATCTGAAAGGCAAGGTTAGAAAGGTGGCTGAAATGAAGTATTCGAATATTAAATACCATATCAAAGACAATTAACGAGATTTGAATATTATTGGCCTTCGTGAAGAGTGATACCAGTCGATGATAATAATAATGGTAATCATTTTCATGGTAATGATGATGATGATTATAACGACTGTACGTGAGCAATTTCATCGCAACACTGAATTCCACAAATATAAACTATCACTCGCCAATTCACCAACTAGAGCCCCAGCGATGATGCGATGAAATTTAATCGATGTCGTCAAGCATCTCAGGTAGCCCAGTATTAGATTGAAAACGATGATTCCTTCGCTGAACTGTAATACTCGATCAATTCAACCAAGTGCCCGTGTTACTTCCCGTCATGTCCATTTCAAGTGCCTTAACTATTAAAAGTTATATATTACTGTCAACTGTTACCTCAACATTTTCTAAATATCACCAATACACTAATTTGCTAATATATTTGTTTTTTATTTAATCATCTCTTACATCAATCAACGATTGTACGCGCGGACACCAAATTCCAGCAATTTCCAAGCACTTCACAGCCGAATGGAAATGTGACACATCCAACTCTCTCGAACTGGCCAGGCATGTCGCTAACGCTATATATCGATGTAGCATCTGAATGTGAACATATTTTGCAAAAGTCAAAAAATCAAAATCATACCGCTCCTTTGTCCAAACTCAATCGGCAGGCTGTCGAGAGAAGACGCTTCCGAAGCCGCATTGCATACTGCGTGAAAAAACGTTTGATCTGAAATTCAACAAGTGAATTTCCAGTGTGGGAATATATGTTTGGTTTCCTCAACCGAGCTCGTAAATTTCCTCACTACATTATGAAAATCAACACACGATTTCGGGTAGAAGTGTACGAAAAGCCAACGATAAAATTCCCAAAAATTTCCTCAGAATTTCCATATTTCTACCAAAACATGTGATTGACCATGTGTATATATTCCCACCACTGTGAAGGTGATTCGTAAATGAGTTATTTACTTCTGCCTCTTTTTTTGCGTGAACATCCAACCTCATTTTCTCCACTTCTGCGCGTACCCTTTTGTCAGCAAGATATTTTTCGCGTTCGTATTGGGCTGAAATAGAAAATCCTCGGGAAATTCTTCAGAGTGCGCTTCACTCACATCTTTTCAAATCGTTGCAGGTATCAGCTTTCCGCGATCTGACTTGAGCAATTTCTAAGAGTTGAAGAGAAGAAAAACTCCAAATTTTTGAAATTTTCATAATAATAAACTCACTCGCTTTCACTCTTTCCTCACTTCGTTCTCTCTTTTCTTTCCGCATTTGCGATCGCTGTATCCACCCAGCTCGTTCCTTCTCTTCCATCGCATCGGCCTCCAACGCCATGCGAACCCACATAGTCTACACAAAACGATTGATGTAAGTCAGCCCGACGAGCCAAAGGTTCGATCCTCGCAGATAAAATTATAAAATATGACTGTGTCACTCACATGAGCTTCACTACTGCGTTTTAACGCATCCTTGAGTTTGTGTTGCTCCACAAGCTTAGCAGATCCATGCCACTCAGCGAAGCTAGAGTCTGGTACAAACCTATGATGATACACTCAACCACAGATTGATGTCACTACTTTTCTACTCACATAGACGTCTTCTTTTTTCGCACTACTCTCGGTGATGATGAACGCGAGCGCACGAGTGACTTAGATTCGAGCGGAGCGATGCTATTTCTGTAAACTCTTTCGATCTGACAAGCAACTTTAACCAACAACGAACTCATCGTCTTACTTCAAGCAGGCCTTGGTTGAGTAGACGATCCTCAGCTTTCTTATGATGATTCCTCACGCATGTCGTAATACCATCGACATACCTGATAGACATTTCTAAGGCGATGAATGAACTACGCTAAAATACTTGTATTGTTGTAGTGTTGGAGGAATATATGTTCGGTACAATTTTCACGACTAATCCTAGGAGGAGTTCACACTGGGGTAAACAATAATTTTCCCGAAAATTTATTCAGAATTTTCATATTATCATCATTGATAAATCTTCGAATATAATCATTCGAACTTCAAACCCGCGTGGATCTCTCCACAAGAACTTCATTCTGACGCCTTAGACCACTCGGCCACACTGACGATGAGTAAGTGCTACTATCTTGTGATCCTGTGGAACGCAAGAGCTGTATGTATCGTAGGAGGATATAAGTATACAAGAGCTATAGCAAATGGGAACTACATAGCTTAGCTAATAGCTGAGGGAGACAGGTCTGTTGCAGTCACCACAATCCGTACTCTGGTTGGTGTCGATCGTACTGATGTTTTGATGAATCATCACGTGTTATAGATGTGCATATTTTCCCTCTACACTATACTGCACTAAGCCTCGCAGACTCACCCATAGCTGACGGTTATCAAAGGCCGCTCCAACGCTTCCAATCGGTCGGCCGCTTTCGCGCGAAGTTGTTTCAACTTTTGCCTTCCCTGAAGTATTACAACATACGTTCGCTTTCTTCAGCGAAACCAACAAAAAATTCTCTGAAATTTCATAATGTCACCAACCAGGTGTATAGTTTCTGACAAACAATCGAGGTATTCCCGCAGACCCCTACCGCTCCTCGAGCTTCTCCCGACAGGATGAGTTGATACAAGTATAATCGTACCTGATCGCCGAATTGCATTTAATGAAGTAAATAAATTTTCTCGTCGTCGTAAAGATAAATGTTCCACCTACGTAATGTAAATCATGTAAACGGCATAGTTCTGATTGCCGCATGGGTTTCTCGATATTATCAAAATTATCCACACCGAAATCAAGAAGCATAGCCCGACACAGTACCTAAAAAATTTCCATTCCGGGGAAAAATTGCGCAAAAAAAACTTACGCATTTCGAAACTTCATTTTGAATCTTCGCTGGTTTCTGTGATACTTTAAATCTGTTGACATCGAAAAAAGGCATCTGAACAAAGCCACACTTGATGCTGGAGGAATATAACTGCCCAAGTGATAGAGAAATGTCCGATCGCCGGTGAACCCATACCGCGAAAAACCGCGAAAAAGCTGTTTTTTCTACCAAGTGCCTAGTGCATTTTATTTTTCACAAAAACCCGCATTTATCGCGAGATTACGCGTAAAATACCGCGAAAAACAGAGGAGGGAGGATCAATACGTCCTCGAGTGCCACCACTGCTGTTCATCCACATTTCACCAGAAGGACAGTATTGATTCAATCAAGAACTAAGCGAGACTAAGCGAGCGCCGCTTCTTCGTTACGAAGGCCTAGCTCACCACATTCCTATTTATTAGGCCCAACTGTAGTTTCACGCCAAGTGAATTGTGAACTATTTTTTCACTAGTGTTTTTTATACTCCATTTCATAAACTCATTTACTTTCAGTACAGCCTCAGAGAGCTCGAGTTGTCTGCCTTCAGAATCATCACCATAATCGCGAACCTGATCAAAATGAAAATTTACGAAAAAAATGGTTTTGGAGTGTGAAGTCGTTTTCCTCAGCTGAGCTTAGGAGTTTACATACAAATTCGGGTAGAAGTGTACAGAAACCACTAGGAACTTCCCTCAGAATTTTCATAGTGTCACCAACACATGTAGTTGACCATGTGCATTACACAGTTGCCGATAGTGAACAACCAATTCCCTTCGAAGTGGTGTTCGAAGTTTCACCAGTGATATCAAAAGCACTGGTGAAAAACTTATTTCACGACTACTGCATATCGCGTTTTTCACCTAGTTTTACGCCACTTCACGTAAAACGGGTGAAACCCCAATGAAAATAGAAAAGAACGTGGAGTATCAATAAATATAATCATAACTCGAAAAATAGAAAAACACTTGCAAAAATTTTTCCTAAATCATGAAAAATTATGAAAAATTACAAACAAATTACGAAAAATCATGAAAAATTTCGAAAAATTATGAAAAAAAAATTATGAAAATTATAAAAAATGGTGGAAAATGATGAGAAACTATGAAAAATTATGAAAAATGATGAAAAATTATAAAAAATTGTGGAAAATTACGAAAAAATTCGGGAAAATTATCAATAAAACGTGGCTCACCCATCCCGGATGTGACTGATTCCTCGGTAACTGCAGTCTATTCCCTTGCTGACCTTCCGTTCTTCTAGGCGAATCTTCTAGGTCCTACTACAAAGATTCAAATTAGGCCCAGAAACGACACCTTACCTGTGCTTGTGGTGGACGTAGTTCCACCATAGAGCTGCTTTTCGTATTTCGCATCGTAAACTTTAACAACTGTACTACTAGAATATCGAGTATTGGCTTTCAACACGTTTAACAGTGTAGGAATATATGTTTCGTTTCCTCAACTGAGCTCGTAAATTTCCCCACCACATTATGAAAATTTACACACGATTTCGGGGAAAAAGGGTACAAAAACCAACGATAATTTTCCTCGCAATTTTCATATTTTCACCAAATGCATATATCTGTAGACTCACACAACGTTTGTGTGTTGGTGACAAAATGGAAATTTCGATCAAATTTCTCATTGGTTTCTACTCGAATTCATATGTAAACTCCGGAAGGAACTCCTGAGCTCAGGTGAGGAAAGCGAACACATATTCTAATACTGGTAAATTTTCCAGAAATACGCCAATACTTAGTGTTGGAATATACGTTTGCTTTCCTCTGCTGAACTCAGGAGTTTCTCTATTCACGAACTCAAATAGAAATGCGAAATTTTCCATAGTGAACTTCATAACCTTTAAAAAATTAACACCAACACAATTCTCGAAAATTGGCATCCCGAAACTACAACAGAAGTTACCAATATGTACAGCAGCAATACGATATAGGATCACCCCTCGAGTAAGCTATTCAAAGCAACAGTTTCGTCCCAATTATTGGACTCTAGAGCTTTGACTACCATCTCGCGCGGGAAACCCATATCGCACATATTCTTGATCTGAAAACCAAAATATTCTTGAAAAATTTTCGGGAAAAATATTAAAGTTTCACGACCGTGATATGAAAAACAATAGTGAAAAAACATATTTCACGACTACTACTGGCCGCGAGTATCGCGTTTTTCACCGAGTTTTACGCCACTTCACGTAAAACGAGTGAAACTCCATTATACAGTGCGTGCCAGTTTGATATGCGCCGATGTGTTGTTTCCTATTCTTGGATAAACGATAGTAAACAACTTGTCGCTATCACAGCCTCGGGAAGTTACACTTCATAACATTACACAGTGAAAAATATATATCACCGCGAATATCGCGTTTTTCACCGAGTTTTACGCCACTTCACGTGAAACGGGGTGTGAAACTCCAATGTTAGAATTGTTTATGTGATATACTTCAAATCGTTAGTCTTATAAATTTCGGAAAATAACACAAATTTCACATTTTCATATCAAATCGACACACATTTCTACTCCAAATTTTGTAGTGTTAGAATCTATATTCGCTTTCCTCAGGTGAGCCCAAAAGAATTGACATTATTTTTCGAAAATCCCAGTAAAAGTGTATACCAAACGACACGAATTTTCCCGAAAATGTCCTCAAAATTTTCCCACACTACTACTTTCTCTTCATGGGGCGCTTGGGCCTCAATGCACGCGAAGGTGGCAGTCCAGTACTTCGCAGTTTGGTTGAATAATTCCCTATCAGACTTGTACCTGATCAAAATTGAAGTCTCACCCTAGTGATATGAAAAACCCTAAAAACACATTTCACGACGACTACTGCATATCACCGCGAATATCGCGTTTGTCATCGAGTTTTACGCCATTTCACAAAAAACGGGTGAAAATCCAATATTAACTTTTATCACGCATCGCGCAGCCAGCGAAGCATATACCACAACAACAGGCACTTTCGCGTTGTGCATGCGTGCAGAATTATTCTGGCTCAACTATGAGGCCACCAGATAGATCAAACGACTCCTCTATATTCCGAGTTCTGCGCAAAAATCGGTTCTGCAAACAGCTCGCAGAGATATGCGCAAAATTTTTTTGACGGAAAAATGTCCAACCCGGGGATCGAACCGGGGACCTATGTAAAATTCATTGATGGAATCAACAAACGCGACTGAGCGAACTTTGCCTCTCCGTTACGATTACATATTAGCAACTTCAGCATCTTGAGGATCATCGGGTTCCGCGCAAGACAGCAAGGCGTGAAAAAAATTTTCGCTTTTCACATCAGAACTTTCCTCAATATAAAATTCGGGTAAAAATATACAAAAATGAATAAAAGTTCCCTAAACATATGTAGTTGACCATGTACATATTTCACACACTAGTAAAAAAAGGAAAAATCAATAAAAAAATCCCAAAATTCCCACGAAAACACATTTAGTTGACCATGTGCATATTCCACACACTAGTAAAAAAAGGGAAAATCAATAAAAAATTTCCCAAAATTCGCTCGAAAACACATTTAGTTGACCATGTGCATATTTCCTACACTGGAAAACACTAGTGAAAAACATACTTCACGTCTCACTCAAGCAAAAAACATATGATCAATGATTAACGCGTAAAACACGTGACGTGTTTTCAAATATTCCAAATATTTTCAAGCCGCGTTTTTCAAAACTAATAATATGTAATACCAACAATCTCACCTGAATGCTCAGTAGAGCCGTACGAATAGTAAGCGCTGGCGACCACTCCTTTCCAAGAACATCGAGACAAATAGCACCTGTAGTTATAATTTCCGGGCGCGCGCTTTTTACAAATCAACAACCATTACTACTACCTGTCTGAGAGCTAATATTAGGATGCCATATCTTAGTATCAAACTTCATCTTTGGTGGTGTATATCTGTATGTTAGACTTGTTGCAGAAGGAGTGGTATTAGTATTATATTACGGGTAATCAGCAGGAATAGTAATATCGATCACAAAGTGACCTCCCTCGTAGGGCGTAGCAGGGGGGCCATCCAAATGACCCTAAAATTAAGAGAATTATGACAATAGTAAAAACAAGCAAAGCAAACAGCGTTCAAAGATCCCACTGGGAACGCGCTCTCCGAGACCTTTCTAATGGGCTACCTCTCACTGGAAAATTCGTCGAATTGCAAACAGTAGCGCATTTTATATGGGGCTGTTTTTCCATGTAGTAACTACACTGTTAAAATCACTACCGCACCCCGCGAAACTCCTGCTAGAACGGATGAATACTCTGTGTGAACCCGAATTCACATGAGCCCGGGAGTGCTATCGAGGCTCAGAGAAGAATATTGCATACCACAACTCATTGTATTCATAGATATAAACATAATTGATATTTTCCTTTCAAGTTTCCTGAAAACCCTAGAGTTTCACGACCGTGATATAAAAAACAATAAAAAAACAAAAAAATAAATAAATATAATATATTTTTTAAAAATAAAAATATAAAAGTAATAAAAACAATAAAATACATTTCACAAAAAAACTACTGCATACCATCGCGTTTTCCCAGACTAATACGCCACTTCACGTAAGACGGGTTGTGAAACTTCATTGTTTTGAACGATATCTGTGCATTTCCAGAAAAATGCGTAAAAAAGGAGGCACCAGGGATCGAACCGGGGACCCTCAAGGAACTACTACCTTCCAGTGTGTGAGATCATCTCCAACTATATCAGCGTTTATCGAACTCTCTTCCGATTGAGAACGGATATCATCAAGTTCCTTATTAAGTCGCTTCTGCTCTCGGGCCTAAAACAGTTACACATCCGGACCTATTTTGTATCTTGCTCACTCAACCTCAAGATACGCCACCCTTTCCTCACCTTCAACGACATAGTAGAAAATCAGTAAAAACTCCAACCAGAACAATAACTACAAAAACAACATTCGTTTATCGCTTCGCTCCGCCTATCCCTCTATCCCAAAACCAAATCCTTTTTTCACATGAAACTTGATATTTAATTACTGCTAGCTATACCACACTTTCAGCTCATCATCTCCGACAGGATTAAATACATTACAAATCTAACATAATGACCTCAATTTTTCATAGCAGTTGGAAGAAAACATGCACATGGTCAGCTACATGTGTTGGTGACAATATGAAAATTATGATAGGAAATTTTTAGGGGATTCTAATTTGTTCTTGGTAGCTTTTCCCAAGCGTGGAAAATATGCACACGGTCAACCAACAACATCTGTTGGTAACAATATGAAAATTATGATAGGAAATTACGGCGAATTCTTATTGCATCCTATGTGAACTTCTATAATTAATGAGTAACCTCTTGAGCTCAGCTGAGAAAGTCCAACACATACTCCAACACCACTAGCGACAACACTATTATTGTGGTTTTATAATATTGCATTGTATTTTATAGGTAATACGTGTTAGAGATTATTACAGATGAACGCATTCTTCTTACATCGGCTATATCATATATTCCATATACTGGAGTTTCACGACCTTGATATGAAAAACATATTTCCCGACTACTGCATATCACCGTCCGCTTAACGTAAAACGGGTGCAACTCCGTTAAAGTAAAACGAGTGCTATACAATTGAACTTTTTTCATGCATCGCTCCGCTGCCACTCCAAAAACAAGAGCAAACTTTCCCTATAAGAAAAGTGATGCCTCAGAAACTCCATCAGTAAACTCGATAGTCAGTTCAGAGGCGAATCACTCAGGAACCTATAATGAAGTTTCACGACCCTAGTGATATGAAAAAACACTAGTGAAAAACATATTCCACGACTACTGCATATCACCGCGAATAACAGCACTTTTTTCGCCGAGAATTACACCACCCCACATAAAACGGGTTGTGAAACTCCAATGTTATCGGGATGCACTACTTCATCTTGGAATTCTCCACATGGCACCAGTAACACATTCCTCACTGAATGGTGAATGTCACCACATTAAAAGCATTTTCCCCATTGTTATCAAAACGGTTATTATCCTCAAAACTGGCTCGACCACGACGACACTCATCCTAAAATTCCTAAGCAAATTCTATTTATACAGATATACTATAAATGTAAACTTGTCTCCACTGCTTGTACGCCCACTTCGGAGCAGCTGCTGAGTTCACACTCATAGGAAACGACCACACTATAGAGCATCTGATACGCGAAAAGTAATACCAGCTCACATGTGTGTGTTTTCTCCCCACAGCCAGTTTTGAGGATAATAACCGTTTTGATAACAATGGGGAAAATGCTTTTAATGTGGTGACATTCAGATGAGAAACTCAGTGAGGAATGTGTTACTGGTGCCATGTGGAGAATTCCAAGATGAAGTAGTGCATCCCAGTAACATTGGAGTTTCACAACCCGTTTTACGTGAAGTGGCGTAAAACTAGGTGAAAAACGCGATGTTCGCGATGATATGCAGTAGTAGTCGTGAAATATATCTTTCACATCAGGATCGTGAAACTCCATTGTTCATATCATCGAAATGTAGATATAGTTATCGTAGGAAATATCAGTGCTCTCCAGTTTTGTCTCCTACATCACCATATATATGCCATGCTGAAACTGTTGATAGAAATTCCATTTGAGTTTCACCCTAGTGATATGAAGAACACTAAAAACATATTTCACGACTACTACATATCACCGCGAATATCATATTTTTCAGAGTATCACGCCACTTCACGTAAAACGGGTTGTGAAACTCCAGGGTACTGAAAACAATTTCCGCTTTATCAACTAAGACGATGAACAATAAATTTCCGTAAAATTAATATGAACTGAGCACGATGGTCTCTATTTTTGATCTATTCTGAATCTGACCATAAAGAACATCATTATAAATGCTACACCATAAAAACGTATGTCAAGTCGTCTCCAACACTAGCCTAGTAGGAGTAACAGGGTCACAGATAGTCGGAAATGACGACTGATGAAAAGAAATTCCGACTCGGAATTGACCTCATGAGAAAACGATAAACTTAGAGGAAGTTTTCTTACATTATTTACTGCTGAGCTTTACTACTTGAGAGCGTAGTTGAATTCAACTAGGCCAGAGGAATCAAAATCGCAGGTATGAATGTGGAGTCCATTCCTGACGATAACTCCTACATGTCTCCAACGGTGGTGGAAGTTCGAGCACTAAGGCGCGCGCGATATCGTCGGCAAGTTTAAAATTCGATAAATTATGGCGGTGAGTAGCTATATACTGTATGAGCAGTCAAGGCTAATTCTAGCACTAAACGAGAGAATCTCCTTGAGACGAGGAAAGAAAACGCCTCCACCGGGGAGCGAACCTGCGACTTCACTCCGCCTCTGCCTAGACTGCACAAAGATTTTAATTTAGCGCTCGCCATAATGATCGATTTGTATTCTGTTCAATACTCTATGCCGACGCTATCTCGAGCTTTGCAGCAACTGTTGCCCATAGGGTTTAGTTATCATACGTCTCCTAACCATGGCTGATACCGCCGCCACTACCACTACTGATCGCGTTTCTTCCTCGACTTGCTTCATCTGCAACGAGCCCGGTCACTTCGCTAGAGATTGCCCTCAGGCCTCCAGCAGTCGCGTAGGAGTTACTAGAGGTGTGGTATTAATATTCTCGCCTTTTTTCAGCCCACTGGTCGTCGCCCTATGAACTGCTATAACTGCGGCAAGCCCGACCATCTCGCTCGTGATTGCCCTAATGAGCAGACCAACCAAAGGCCTTGCTTTAAGTGCGGCAAAGTTGGTCATTTTGCCAGGTAACACAACACACTGTGAGCTCCCTGTTATGTCCATCTTAGGGACTGCACCGAACCCGATACTCGGGCCTGCTTCCGTTGCGGCCAGACCGGTCATCTTGCTCGTGACTGCCCCAACGAGGACACTAGGCCCGAGAGCGAGCGTGCTCCTCGTGGACGTGAGAGTTCATCTGTATGTCTAATTGTCATTTTGTATGTGTTTAGGTTCTGAGGGAAGGAATTGCTTCAAGTGTGGTAAGCCCGGCCATCTCGCCAGAGACTGCCCTAACTAAGCTGTGGTGTCTTATGAGAGTGGTGGTGGCATGATGAAATGATGCTACTATACGATCAAGATTCATTGTCATTCATATAGATGCTCTACCCTTGAGGTTTCCTGTTGTTGGTTGTACTAGCAGTTTCGTGACGTTTGCTGTGTTTACACGGTAAATATTAGCGCTTATAAGTACCACGATAATTACTCGAAGTTAAAGGTCAGGCTTCTCAGAAAAAGTAACGTCTCGTTTTGTGTTGCTTACAAGTCGAGGGACACAGTAGGGTAACATACATTATTGATCTGAGAAATAGTGATCCTATTGACGATTTAGTGACGATTATCATCCAACGGTCGTTGGTATAGGTTGCACCATTCCCTTCGAAACAGCTCGATCAAATTTTAATTCGTCATCGCGAAGTAGCTCCGTAATCCCCGGAATCAAAACGGTTGCCGTCAGCTGCAGCGTCAACATCTACGGCCAGCAACCTCCTGTCGCGGAGACGTAGCCGAGATTTGAACCTGGGTCCCTCGTGTAGTATACGCGGACCCTGACCAATCGGCCATTCCAGCTTCTAACTCTAAACAGAGTAATTTACTCGTAGTAACTGTAACCACAACACCAGCAGCGGTGTTCTCGGTAATCTTGCCATGATGAATTAGACTATTACTGTCGTTTACAACACAACGACTGAACCTCACAAACGCTGCAATGAAATTATATTATTAATATGACGTCGATGATAGTGCAATGTATTAATAATAATGTCAACCCTGTTTCCTTGAAGGTGTTTTCGTTCTCGTGCAAGTCGGGCAGAACCTGCATCATCACATAAACTCCTCAGAATAACACCACAACGAACTCACCATTTCCCCTCCGGTGCTGATATCAAACCAACACATGCCATATGGTACCACTCGTCACACTAATTACAAATGCAATTCCAAACCACAAGAATAACACAACCAACCTGGTCGCAGCCTATCAGTTGCCCAGAATCGTTCGGGTCCCACGGCACGCCACATTTCGGACAAGACCCCTCCCAGTCATCAGCATCAACAAGCTCAGCTGAAGGGAAAGAAAGTCACACGAGAGCGGTATCCAGTTGGACTTACTGATACCATCTCGTGTGATGATGCTACCAGCAAGAACTGGTGTAGATAATTCCTGAGAATCTTTTTTCAATTTGCGTCGCTTCGCCTTGCGTTTTGCCGATTCTGAAAGGGTCGTCACTCAGAAATGTAATGTGGGTATATGAACTCACTTTTGGGAGTTCGCAACGCTGCGTTGGAGGAGAGCTTTCGCTTCTTACGCTGATCAGCGGTAATTCCTGCTTCTGGATTTATGGGCACAAACAAATTCGTGGTATTCTAAAGACGGAGCGAAACTCTTCATAGTGGTGTGATTCACGATAGATTCACACCGTGTGAACTTGAGAAGAGAATCCTAATGATACATATCCAACATTTTACTATTTTATGACTTTACGATTCTACGATATAACATATCGGGAAACGCTATTATCTATGATGAACGATTACATACTGCATGAATTCATGACGTTTTTACTCGTGTAAAACCAACAATAACTGAGAAACCAACCGCAAAATAATAGAGAATACGAGCAGTTCTCCTAAACTTACAACACGGGCACGAACGACGTTGGCGTACTGCATGTGCAATGGGCTCTCATCTGAAATATAACAAGTGATGATAATAATGCTAACAAACTCCTTACAGTGTGGAGTTGGGAAAATATGCACATGGTCAACAACATATTCTGGCGGCAATATGAAAATTCTGAGAGGAAATTATTCCTGATTCCTGTACATTTGTACCGATATTCGTGTGTTAACTTCGGCAATTTTTCGTTCTTATTAATTATTATAGAAGTATATCATTAGAGGAGAAACTCCCGAGCTCAGCTGAGGAAAGCAAACATATATTCCCCACAGTGTGGCAGTGACAGCATTCTGGGCTCCTCAGTCACCGCATTGGAGATCTTCCGCCCTGTCAACCTTGGCGGCCGATGACTGGAACAGTAAGCATAACGCTTCAATGGTGCACGTTCTGAAAAAAATGCCTATAAAAGTGCATACCACTCCACGGCGAACTAGTGTGAGAATATGTGCACATGTGTTAGTGAAAATATGGAAACTATTTTCGTTGGTTTTTGTACATCTCTACCCGAAATCGTGTGTGGATTTTAATGATGTAGTGAGGAAACTTACGGGCTCAGTTGAGGAAATCAAAATTGTATACCACTCCACGGCGAACTAGTGTGAGAATATGTGCACATGTTTTAGTGAAAATATGGAAACTATTTTCGTTGGTTTTTGTACACCTCTACCCGAAATCGTGTGTCAAAATGTCATAATCGATTGTCATAATGTAGTGAGGAAACTTACGGGCTCAGTTGAGGAAATCAAAATTGTATACCACTCCAAGGCGATCTTACCGTTCCGGAGAGCTTCCAAGACTTGCTTGTCAATAGCCGGATTCTGTCCCCCAGAAGCGGTGGAGCCGCCACTTCTCGGTCGACACGCTGACCCCGCGAGAACCTGGAAAATTTTCATCATGCGCATGCGTGCAGATTATTATTCATACCACTCCAGAAGAACTTTTTATGATAAAGTGGCAACCAGTGTACCATCCACATGATACATGGAAACGCCGACTGAATCAAAACATTACATATCATTTTCTGGTTGATCTACTAGACCGTACATGCACCCGGGCTTAGCACACTTCACAGTGCATCCAGAGCGTTGACCGCATATCCAGCATAGGCTGAAGTGTGCCTGGTGTGGTATGAGAATTAATTATTATTTGCTGACGATGATTATACATCTTTCGGTATCGATTTAATCAGTGCATGTGAATTAATATCAATTGGGGTAGTTGTCATATTGAGACTCAGTGACTGAGTTGGCAGTAACCAATACACGCAACGCGGATGTACCTATCGTGACGATTTTACCCGGGGAAAAACGACGAAGTGTTCATACCCAAAACCCATGAGGATCCCATTGCCGTTCCTCGGGGTTCTCTACACGCACAAGAAGACCTCCTAGCTGTTGACACAAAATACAGTAAGTGTCTGAGAATTTCACGGACCCTTCACTGCTGCCTGCATCTATCGCCTGAGAAACAGAAATTACGCGAAAAATGTTGATCTCGTTGGTGTTTTCCTTGGATAAATTCATAAAGTACTTTCACGATTGCATTCTCAGTTGAGTTGAAGTTGAAATTTATTGTGTTATTTATTCTTGTAACTGTGATTGTTACATTTCATGACTAATATTGTATGAAATTTATACTTTTGATGCTACAGCTGAATTCACTACCATGGAACACTGAGTGTTGAAACCTATCTTTGTTTTTCTCCTATGTTGTTGGATTGAAGCAACAAGAATTCTCAATTTTGACTAAGCAGCGAAGTCTCCTCACAGAGTGCTCAGCAGTGGAGTCTTCTCCCAAGGCTTCCTCAGCAGTGTCACTTTTGATGCCATACCGCGCCTTTCCAAATTCATTAATGTACTTGCAACGTTCGCACAGGAAAGTGCCCTCCTCCTCATTTCGGGATGTCACAGGATACGGGCAATGATACATAGCAGATGTGAACTGGAATAAATCACCCATACATAATCGTCGGTGTTCAATACCTACCTTGGGATCGTCATAGTCCAAAACGTTCAACGGTGGCAGACCAGGTCGGAGGAAACATCGCCAGTGAACGGTCAAACCACAGTTCTGGCAGGCTCTGAAATGTGACGATGGTGTGGTATGGAAAATAATAAAAGGCCTCACACTAGCTTATCCATTCCCTTACCATAACTCGACGAACTCAGCTCCGCTCCGTCGGCTCTCATCAAACATTCATTGCAGCGGCCGCATACTAAAAGGCAACAACACCTCATATACGAACACTCAAGGGCATTTCCCTACTGCTAGCCGCGTGAGTTTGTGACCTCAACTGTTCTGCAGTTTCAACAGCGATCTTATCGGGATATAAAACACCTACACTCGAGAGTCACCGAAATGACAAGTGCGGTCGCCTGCCTGAGTATTCGCCGTTTCGGTTCATCGATCCTGTTGAATTTCGTGGCGCCGTGACGGTCATCCCGTATGCTCCTACAGAACCTGTCACTATTTTCAACATCACCATGATTAATCAACACCCCCGGTGAAGTGAATTCCTAATTTCAATGTTCACAGTTTAGAAAATGAGAATTTCGTGTTTATGTACATCAGCGATACGCTTTCGACGAAGCTTCACCCGTTTAACGTGAACGTAAACTCCATGAAAATTATGAGACGTATATGTTGCCGCGATCGATCACAGGATTGTATTCCGCGAAGTGAGTTGTTGGATACAGCTTTCACTAGTGTTTTTCATATCACGGCTGAAACTCCATTTATTTTGTATAATACGATTTAACAAGTGTACCACGCCTCCTATTACTCGATGTGAAAAACATTTCACTTCACGTAAGTGCATGTGAGCAGTGGATAACGTGTAGAAGAAATCATGTGTTTTATGTGACTTGTCCAATATAATTCGCCAAGTATTTTCAATCCACCTCGTATCGCGCTTTGTTATACCACTCACGTAAACTCCATTGCATACACCCCTTTCTCCCATCACCAGTAGTAGTAGTCCCCGCAGTGTTAGTAATAGCTGCAGTCCCCGCTTGCTGCGATGGATACAAGAGAGGGCAGTCCCCACGACCATCTCGTATTATTGGGGGTAACAGTGCTCTCGATATCTCGTTGGAGCAGAGATGTTCTACAGGCTCGAGTAGTTGCCCTGCGATGGAAACACACTGTCAATCTTGGTTTCCACAAAACATTCCAAGTCGCGTATTTACCAATTTTTCCGTGAAAATTGCGGAAATTTCCACTTTCACCATGAAATTTTCCAATGGGAATCAGGTGTAATTTCCTATTGTTTCCTCGAAAATTTATTCCGTTTACATACACATGCACTCGACGATGCGCGAATTCCCCACGAGACGAGTTTCCATAACGAAATAAATTCGGTTATTGTTACGTATAGAAGCTTCCTCAGAATCGAATTGCCATTGGAATATCGATGAAGGGTCGCCCGTGTCCTGTCCGAACCCAGCAGCTGTAACAAGGCGAGGGTCGAAGGGGGCAAACTGACATGTGCCGGGATCGAACCCGCGGTCTACGCTTTCCAACTACGAATTTATCATGTGACAGTCGTGTGAAGTGTTCCGACTTCCGCCAAGCTTTCAGTCTCGCAAGGAGGGCATTGCCCTGCTTCTGTTGCTGCCTTGAGTGGCGAGGGCAGTAAATTACCTGAAAAATGCCCCTTCCAGGGATCGAACCCGGGACCTACTCGCTCAACCTACCCAGGCAGCGTTACCGCCAGTACCCTCAGTAACAAGTCCATATCGTGCAGCACAACTGACATGGTAGAAATTCTGACCTGAAGTGTATCATCCTCGTGTGAACGATCTCTCGGCACTACATTTCCCAAAGGCGCATTGAACCTTCGCTCCAACTCGCGACTTGCATATACCACAGAGCAAGTCTCGTCGAGAAGGATGAATCTGACGCCTTCACAGTTGGCTGAGAGACGAATGAGGATGCGGTCACTCACCACTGCTCTTATTGGTTCCATAACGGTCGTTGGATTGTCTATTGAGCATTCTCTAATCCACACAGCGCACTTGACGTGAGCCCAGGCCCCCAGAGAACCCGACGCTGCTGTTGGGATGTTTGAATTCGTCGGAGTTGTCGGACTGGGCGTAGAAGCAGGTAATATTGGATCTACGAGAGATCGCGAGTTCAATCCCGTGAACGATCATTCTCACTACCAATATCAACTCACCTGCTGCTCGTGCCCCAGCAATCTTCCCGGGCATCGAAAGAACTGCAGGCTTCATCAAGCCACCTCCTACGAACTCAGAGTCTCGACCGCAAAGTACCTTAGTTATGCAGCTACTGCGACCATTCTTACACCAAGACTACTTACACATGTTGGCCGTTCCCCGACTGGTCGATTTGAGGCGTCACGGGGGAATACGGAACATGTCCGACAGAACCTGACTGTTCTCGTGTTACACTATGAGATCAGCGAGTGTTTCACGTGAACAGTGTCGTCACGTAGAAAGAGTCACGCGCCAGGAGATTCCAATAAATCATTTGCTAAGCCTCAGTCCAATCATTCAACGACGCGTGATTCTTCGAGGTGAGGGACACATGGACGTATCTTACGAGAGCTTTGGCATATCTGCCCCACCAGATAGAGCTGATTATTGATAAAAGCGGAAATATTCGTAGCGAGAAATATCTTGGAGTGGCATAGCGGCCCCATCAATGATCTCACTATGAACGGAATTCTCTGCATTGAGGCACATCCTAGAGTGGCATAGCGGCCCCACCGGACAGAATTGATGTCAATTATTTTTATTAAAAGATTCATACCATAAATTCAGCAACTCATGAGGGAATATCATCCCTATTATCCCTCATAATGACGCTGTATGCCCACCGACACCAAACCTACCATTCTTGCTCTGGAATCGAAGGGACGCCATAACACTTCTGATGACAGGCGAAGTGGCAGCCGTCACATATAAGAATGGCGTTATCATCATCAACATCTCCATCACCACATATCGAACCTTCAACGGATAGACGATTCTATCATATATCCCATCAGCGTGCGTACAGCACAGGTCAACCTCAGCATCCGGCCCATCAGGATGAGCAGGGACTTCCTCGCCATCCCTAAGAGCTCGGCCAAGTGTCGCCAGGAATGCCTCATCTAATGGCGGCAACTCTAAAGTTGCTCCCCCTCCTCGAGAACTGATGCTCTTCCTTGATGACAGCCTGGTCGCCGGTGGTAGCTGAGTCCCACTGTGAACACTAGAGGGTGGGCAAGTCTCATAACTGAAACGATTCCCTTTCTATAGAACTTGACAATACGAAATTTCCGAGAGGAAATTTTGAGGGGAAATTCTCAGGGGTTTCTCAATATTCCTACACCGATTCGTAGATTGAATTCTATAACTAGTGAGGAAACTTCTGAGCTGAGGGAAGCAAACATGACTTCCAACAGTGCTATGGAATGTGAAATGAAATGACACCGCTATCCTTGCCTCCCCTTACGCCTTCAACAAAGCCTTGTCTGCATCAAACCAAACTTGACGATTCGGACGCTCCTAAAGCACCAGTCTCCGGCAACTCACAGCAGAGTACACACCTTTTGGTCCAGCTGAATTTTATCCAGTACTGGGCTAAGGAGCTTCAGTTTCCGCGTCTCAATGTCGGCAAGCAGAGCTAAGCGAACTTCCACGACCACGTATAAGAACAAGAACCAACCCTTGAGTGCGGCAACCTCTCCTCCGTCCCCAGTGATCTTCTTCCGGTCGACTTTGCGGTCTTTCATCGCCTCCACTTTAATCACATCAAGGCAGTTCACGCTCAGTGGACCTGATAATTTCCAAGCCGAGAATACTTCCGAGGAACAAAACCTCACCTTCTTTTGTTGAACACGACGAGGGCAGGCTGGACGGAAGCATGATCCATTCCCGTCCTGGCCGACTATCATAAAGGAGCTTCGGTATCTGAACACGCGAAGCGATCAGAGCCTCCAGAGTATCGACACTTACAGTAGAGTCCCATCGTTCGCCATCATCATGCGGACTGGATGCGGCAAAGTTTATCACGATGGTCCGTCGAGTAGTATCTTAGGTTCACGATGGTAAGATTCAGAACAGGTCACTTTGCGCAACCTACCCTCAAGTTTCGTTCCATTCAAAGGAGTCTTATCAGCCGAATTACTGCCGACCTCGAATCTGCAGTGAAATAAACTTCCAATCACAGCAAAAGATCCGCGTTACTTCATTTCAAAAAGCTCACCGTCTGATAAGACCGCAAACGCATCAGCAGGAAGGTCCGTACTGACAAGCAACATCCACGAGAGAATTAGAGAGCATCAACTCACTACTTGCTCTCTGGGGAATCTTTCTTCTCAATCGAGATTGGCTTCTCTTTGAGCCGCTCTAACATACGTAGTAGGTCGTGCGTGGGGGGAATGCTCGAGAAATACCTACGAGAAATGATGACCGACGAGACCCCATGAAAAGCGTCACTCACACAGTGTCTAAGCTCATCCACAACTTAGAGAGAACTGCAGCGGCTACCGACGAGGAGGAGCCACTACGACCATTCCCACTGATCCCCACACCTCCACTGGATGCAGCAGCCGACATGGAAAGGAGACTTCAACACTGTAAAGCATCCTTAATTTGTAAAGCAAACTGGTCCCGGTAGGTAAGGTAAAAATAAAGAGTGTTCTCCCTGATACCGTCGGTGCGATCGGCGCAAATTGCAAAGTCATATTGATCGTGAAGTCGCAATGAATAACACTACTAAGAGAGCCGGGCTCAGCCCGACGGGCCGTAACGTCGTCTGTAAGTGATGTGAGTTGCACCTCACTAACCCCAGTTTAAAATAATGTCGCTTTCCTCTTGGTGATTGATCACAGAATGGTATGCAAGGGATATGGACACTTATGCGCATGCGTGCAGAAGATTCACGCAATGTCTACAATGCCGCGGCAACGACTTGGGAGCTATTTTCAGTGTCAGAAAACATGTACATAATCAACTGCATGTGTTGGTGACAATGCGAACATCCTGAGGGAATCTCGAGGGAATTCTTATTGGTTCTCTTACATTCTTATTGGCGAGCTGTAGTGAAATCAAGACAGCAGGGTAATCACGGGTTGCGGAGCTGAACGCTGACTCTCGCACCACCTCCGTGGTGAAGGAGGAGGACTGCATAATGAGTACAAAGCCGCAGGGCGTGCTTACTAGCAAGGGGAGTTCGAGGAAACAGGAATGAGAACTAATGAGCATCTGGGTTAGGTACATCAACATCAATGAGTGAGGTTATAATGCAATATATGATTCCCCTGACCGCCACCGTAACGGTCGCCAAGTATCCTTCACAGTGCGCGGTAAGGAACCAACTACTACAAAGGTCGGCGAGGGACGCTCCTCGGTTGTCCAGTGAACAACCACGAGGGAATTCAATGAACTCACTGACTATATCATCACTAGTGGGAAGAATACCGTGAACGATTTTCCATGGGAAAGAGAAATCGGGCGAGTGACAAGTTAAGAGTTAACTTCAGATTAAGACTTGGACGTAGACTTCGATGACGACTGAACCTGCCAGCTAGATCAGTGTAACACTAGGGCATTCAATAGCCCACGCCTCGACAACTGGGTTCATAAGAGAACTATTGGAACCATCTCAGAGATGGAAAGAAGTGATATGTTCTTCGAAACTTCATACCAGTCTATGATCACACACTCCAACACCCCAGGAAAGCCTCACCTTGTGGCGAGCAGGGTCGGCTTCAGAACGACTCGTGGTCGATTGTCATGATAGAATCTCGGTTACTGAACATCGAGCCGTTGAAGCCACTTGAGGCCGCTTCACACCCACGATAGAGTCTAATCACCCTCTATCATCACTGTAGGTGGACGGGAAACTTAACTGCGAGAAACTCTCGGCTGATTTAACAACATTTAATTTTCTCGCTAGAGAGCGATTGATCTGAAGTGACTGTTACAACGCAAGGCAGGTTCTGAAACGAATAAACCAATCTCGATAATCGAGTCACTCGATCCGAGTGAAATAGCGGAAATAATGAGAGATCGATAACTCATGAGGAACAACTCATAAACTCGCTATCTATCTCTAGAATAAAGTTTGAACCGGACAAAGGATGCTGAGACCTGTGCCTGAGCCTTGCGTTGAGGCTTTAGGGCGTCACTTCCATTGCGGGTAAAAACACACTTCCCCGGCCCCACCGGTCCTCTCGCACCTTCCAGGCCATGGGCATTGATAATCCTGAGGGGCAAAACAATTACTTTCAGTTCAGGGTGAAAGAACGTATGATGATTGCTGAGAGTAGCACAATGGACTATAACCTACTCTGCTGCAACTGAGGAAGCATCTCCCATCTGAACACACTGCGTGAGTGTTTGGAGGCGGAAAAGGGCAATCGGACTGCCTCCTACACGATGCAGTGCAAACCGCATCAATGGCGTATCCTCCCTAAGTTGGACACAAGGATATCCGGTACTCAACGATAATGACAGCCTACTTGAAGGAAAACAGCTGGAGTCGAAGAAGAACAATAACAACCCGTAATCCTCTGCGGTGTGTAGGTACATTCACCGGTCGGTTTTTCATAAGGTCCTACAACACAGGTGAGAACTCTGCTGTTCTATCTCGTGTGATGAGCTTACCCCCGGTATGGACCGGATAAGAAATGATCGAGCTCCTCGATCTGAGGGGAATCGATTATACATCACCAGGACGTATGTGATTCGCGATTACTTACTCATTGACAGGGTAGTAGATGTTATTGTCGGCATCAACGTAGGAGGCCAAAAGAATACCGATCATCGTCATGATGCTCATAGTTCCAGAACCAGTGCTTTACTTTTTTACGCTGTTGCCGCGTAAATTGTTCCTCGGACAGCTAGTTTGTGCGTGCGTGCAGCGCAACGACGTGGATCATGATCTAAAACAGGCAAATCCAGATGATTCACCTGCCTCGGATTTGAATAGTCACCTGAGGTAACATATTTCCAGGAAAGAAACGCCGCTATAATCCAAGGTCCCTGACGGAGATTCAAGATGATCGTGCCGAGTTCTATCACATCCTCTAAGTGGGCGTCTGACGACTTCACACGCCCACCTACACTCTACACATGTCACACGTCAGTGACGTGACGTCACGAAGCCCATGGGATTCGAACATGCGTTATATCCCTTGAACCCATATAAATGGCTCTTGTAGACAGAAACAGCACAGAGACCGCTTGAACTCTATCAGCGCCTCTCTTCCCATGATAGGATACCGCCTATTCATAAGTTCTACAGTACCAAATTAATATAAATCGAACTCCTAGAGTGGAATCGTGTGAAATAACGCGTCGCTCCGCTGTATTTTCATGGATTGTTGTACATTCTCGATTATGGCGTCTTCAGATTGCTTTCATGCCTTTCTTGGGCTGGGAATCGGCAGAGGAGAAGAGGATCCGGGAAGAAGCTGAACGGAAGGGGAAGAACGGTAGTAGTAGTGGTTTGGGTCTCGACGAGTGTTGTTACAAAACTGTTGTACGCACGAACTGGCAGTGGTCATGATAGTGTCTGTAACGATCCTCAATAATATATCGTCAATATTGCATGGCCCCACGTATCTTCTGTGGAGTCCAAGAATTCTATATACCTTGGTTCCTGGGCCTCCTCAGAAAGAGTCTTTCTGTTCGACTATTTGCTCACTGTGAAGTATAGACTCATTCAGAGTATAAGGGAATGAATGGCAATCCTCATTGCACCTGCTAATAGGGAATATATTGAGGGTAACGGTCGGGCAGGCAATATCTACGTCTCTAATATGACGATAACTGAGGGTAACGAGTCGAGACGGTGGTGGTGGTTGTGGTGAATTCATACGATATTGGGGAAACTCTCAAGGCTGGACTGCACCTCAATACTTCTTTTGGTATGATCGACCTCTAGTGCGGGGCAACTATGCCACCCTAAGATATGTCTCGACATAACCAATTTCCCCGGATGGGGCAACTATGCCAACCTAAGATATGTCTCGATACAACCGATCTCCCCGGTTGGGGCAACTATGCCACCCTAAGATATGCCTCGACATAACCAATTCCCCCGGATGGGGCAACTATGCCACCCTATGATATGTCTCGGCATAACCAATTTCCCCGGATGGGGCAACTATGCCAATCGAACTCCCATTCGATTTCAAAAATCCTCATGAGTCGCTAATCGACGGACGACGGGAATGTACCCCAATCGGACCTCAATGGTATCTTACCATCTGGGCACACTTAGTATCTTATCCTTTCTAGGGCCGCGTGGGAAAATATTCATACGGTCAACTACATGTGGTGATGACAATATGAAAATACTGAGAAAATTCGGTGGGTTTCTGAACCTTTTACATACCAATCCCTGCAACTAGTGTCGGATCTCCCTGGGCTCAGCTGGGGGAAGCGATCATGTGCATCAGAAGTGCTCCAGGTCCAATCATTCGGATACGACCGCCCCCTTCTCTTCATAGTGCGGTAGAGAGGAGCGGTGAGGGTCTATTCCGTGGCCTCACTGCTGGAATGTGCCTCGGACTTGTCACGGCTACCTCCGTAGCGACTACACGGCGGTTCGATGGGAGGTAGAGATTATTGTCGGTGAAAACGTATGAGATGGTGGCTCTGCAGACTTTGCATGAAGTGATTGGAGTTTTCCGACTGAAAGTTGAGCGTAGGCCTACTCCACGGACCAATAGTGTCATTCTCTAGTGCATACGAATGAACAACACGGTTCTACCGTACTCTACTATGAGTCTCTAAGGCTTCGAATCAGACTAACGAAATGGTGCGCCGACTCGTCGTGTAGCTCCTGGTAATCGGTCATTGATAAGGCAATTGTGCAGGTTCTCCCTCGGTCGTGGATTGCTGCATGTAGGGAAGTGCTCAGGTCTGGGCGGATTGTGGATGTTTCTCATGTTCTATTCGAGATATTCACTCATTGATGATACGCATATGAATGGTGGGTACGGGTTGAGGTGTTTAGGGCCTCTTAGATATGGTAGGAGTGAAGAGAGGAGTACTTGTGATATACTAGATAGTTCAAGTTGCGGGAGTTATTATTCTAGTATTTGCTTTCGTATGGGCTTAATGAGTGAATACAGCCTTGTGAGTTGCATTAGCGCCTTCACGAGCCACATACATGAGTAAGCCTGCATCTCGTCCCTCCCCCTCAGCCATCCCAGCATGTCTCCTCGGCGGTGCCTTTGCTGGCAGTACGTCAGCGTTCTTATACCGACCAAGACTCACTGGCACGCAGGTAATGTCTGTCTGCTCTTATCGCACTAGTTCTTTAACTGGTGAGCATTATAATAAGGGTAAGCTAAAATCATACAGTGCATCCCCGCATAGTGTGATTAACTTCCTGGACATTTCAACTCCCTGTGATGACCGGCGAAATTCACTCGCTCAGCGCACTTCAAGGTGGCTTGTGAAGTTGCTCATTCATTTCCCATGTCAGATTGTTGGAGTAACTTTGGCATCCACTGTGCTTAACCTCTTGAGTGGTTATTATGAGGAAGTTGATCGGATTAATCGTCGAAGTAAAATTTCGTGATTATTTCTGTACTAACATCCTATGATAGAATTACTGGAAATGAAATAATTCGTGTTCGCAAGTTCTCAATGATATGGGTTCAGAAGTATTTTGAGGAAGCGGTCATGTTCCTATTTGCGAAGATGGGGCGGGATGAAGAGCTCGTGAACGGGGGTCTCGAGTGTGCGCATAGCATTATAGTAGTTTTTGTTCAATATCTTCATCCGGTTATGGTGGAAGTTACAAGGGAGTTCGAGCACTACATGACTGAAATCACAGGGAACTCCATCAGACTGTCGCCTATCCCTAAGAAGGTTGATGCTAGGGATGCTATAGAAGAGCAGGTGAGGGCTTTCTGATATGTTGTGTTTTGAGCACGAGGTGCGATAGTGTAGTTCCCAGTTCCTATCTTATTTGCTATTGACTGTTGTTGTCATATGTTTTGCCACTCGTTGGATGAAGTATATCCCTGTGGTCGCTAGGATCATCTCAGTGAGCTGTTGTATCGATTTCCGACCGATGATACCTGAATTTCCTGATAATTTATACTTACTCATTGCATTCGAATCGTTGGAGCTGCAATCGTGATATACAAAGTACCTTCATACGACTTATATTCTCTTGAGGTTTCTTGATAGTGCTATAGAGGAAGCAGTTTGATGATGATAAGCGATGGGGGAAGTTGTATTTCTGGTATAGATAAGTCAAGCTGCAGAATTGATAACAGCAGTGTCGGCTAATCTGGCTGCGGATCGGTCAACTTGGCGTGCTGGAAAAACGACAAGTGTGGGATTCGAACGTATGGCTGCGGATACTCGAGAAAAGGCTGGTGCTGCTATGGATAGGCTTGGTACTCTACTGAGGGAGCGGGAACGATCTATGATAGGGTAAGGGAGAAGAAGCACTCTCATGCTGACCACCTTCGCTGCGCACGAGTCTAGTTCACAGTTGCGGAACTTCAACGAATTAGGCGCACAATTTGTTGAGGAAAATACGAGGATTAGGAATATGAGTGCATCAGGGTTTCCTCCATCTTTGTACTCTATATGGGAATCGACTCCACAACATGCGATGAAATTTCAATTTATCATACTCGGCAAAGCATTTTACAGGTCCGCACCGGCCTTCTATCGATCTGTTAGAGAGATATTGACTAGCCGCCTTAAGGAACTAGATGATGAAGTGCGACAATGGCAGATGTATAAGCATAAAGTGTCTAGTGAAAGGGAACAAAGGTATAATAAACGGCTCACTCTAATCTTTCATCGTGGCATTCTTGATGATCAACGAGCTCACCTTGTGAGAGCTTCATTACGTTATCCTAACCATTCGAACTTGAGAGTTTTCTGGTATCGTTTAGTTTCTGAAACTGTCAGCAGGAAGATGTTCTTGATGGTAGGTATGAAGCTGATCCATTCGCTTTAGAGAAGGAGACAGCCCGAGTGGAGGCGTTAAGGAAGCTCAAGGCAGAACAAGAGGGACAAGTGAAGCATGTTGATACTCTACCAACGATGACCAGGTGGTCTACACTTTTACTGTCGTATTCGATTCCCGTCAACGTTATTGGGTCAGCACCGACAGAGGAAGAATTTCATTTCGACTTTCACTCGTGGAAAATCGTAGATTCTTTTGTGCATAAGCGAACTTATGTTATTCGCTTGGTTGAGCGAGTCATTGTTATCAGTTCTGAGGGGTACTCTCCGTTGGCGAGAGAGAGTCGAGAAGATACTGGTCTTGAGATGGAGAGTCAGATGCTGTTGGCTACTTATACGAACGAACTGGATCATGTAGGGTGATGAACAGGAGAAATGTCCATCATGTTTGTTCAGGCAAGAACAACCCAGCAGAAGGTTGAGGAGTTGAGTCACGTTGTGGGAGTGATGGGCACGAAGGTGAACGAACAGATGGAACAAATTGGCGGGGTAGGCATTCTCGCTCCTCATTGGTACATTGAGAATTATTACCATAAATGATAAATAAAAATATTATATATTGAAGCGAGCACCTTCCCAGGGTGGATTGGTAAGAGATTGAGATTTAGCTGCTGTTTTCTCTCTTGATTGTTAATGTGAAGAAAACAATCAGATGTATTGATGATGGATACAGCTAACGTTTTTACCCAGTTGAACGGTGGCGGATCGTGAGGGTTTTCTTATTTTGGATTTTCAGATTCACTCAATCGCTCAAGATTCGACGGCATACGTCTCAGCAGCGGGAGACCAGTTGATGAAGGCGAGAGCACATCAGTCGTACGCCTGTTATATTGTTACTTGGTTCGTTGGCTCAGCTTTGTCGTTGATCTTACTAGATTGGCTTGTGTAATAATCTCTCATGAGTTATGTTGGTGGTTAATTCATGAGTGAGATAACGTTTGTATGAGCTAGCTTCAAAATTTCTTCATCCACCCAGTTGGTGGTGATAAGCCTTGGAGTACCTGCAATCTACCAGTGGAACTTGAGTAAATGAATCTCAGAAAATGCTAGCTTAGTTCGGGCCAGATTGATATCTATGGTATGGAGATACGATCGAGGAACTGTTGAAGATTGTCGAAGCCGACTGAGAGTAGGCTCGTCGTGGATGAGCTTCAGCTGTTGTACTAGCGATGCTCTTAGTTCTGCATCGTCTTCCCGCCAAGGAACGCCTGGCTTCTCATAATCGAGGATGCGAGTAGTTGCGGAACGACACGGTCGCAACGGTGCATTCTGAGTGGGCGGCCGGAACCACCCATCGATGCGGTGAGACTGCTGTTTCCCTGCGTGACTGTGGATAGAAGAGCAGGAAAACGTCCTTTTGTTAGCTGTTCGCGTGCATTCCGTTTCTGAGGAGTGGGTTTGGTAGCAACATCACTGTGTCGAGTGGGCACGATGAGTTCTCACTGAATGATGAATTATAGGTCATTCCACACCACTAATAAACCAGAATGCATGTTCGACGCAGACTAGTATCGTCGATCCACTACGGCCGACTTGATCTGTCGATACCATCTCGTGATCTCACGCCTACTCGGGAAGCGTACGGGATTCAATAACGTATAAGAATGTATCCACTTCGATGTGCTCGTTTCGAGGGGCGCGTTGTTAGGCGCAGCTCGTTCGTTGTGTTCAAGAAACTATCATGAACGGTGAGACGATCAGTTGCCTCGAGTACGCCTATCATAGTGGGATGTGGGCGCTGGTCACTAGTAGTGGCTCTGTATGGCTCGACCGTGGAAGGGCTGATGCTGAATCCAGTAAAAATCTTGTTGTAGTGATCATCGCTGGCTTTTATCTAGCTAGAATCGTAGTGGTGTCGTCAGAATATATAGCTCAGCAGTATACAGGATAGGAACAAACGATTGTTTCATTAACGCCGACCTATAGAGACAAAATCACTGTTTCACAACGAATCGAGTATTGTCTTGGAATTACTGCAGACTCGCGGCACTGTTGTTCTCTATATTCACCAAGTCAGTCGCATGCTGCAGCTTGGGTCAGTGTTTTCCCAGGCTACTATCGGTCGCTACGACGAGCTCTCACTGAGTATCCCAACATTTGCGGGCTTTCCTTTGGAAATGCGAAGTTCAACTGGTGAGGTGCAGTATGTGTTGGTTGATCATCATCCCAAAGAAGCTCATGAGCTGCAATCCGTTTCTACTGTTGTTTTTTTCATTCGCAGCTGGGTGTTGATTCACTCCGACGGCAAAGGAGTCCTAACATACGGCCGTCTGCCTCGTAATCTCACTCGGGATCTCGAACGAGCGGTCAGTCAGGATGGGGGAGTGAAGCTCATCAGGATAACTCTGGATAGGGTAAGAACAAGCATACGAGCATTCGAGAGCCAACTGAATCTGTTGAGCTGACAACCATTCAAATGAACATAACTGCTGTTCGTTTATAGGACGATGATTATCATCGGATGATATCATGTGATTGCAGCTACTCACATGACAGCTTTTTAATCCTTCGATGGGGGATGAGAGGTGGCGGCCATAGCGGCCCCTCCCCTATTCGGCCGCCCTAAATAGATCTCTGAATGGTATAGTCCGTAGCGGGGGGCATAGCGGCCCCTCCCCTATTCGGCCGCCCTAAATAGATCTCTGAATGGTATAGTCCATAGCGGGGGGCATAGCGGCCCCTCCCCTATTCGGCCGCCCTAAATAGATCTCTGAATGGTATAGTCCATAGCGGGGGGCATAGCGGCCCCTCCCCTATTCGGCCGCCCTAAATAGATCTCTGAATGGTATAGTCCATAGCGGGGGGCATAGCGGCCCCTCCCCTATTCGGCCGCCCTAAATAGATCTCTGAATGGTATAGTCCATAGCGGGGGGCATAGCGGCCCCTCCCCTATTCGGCCGCCCTAAATAGATCTCTGAATGGTATAGTCCATAGCGGGGGGCATAGCGGCCCCTCCCCTATTCGGCCGCCCTAAATAGATCTCTGAATTGTATAGTCCGTAGCGGGGGGCATAGCGGCCCCTCCCCTATCCCATATTCCCACTGTGATCGTCTCGCCAGGCGCCCCATTACCTAGTGGTTACACGGCGAGGTAACTGTTATGGTGTCACCAATGGAGAGCAGCAGCAGCAGCGCATGGAAGGACTCCTGCTTGACAGGACTAGTGGGCTCGAGGTGCGACGATTAATTCTGCTGCTCTGTGTTATGCAAAGAACGCTGAAGACTGCTCGATTTGTATCCTTAGATGTACTGGGACGAAGCAGGAGGCATCTTCTACAAGCACATTCCCGAGTCCCTTGAACGAGAGCTACGGCGAGCATTGGGGATCTGACGTATTGTGTGGTCATCCACTTATCAGCCACTAATAATTCCAATTGTTGTTATCGTCTCGGAAAGCCGCTTTGGTGACTCAGTCACCATGACTGTAACGAGTCGATGAGCATCGAATTCGATGGTCGCTGGATCTAAAAATCAATGATCTTGCTCCTTCTTTATAAGTGTATGTCTCTTCATCGAACTTTGGTGTTGTGTGATCGGTCTCTAGGAACAACCTCTCCGAATCGGTGTCTGTGAGCCCGTTATTGTCTACTCCCCTATGGACGACCCCAAGTCTTTCGCAATCGTCGGAGAAAACACAACCAGCGCTTCTCGGTCTGAGTGGGACCTTGATGCTGATGGTATGTTCAAGACGTACTTCATGTTAGAAGGCTCTTCTTGTAGAAGGCGGCTGGTCACCATCTATTTCGCCCTATCGACCACACGACGGTGATCGTAGTGTAATTCATTCTGACACGTTCATAAGGAAGTACGTCAATGAAGATATCCTCAAAACAGCATCCGGGTGTTTTCAGGGAGGCTCGAGCAAGTGTTGATACTCAAGAGATCGACGATGAAGATGCATTAGTAGGGCGGCTTTGGAACCAAGTCGCCTAAAGCCAACACATAGCTTGCGATATATAGAGCGGCAGAACTCTGCTTTAGATCGTATCGATCCATCTTTTTATAGAAACTATAACTTTTTCATTGAGAGTCTAAGTCCACCTTGAGGTATTTCAGAGAGATAGCTTCGATACCCAAACAGTCCCATGGAAGGTCAGCCTCCCTGTTCAATCGACGGATCACACAGATGTGAGCAATTGTGTTCTTGGCGGGCTAACTATCGCCTTCTAGGAGAGCCCTCTAACTTCTCTCGCTGGTGCCGTCCCTAGGATGGTTGATGAGGCCCTCGAGAAAGCCCAGTCTTTTCTGCGAGAGAACGTCGCTGTCGATCGCACTGATGATCTTAGGGAGTAAGTGGTTGAATCAACTGTTGAGGACATTGGTTCCATGTGAGGTCCGACAGTCAGAATATTCCCTCGGTTGAGCCTTTACAGACAAGTCGACCGAATGAAGCCGCCAGCACTTCTTACTCTGTGGGCACTTTGGAGAACCCTCCGATGGTGCTCCGTGGCAGCTCGGTTGAACAAGATATGCCCAAGCAAAGCAGAAGCATCGAGAGAAAAGAGCAACATGGTATTAGTGAAACAGGAATAGACCCGAAGTCGATCGTTGAGATGGTGAGGGATGCGGTCGCGGGTATGCTCGATGAGAGGCTGAAGGCAAAGGAAGAGGAACAACGACTGCTCGTGAGCAGCGCTGTGGAGGTATCATGGCGAACTACTGAGTAGCGAGTAGTTCCATCAGGAATAATCTGTGGCTACAGCATTTCGATTACTGTTCATGAGATGTCGTTTTCACTTGAAGCTTCGATTTGGAGGATTCGCTTGTTCCATCAGGAATCTCGGAATCTGGCGCAACGGGCTGCGGAACTAGAGTCGGCATTAGAACAATCGATGCGACGCGAGCGTGAACTGGCTCAAAAGTTGACCACAAAAGAAACTGATGATCGGCGAAGCGATGCTCAACAGGTAAGTTGTCAGGAACGATCGCCGTCTCGGGCGGTCCTCTCTTGAGTGTTCTCTCATCGTGCCTTTGTTGGTATGTAGAGCAGGAGTAGTTGATCGCTCTGTCAAGCTAGTTGCTAGCCTAGCGGTTCGGATGGTAGGTGAGCGCACTTTGGACATTTACTTCAGGTACCTGCATCGGCATCAATTGGTGAATCGGAGTTGCAACGAGGACGGGCTGCTACTTCGGAGGACTCGAACGCTTCCAAGGAGAACAGCGAGCATGTGCAAGGGAGTGTAAATGGTGCAAGCCAGATGGCTCAACGAGAGGATAGGGGCAGGTGAGCTTCTGAGTCGACGCTTCGGACTCGAACGTTATATACTTCCTATCGTAAACAGTACGAAGTCTATTCTATCAGTATAAGCTGCTGTATGTAGTAGGAAAGTCTTCAAATAGGATTCTAGTATGTGAGTAATAGTACAGATAGCTTATTGTGGAAGAATATCTTGGCGGTTGTGATTTGTCTACCTTTCGTTCCTCATTGTCTATAGAGTTTGTTGTGTCCGGGTTGTCATATATTGCACCGATCAAGCACTTGTTGAGTCTTCAGGAGCTCCATGCTTTCGCCATCGAGACCGCTTATGGCCTCAAGCATGGGCGCATCGGTGCCCGTCTGTTCGGCGCATGGTCTTCCGCTTACACAGTGGAGTGAGGCGATGCAAGCGGCTATGTGTAGTCGATGCATATCGGAACAAAAATGCCGGTACGCATTCCGCCACATTGGATGATCTATCCTCGTTTACGTTTTATGAATATTGAATTGACGTATTCTTGGCAGGCGTGGGAGAGTGAGATCTTTGGGTTGGGGTACCACGCTCGAGTTTCACGGAGTTTGTGATGAAGGAGTTCATGTTAGATATGACTGTTCCTTTGGGACTTCTCCGAAGGCATCAACGCGGATACAGTCGATTGCTGGAGCATGCGAGACGAGGGTGAAGATGCTGGACGAAACTCTGAGAGAACTGGAGGGTGGCAAGATTGCCATGTTGGAAGAAGAATTAGTGAGCACAGATGTGGGATGAAGCATCAGTAATCACCTAGTCCGGTTATTTATTCTAATTCAGCGTAAACTGGAAGAGCTCACGCGGCTAGTTGAAACAGCTGCGAGAGATCTTCGTGAAGATTTTGAGCAAGCTATGGGTGAGTCGGATGAGTAGCACACAAGCGCATCCGGTAGCGTATCAAGTATCAGAGGAGAATTTAGAGATGGGCCACACTTGTTGAGTTTCTCTATGACTCGATTTTGGCCTCACTGGCTCTTGAATGCGTCAGAGAAGCGGCTCTGTTTGAAGCGCCTCCGCTATTTGTAGCTGCCAAGCTCTCACCACTGGTCAGGATGAGTTTGTGCGTTGATAAAAACTGGGACATTGAATCGGTTTGAGTCTGGCGGGCGTGTATGTTTTCTGCACTGGAAGCCAATCAGTTTTGCATATTTGAATTCCCGTGGCGGCTTCGTTGAATTTGAGAATGCGACTACAGATGACGAAATGCTCTTCTAAAACGTTGGTGTGAATCAACTAACATTAATATAATGTTGATATCACTCAAGGTTGACTCTCGAACTCCCATGATTGAAGGCGTGGAAAACAGCACTTTGTATAACGGTTCGGGTCACGATGTATATTCTATTGTTCGTATGCGGGGGAAATGTCATGTCTACTGCTCAGAGCTCCTACAAGCCACTCGGCGAGTGAAGGAACATATGTTGATGGACCACCGACAACAGCTGGAAGATGTCGCTGAGGTCCGTCTCACAAGTCCGCGAGGGCGTATCATAGTTTGATCAGAAAATCGCAACTCTAAGGAGAGCTCGTGATGAAGGCTCGAAAGTTTGTGAAACCGTGGATCATACAGGCAGGGGATGCTGATATTTTCTATGATGCATCGCTCCGCTCAAATCAGGCATGGTATCGTTCTTGTCGAACAATGCGTCGTCGAAGTCTCAAGAGTGTTGGCAGCTGATCGCTAGACCGCTACCACGCAGTGTGCAGGTGAGTGTGAAAACAGTCGGTGTGCGTAGCCGAAAATCTGTAGGTCCCGTTGGACGATATCCCTTTTGAGGTTGCCAAACGGAAGGAGCTATTAAGAGAGGCTCAATGCTCGGGAAAACTCGTAGAATGATGATCGTTTAAGTCGATGTATTGGTGTCTATCAGCTACGCATGAAAAACGAAGTGCTGTGCGACATCGTGGAAGCTTTAAAGGAGGAAAGGGTAAATTTCAAGAGCAGAGTAGGCACGATGAGTTGAAATTTTAGGCAACGCATGTCGAGACTCGAGAGTACGCTGTTGAGGTAGAGTCCTTGTTAGATGCATATGCAGCTGAGTGGGAGAAGAAGTAAGTCACGGAAATTATCCTGAAGGGGAGTTCGTGGACCAATTGAGGTCCAGGTTCGACTATGTATGTTCCTATTGTGGGCAATCGTTGGAAGCAGCGCTCGCCAATGAACCTTGCTGTGAGGCCACGGGCAGACAGAAGGTGAGCTTCTATTGTAACATATGTTATTGAATAAAAGTATATCCTAACTGTAAGAAAAGCTCGACTAGATTTCTTTGGTTTCCGTGGACACTGTGTGACAGTATTGTAACTTTGCCAATGCGACTTCATCACAGGCACACTTCTGGGTTCCCCCCGACAGCGTTGGCTTTCCTGAGGTGGCTGAGCACGAACGACCGAGAATACCGCTAGTAACGGCGTCCCCGAAACGGAGGTACCTCGATCGGCCTCGGCCTGGCAACCCCCTATTGCTGACCTTTGGATACTGACCAGCATAGACGTGGAAGCTAGCTTTGCAATGGGATGCCGATATTCCCTGCTTAACATTCACAGTTACTCGGTATGTGTATTTTTGTCAGATCTCTATCGAGAATCAGAGCGGTCTCGCCAATGTTCCGTGCTGATAGCTCCGTCGATGTATCGCCATCCTCATTACATTCTAGATTCCGTGATAAATCCCCTTGTATAGGTAGGCAGCGTATAATCATTCAGGCATCAGGCCGATACCTGAGTACATTTTCATTGAAGCTCCCTGACTTATATGCCACACGACCACGTTTCGGCTCCACCTATAACTGCTTTTTGAAGCGAAACGTTTCACAACAAACAGCCTCATTTTGATAACTGAATTGGTTGTCAAAATGAGGCAATTCGCTGTCTCTGAATACTTCTGATGTGATGAGTACTGCGCTCTGACTGATTTCAGGAGTCGAGCGAACTGATTCAGAGATTCTTTCAATTGTGGGGACATTACTTCGGGACAGATTCCCTCAGGGTGGGTCTTTCGTCTGCCCTTTCCGAGCAGTATCAGTGATATCACTCGTCTATGCACCGGAATCACTCGTATTATGCTGATAACTTGTAAGATATCACTTGGCCTTTCCGACGACAGTCAGAGAAAGCCCAGAAGGGAATTCTTTCACGTCTCGAGTTGTGGAAGACCATCAGAGAGGATCTTGATAGCTACGGTGTAAGTGTCAGTCGTGAATGGCGATTTCTCGATTTATAGGGGCGTGTTGATTACTCACGATGAACCATGATCTTGGTTTTGACTGTTTGCAGGAATGTGTGAATGAGCGAAGTGTTGTTGAATCTGGTTACCTCGAAAATAACTGTTTTGTAGATTCTCAACGACTCCGAAGTGGATCGGGTCATGCTCTGCTGTGATACAGAGAAGAGTAAGTTTAGCCTATCAATTCTAGTGTCGCTGAACCTCGAAAGGCGCTCAGTGATTCGCTGATAGTGAGCAGCCTTGTCCACTAAAGCCGACAACCGATAAGAAAGTTCGTGTCGGTTTCTTCGGCGTGCATGAAGCTTCTCGTAGTTTACTCATATTTGACATGTATCATCTTCATGATATTATGAAACAACACCAGCATTGAATTTTCCCTTAATGGACTATATCTCTTCTCAACGGTCTTGATAGCGATCGCTTTGGGTGAGGATCTCTGGGTTGAGCAAGCATGGTGTACTATGTGACCAAGCGAACAGGAAGCTAACAACCTTCAATCCTCATCGGCTGAATACTAGCCGTTGGAACCTCCAGCATTCGAGTCTCAGTCTGATCGACGTGAAGATTCTGAGAACGGAACTGAAGACCCTGAGAAGACTTCAGCACTTCTGGCTGAGCATGGGCATCTCTTGGTGAGGCTTCTCCTACTCTGATTGACTTGCCCTTAAGACATGATGGTGGCCGAAAGGGGTCGACCCAACAGCCTGTTGGCAACAGGGGATCACCAAACTTGGTTGAACATGCCGAGAATAAAGCATCATCAGTTGAATGCCTCACTGTAATCCCGAGTAACATCTGCCAGTTCGAGCAGGCTCGGATTCGGTGACCGACCGACTGCGGGGATCAGTCCCGGACAAATATTGTTATCCTCAACGACTTCGATAGGTCTCAGTCTTTGACTTCCTGACTTCAGTAGGTCAGTGACCTATCGAAGTCAAAATCCTCAGCAGATTTAAGTCACTATTTGAACGGGTGTTTACACTGATATATATAATCGAGTGGATCGTGATGATGCCAGAGGGAGGGAAGCCAGAAACCAGAGGAGTGTGCGGATAATACCACGCAGACTTATCCGGTTCTTTGTCGCACAGGGTGATCCCCATACTGAGTGACAGGTTTAGGCGAAACCACAACATCAAGCAAACTATTTTCTGCTAGAACAATATAGCTGAAAGCACGTAGGTGGGCACCATTCACTGGTACACCGGTGACCGGCGTGGTAGCCCGCAGACGCTGCTCGTTACCCTGACTACCCATTTCGGTCTCCCGAGTTGGCAATGTTGAGATTCATTGAAATCAGAAGAAAAGTCGCACTTCTGATTCGAAGCCACGAAATTTCACCCAGTAAGGCTGTCCTGTTACGATCGCAATGATGGATGTCGCGTAGACTTCAACTAGGAGTTTGATGATCACTGTGTTGGATGAGTTTGGTGAGTTGATGAGGACTGTGCTGTCTGCAGTGAGAGCGTATGAGTTGAGGCTCATAAGTGTTTTTTTATTCGGAGTGAGCACTCCTATATCTGTGGTGGATAATTGTCATAATCAACTGTTGTTTCACGTTCAGCATATGGTGTATTATTTTAACGTACATATCCATATCTTTACGAATCAATACCGATGGCTTTAATTGATCAGCGAAGCTGTTACTGGCCACATCGGGGGGGGCACTGGCGTTAGGTTAAATTATGCCGTGCAATTTGTAGTACGTGGCAAATGTATTCTCTAGTGAACTGAGCACGATTGCCAGGCACCATCAATGACAGTCCGCCATCACGATCATTATCATAACGATATAACTTGATATACACTCAAGTAGCGTCGGTTTTTCCTTCAGACGGAGTTTTGGAGATCGATAAGTTCATGAAGCTGTTCAAGGCTAGAGATATTCAGCCAGATATGAGATGAACCATCATGCTATTCAACACGGTATCTTTGATCACTCCTCTGGTGTTATTACGAGAATATCTCGAGAGCTTCGCGGAAAACTCTGACGCTGATGTGAACCCTTGCCACTTCGCCAATCGCAATCCTCTTCCCTAGGAAAACTCCAAACAAAACAAACAACGTGGATGAGATGGACGTCAGTGTTCTGTAAATGGCCAGCTCAAGCAGTTTCTTCAACCTTCGATTGCCGGTTCTTGCGCCTAAGTAGAATAACAGTTGTATCAATATGCGCACAAGCGCAGTAGAACGATGGTTCCCTGAGTGATGAGTGAATTGTTCAACACGCAACACGAAGAGATGGCAGCAATTCATCGTTTTTTCTACAGCAGCATCTTCACGAGACAAAATTCCAAGTTCATTTCTTGAGTTCTCGAAACTTTCAACACTGGCGTGATGATAAAAAATTACGTTGCAGTATATTTTTGATTTCTTTGTTCACTAGGATTCTCCGAACCACATTCTAGTACTCGCTGGCCTTCTGCATTTGCTCCTTCACCCATCGATCTTCCTCCTGCTTGAACTCATCGATGGTGGAGGCTGGGAAAGCACCTTGCCTGAAGCAGGACCATGCGACCTATTGCCTATGAATTTTGGGAATTCGGAGTAGCAAGTACATTTCAGAGGCTTACTAAACCCACTATAGTGTAATTATAACTACCTTGTTATAAATATGAATATTATTAAATTAATATATAGTTATTATTAACATATTATTATCCTTTTATTAGATTTAAATACTAGTTTATTAGGTTAAATAACATAATACAGGAAGGGAGTTTTTTCGATACCCTTCGCAACAGATATTTCACGAGGGAGTTGTTCTATTCGCTTGTTCGCTTACCAGCGGCCACGCATCTTTTGATTCTCCAACTCCCAGCTAGGCTCCCCCGACATGAAGTAACGATCTGAAAATAAGGGAACTCATAAACGTCGTCGTGTCTTTTAGAGCGTCATAGACGAAGATGAAGTAGCTGATACTGTAAGCAAACGCGATGTTCAATGGACCCCTTTTGAGTTTCAAGAGAGCTCCCGAGAGTTTGATATTCGAAATTCTATCCTGAGAGCTCCCTTGAAGCTCATGCGAGATCAAATGAACAAGGCGAATGATTCACTCGTTGTGGCGAGTTGAATATTTTTTAGTGGTAATATAATAACAACGATCAGAGCTCAGCGACATTAGAACCTATTAAGATCGTCACCTCTAAGCTCGCTGAGTGAATGATAAAGAACGCCATGGAAAGAGATTGTTCTGTTGCTGAATTATATACGCGGGGAAAAGCACTTTATGGGGGAATTCGTTGCAAATACTCGAAATTTAATTGTTAACAGACATCGAATTTTTATTTTGTAAACAGAGGGCATGAGTCAGGCGAGTTCGTTGTTTTACTGGTTTTCTTGTCGTAAGTGTAGCCGGCCTCAAGGAGAAACTCGTGTTGCTCGATCATGGTAAAGTGCAGCTAGCAGCAGCAGTAGCAACCCGTTGAGCAATTTCGTGGCGCGCGGTCATTTTCCCAGCGCAAGTCGACGGTGCGATCGCGTTGACCTCTTGTGAGTTTCAAGGGCGCTATCAGGACCAAATTTTACAGGTGTAATACAATCCTGCGTGGGCTTTCGGAAACATAGCACAATAGGGAATAGGGTATGTCTCCTAGTGAGGCGTAGTTCACTTCACTGGCGTCTCACCCGTTTCACGTTCATGTGGAAAACGTGATATGAAGTGAGTTTAGAACACTTAGTGAATTTCACAGGAGAAAATGATCTCATATTACGTGTTTTACGCGTTATTCACTGCTGCGTGTTTCTCGCGGGAAGTGAAATTATAACTATTTTCTTCACCAGTGTTTTTCATACCATGGGTGAAACTCCAGTGTATGTTGATTATTAACCTTTTTTTTCTCAGGGTTGTCTGGTATTTTCATGCTACCAATTCGAATAATCACAAACTTGTGATGCTATAAGGCGCTTCTGCGGCTGTTGAGGTATATTTAGAGTACAGACACCGCCGAAATAATTGTTATCATGCTCAACTGTTTCTGTTGTGTCAATTCTCCAACTCTTAACATGATTGCACTCCTTAGGAAGACCGGCTTTATAACAGGCAGAGACGGAAGGAATATAGGTGATGATATTCGGTTATCGCAAAATGGAATTAGTCCCAAGTTTATCTTTATGAAGTTAGTGCCAGAGGTATTGTCATATTATTGGGCTGCTTTCACAGATCGAGTGAGATCACAAAATCAACTGCACAATTTCTTAATCAATTCCAGTGTGAAATGGCTTAGAGATTATCGAATTTCATCTTGTCCTCACTAGAACGCATCCCATGTATTACAAGAGAATTCCGTCATTTACGGTACGATGTTGCTTGCTTATTGTTGTTTATTATGCAACCTGCATATTACAAGAGAGTTCCGTCATTTACGGTACGATGTTGCTTGCTTATTGTTGTTTATTATGCAACCTGCATATTATAAGAGAGTTCCGTCATTTACGGTACGATGTTGCTTGCTTATTGTTGTTTATTAAGCAACCTGCATATTATAAGAGAGTTCCGTCATTTACGGTACGATGTTGCTTGCTTATTGTTGTTTATTATGCAACCTGCATATTATAAGAGAGTTCCGTCATTTACGGTACGATGTTGCTTGCTTATCGTTGTTTAATTTTCCTTCGTAATGGCTGACTCTGAACGTTTGTCTGAATTCGTTTCTCGAGCCGTAAAGGATCCCCAAGCTCGGCTGGTGGTCATCAGTAGTGGCGGCACTACAGTAGCGTTGGAGAGACGCACTGTGAGGTAAGTCCCCATTCGAGAGTGTTGACGGTTTTTATGGTGTGATAAACTGGGGTGATAGACAGCGCAGTTCTATTCCTCTTCCAATTTGAATAGATTTTTGGACAACTTCTCCACGGGTAACCGAGGAGCTGGGATGGTCGAGGCTTTCTTGATGAGAAACGAGCAACAATCATTTAAGAAATATTATGTAGTTTACTTTCATCGCAAAGGTGAGCTTCTTGGGTGTTCGTTGTTGATTACAAATCAGGTGGTAGTTGCGCTATGCCTTTCGTGCGACATCTGCCTGATGCTGGCCAACAGCTAGAGCTGTTGAGTCAGGGAGTTCACTCGGTTGAGTTCGACTCTTATATACAGGTGAAAACTCATCGAAAAATATGTTCGCTTCCTTGGCTGCCTCATTAATTATAGGAGCTTTTCGGATAGGAATGTACAAAAACCGTGTGTGAATTTTCAGGGAACTCCTCAAAATTATAATATTGTCATGAACACACGTACATGACTGTTTGTCAATGACTCACGTTCCTATACCGCATGGAGAGTTCGGCATCGGCGTTTTCAGGCGCACCCTTCACAAGAAGTTTTGAGGCGATATCTCCTCTCCGTCACCTTTACCAGTGTTACTGAGTAATGCAACTATAAACGCTTTCGAAAACATGTGCATGAAATTGTTCGGGACTCTCGAGTTTTGGGATACCTGCTTCGTACTGTCTGTAGGTACTTGAGCTCTCTAGAAAAGATCTCTAAAGAAGTTAGCTCACTAGGTCCGCGAGCAGCACTCGTTTTAGCAGCCGCCGTGTCGGACTTCTACGTCCCAATGGATGAGATGCCAGAGAATAAGATTCAGAGTGGAGCTCATCAAGATACTGGACTCACGTTGCGACTAAAGGCAGTGCCGAAGGTTCTGGGGCGCATCACAGGCGAATGGTGTCCGAGAGCGCTCGTAAGTTGGCGTTGTAGGTGATGGGAAGTACGGTGGTCTCAGGTGGTGTCATTCAAGTTGGAGACTGATGCTGATATACTCTTTGAGAAAGCACGTGGAGCGATTAGGAGATATGGTGTTGACGCTGTCGTTGCGAATGTTTTAGAGGTAGCAGTTGTAGGTCGCGGGTTCGATCCCCGCGTTGGGCGAGTTGTCGAGTTGAGGTTTTTATTACGTTCAGACGCGCTATCAGAAGCTTTGGATCGTTAAGGGTGGGAAACATAGCGATGATTCTGGTCATGAGTATACGGCAGAGCTTATCACCAAGCCGGACTCCGGGGGTGAGTGCATTCGACTGCCCATCCATTGGTCATAGCGCGATCATTGAAATGGCGATGACGGGCATCCGAAACAGTAACGATGATATGTTAGCGAGATCGCCATGAAGTTATGAATAGAATGTGTGTGTATCTCGTCGGTGATGGAAACATTGGTGTTTTATTAGATATTGAAGACGTGTTGGTTGAAGGTCTCGAGAGGCTTCACGATACTCATATAGATTGTTTCTCGCAGTGAACTTCTGTTGACAACTTCTGTTTCCTCCGAATTGGTCCTTGTTTTGAAGACTGGTTCGGTTCTGTTATCAGCCTAGTGAAGTGTGATACTCCTAGCGTGATGTACTGGTGATCTTGGACGACCCATTCTTCTGGCCTTGTTTCGAATCCTCGGATGTCACCGACAGGAGGGCCAAGATGTTCCCAACAATCAGGAGATGAATGGGAGTATCACCAAGTGGATTGGTACTCTCGTACTGATCCTCTTAGCTAATTATTAGCTCTCTTTAGGTACAGGCGAATGGTGCGAGATGCAAAATTGCGGAATGCGTGCCAGAGTGACTGTTTTCTCGACCTCATGCGGGAGTACGAGCGACGCCGTTGTGTGCAAGGCAACACGGCGCTGGCAGAGATTGTACCAAATCGGCTTGTGAGTCGGCGAGATCGTGAGGCACTATCTGTGTTATACGTGGCGGAGATGGACCTTTTGTTCAGGTGGTCAAGCGGCAAGCATGGAATCGTCGGAGTCTGCCGCGAGCGTGCATGTGACGGAAGCGATTAACCAGAAGAATGAGGCGATGACGATGTTGCTGAGGGACCTCCAAGAGGAGATAAGGAGTCGAGATTCCGAGCTGGCTCAGACTCGACTCGAGCTCGCGGCGAGAATAGAGGAAAACTCTAAACTAATGGCTCAAGGTATGTGTGTTCTGATATCTGAGGGCTTCGCGCTACATGACACTCTGCATATTGCATGCTTTGATCATGGATGCCGACGGAATAGACATTGTGCTGTAGACCGCCATGGCCAACCAACACCGTTCGCTTGAGCAGACGTAGTGTGATCTGGGATATGACTTGGATCCGTGAACATTTGAGTCGAATTTCTGAGCACAGTCGATGGAGGGTTCTGATTGTTGCTTCTCGCGCCGAGAGAAGCGTTCAAAGATGATATTCTCGATGCTGTTCGAAACATGGCCTCAATTGTTTTCACGATAATTTTCGTCAGGCGAATCCCTGGAGGCGGCAGTCGAATTCAAATCCAATGAGATAACGCGTATGCGGGAAGAAGTGGAAGCGTTGAATGAACAACTGGACTTTCTAAAGAAGTGCGGTTTTGGGGACGAGTGGACTCTCGTTGACTATGAGGAGGCTCAGCCTGCATCATCAACTGACCAAGGCGATGGGGAGGTTGGCGCGTCCTAGTTAGGACCTGCCGTTTCAGGTTTCAGGATATCAGAGGACCTCTCGCTCGGATTCAAAAAGCATGACGTCGGCATTATGTTGAAATTATAATTTGTACCATTGACTATTTTTGGACTTTCATGTGGTGTCGCGTCAGTGAAGCGTGAGTTGCTCTCGAAGACATGCGCTTATCGAGCTTCTTTTCATGCTATAGAGAATCTTCAAACTAGTCTCAACTGATTTGGGAAGGCGAGCGTCTGCGGATACGAACTTATAAAATGGTTTCGTGGGTTCGGATTGTGTGAACGTCGGAGCGATATACAAATCAGCGCGTTCTTACGAGCAACCCATTAGATGGGTCCCATTTGCATTACTAGAGTGACGATTGGGATTTCCGCGAAATTCCAAGTCCTTACATTTCTCGAAAATAATTTCCGAGGATATCATTTGCTGGCGACATGTAGTCAGAATCTTCGAGCGCAACAAAGCTTCCAATACATATATCTATATAGTTCACATATGGACACACTGTGGTATCGAAATCGGTCCGTGACCGATGATCATTTGCATCTCCAGACCAGGATGAGATGCCACCGGACCGCTCGTCGGACTCCGGTGGCAATCTCTTCCGCTTCCCCATAATATAGCCCTCCCTTCCCCACAAATGACTTGACTGCGTAACTCGAAGCTAGGTGAACAGAGCTATGATTTGACTCTTATAACCGACGATATGGTCGCTGACTGCTTCAACGATATGAGTGTGTGAAAATAAGCAGAACAGAAGCCCCCATCAGTAAAATAAGTTTATGCCTCCCAAGCTCGTCAGAACAATCCGAGCTCATGATTCAGAACTGTGGGAAGCATGGGACATAGAGAAAATATCGATGAGACTAGACTTTATCGTTGAATTCGTATATCTTACGTTTGACAAGGCGTTCCTTGCCACCCACAACCCCATGTATTGTTATGTCGTGGTAACTATAAAAGTTCCAGAGTTGGGTAGTAATTGATTCACCGGTAACGACGTACCTTACCGACATGTTTAGAGTATCATTTCTAAGAACTGTAGTAGTTGACCTGATGTAATGAGTTCCGCCAACTGTACTTACGAAGGCAACGCCATTGCTAATACCACCCGCATCAATCGAGCCCCCTCCGGGGACGACCACGTGAACATCCATGCGTATAGGGAAGTGCAGTGCCATACCATGCTCATGACGGATTCCACCAGACTTAGAGTATCTTGGAATCGTCAAAATCGTCCTCACTCCTATTCCATATGGTAGGCTGAGCTCCTTTTCACTCCGGCCATCCGCCCAAACACCAACATCCGAGGGCTTTCCATCCGAGAAGCCGACTCCGATCTCCACGGTAGCAAAATGATAGGGAGATAAGTTGCTGTTGCCGATGAGGCACCCACCATTTCTTTGATGAGGACCTTTCAAAATGTATAAGCAGTATGACCCATTAAGTGATCCATGAGGTCCCAAACAACGGTGAGGATTCTCTGCTTCGACTTGCAGATGCCTGGAGACTCCTATGCGATTGGGAACTGGTGGGCTAACATCAGTACTGTTCACTTTGGAGGCACCGACGTAAGCCGAGATGAAGATATGAACCAGAATAGTGAGGACAGACATGGAGAATATCTTAAATACAATTTGGCGTTTTGTGTATCCCTACCAACCTCTGGACAATCGTAAGGACATTGTTATGATGCTGAGTTTGTCATCAGGAGATGTTTTCAGCTTGCTACCAAAGTCTAATCACATCCTTATTTTACCAAAGGAAAAGATCCCAGAAGTCTCCCTCATTGCGGAGCCCTTCTGCTCTACTAAAATCGATTAACTCGCGTACTTCACGTAAAACGCTACCAATGAACAGGATTCCGCACACACTTGTACAGCATGAACTTGTCACAAACCGTACACGGATAGATCAACTGTAAGGAAATAAAGAAAGGAAGACATACAGAAATCCTGTCATAGAATCACCGTTGGAGGCGGCTACTCAGATCTTCGTAGTGTCACCTTCACGCGCGGCAACATGCGTGTTTACGTGGCCCGACAGACAGGCGTTTTCTCATAGCATCCCCGACCCAGGACGACAATCTTCTGGTCACAGAAACTTCATCGTCTAGTGCTTGTTAGCAGCCAACTGACTCATCAACTTAGGGGTGTTCTCATTGCACTCACTCGTAGGTCCGGCCCTGGAAATGTAATCAGCGCACAATCTATTTCACGCTACACGGCTATGTGTGGACTGATTCGCTCCAAATCATGCTGGAGTCAATCTTTCAAGTCGTCGATGCTAATGAGGCGAGTAGATGAGATATCAGACAATACTCACTTGCGGCCGACATGCTTGGTGGGAGTGCCAACAGCCAATATGCAAGACTCTTAATGTGAGCGTGTTGTTCATTTGAAGCATGTGTGCTTGACCGAGCTTCGATAGTTTGCCTGAGTTGTGCCTCAAGGAGTCCAGTTTCACATGAACCCAGCACTGACTGTGAATGTTTTCTGTTCAACTGATTGACTCGGAAGAAGAGCACAACACCAAATTGTAGTAAAAATACCATATTCGGCAATACAGACGATATGGCTCGTCAAACAATGGTGCATTATCCATCAAGTTCATATGGAGATCGGGGACAACAATAAAGAGAGACCAGGGGCGTAAAAACTACCAGACAATTACGACTTGCTCTGACCCTGAAGATATGGAAATTCATCATCATCATCATCATCATCATCATCATCATCATCATCATCATCACTAACATTCACGGTATGGGAGAGAAATGAGCAAATAGTCAGCGACATGTGTTGCGACGATATGAAAGTCTCTGGAAATTCTTTGTTTTTCATACACAACATATTTTCCGACACTTTACCTTCATTTTTTCCAATCCTGGTGGCGACGGTACCGGTGGGGCCCTAGCCTGCCGAGTGAAAGGAGCCTCGATTCCCTGTATCGAAGTGTCATACACTCTTCCAATGCGAACCTATCGCGAATTATCACATGTTACAAACAACAAAAACAGCGCTCACAAGCTGGCCGATTTCAGTTCGGCATTTTGGGCAACAACTGCCACCAACTGCTTCGTTGCTCGCTATGTGAACCGCACAGGACTGGCAAATTCCCGCGTGGCCGCAGGGTAAAACAACCTATCACAAACTGATATCATTCGTCAACTCTACGGCGAGGACGATGTGGAAGAATATGCACATGGTCAACTATGCGTCGTCGGTGATAATGTGAAAATTCTGGCGAAATTTTGGGAGATTGTCGTTGACTCGTATACATTTCAACCCGATTTCATATGTAAACTTCTATAGCTAGTAAGAGAACTCCCGAGCTCAGCAGAGAGGAGCAAAAATGTCATCATCAACACTGCTCGATTAGCTGACCATGTCCCCTGGATTATCCAGACACACAGAGCACGGCGCGATAGTAGTCGCCTTCACTTCGCCGTTCACAGCCACAACACCGATTACATCGTCCAAAATTATCTACAACAACACTTTTTGCAGAGACCACAATCAGCACACTCACATTGGGGTCAGGGACGGTACTCAATCTGCGTTCTCCTGATACCATATATACTCTATTCACTGACCGACATGTTTCGCATACAAAAACGTTAGCGTTGGGCCTGACGAACAACGCGATGAAAGTTTATTCGATTTACCAGTGTGGTTACTGTAGTGGTTGAACTGCGTGACAGACGTCACAAGCGACCTGATCTGAGACGATTTTTGTTTCCTTTTTCTTCGATTTCGTTCTTCTCCCACAAATTGGAGAACAAGACAGTTTACTCCCCATAACGATACTACAATCACACGTAAATTGAAAATGTCACAAACAAACAAAACACATTACAAGTTTGGGGAAAAAGTGATCATCTAAACACCTGCTATATAAGACAGGAACGTAGACCATGCGTCGGGCCTATCCATAACTGAACGAATAATTAATATGAGTACACCGCTGAGTTTTCTCTGAACGTAATATCCCCAGTGGGAGCCTCCCACAACGCCGACGTCTGCGAAAACATTGTAAATCGTTCAACACTACTTCGAAAGGGGAATCCCGTGGCGAACATATCACTGAAAAGTGTGACCAAAATCGACGTTAAGCCAGAGGGTTGGATTCGCTCGTTGTGCTCGCTTTAACATGTTCTCGAACCTAACAGAACGTTTTTACCCGAGTTAAAACGACGCAATTCAATTACAAATGCCGCTATAGCTCCCAGCGCCCTTCGGGGAGCTTCCGATTCGCTCGTACAAAACGCAAACAGCTGGAAGCAATGTACCTTGGTAAAATAACTAATAAAGATAAATTCGGACGAGTATCACACGAGACCTCACGACAATACACTATATAGTGTTTTACATTTTTGTTTTGCCACTCGTGTTTGGACATGTGGTTTCGATGAGAAATGAATAACAGAGTGTGAACAATTCTTCCCCATCGTTTTGCTTGTCAAAATGTCAGCCGAACTCAAATTTCGTGTTTTTACCCAAGTAAAAACGCTCAAATTTAGAACGGTCATCATCGCTCGATAAATCCTCTTGAAATTCTCTCAACGAAGAACCCACATTCCAACTAGAGAATGAATTTTGTGGCGCAGTGACGACGCAAAAGACTCACCATTTCCTCGTACACCTGGAACTGAAAATGAGTATCGGGGTTTTTCATTGCAGACGCCTTAGCAGAAAAACGTTCAATTTGGGGGAGGAAAATTTCCTCTTGCCCCGCTTGGATCTGTAACGAAAATATGAGAAATTTCGAGGAAAAAAATCCGAGATAGTTTACCAACATGCTAGGTAAACCGCTGAGGTCCGCGTAATAAGGCGAGACTTCCGCAGAAGTCGGACATGAATTTCCAATAGCATATTGAGCCATGCTGGATAACTGAGCAAGGAAGCGAATTCGTGGGAAAATATCCACATCTGTTGGTGACAATATGAATATTCTAAGGAAATTCTCATTTTTTTCCGTACATTTCTACCGAAATGAGCGTGTTAACTCCTTAACAGAGGAATGCAAACATATCCTCAAAAACGTATAAGTTCTGAGTATATATGTTTGCTTTTCTAAGCCCAGCTCAGGAGTTTCCAAAGCAGCATTATACGGCTCAGCGTATAGGTGTACAAAAACCAACGAAAATTTCCCTATTATCACCAACACATGCAACCAGTGGGAACCGGTGATAACATGGAAATTCTGCGGAAATTTTGGGAAAAATTCTTATTATTTTCTGTACACTTCTACCCTAATTCGTATGTAAACTCCTCTAATCATTGAGAAAACTCCTAAACTCAGCTGAGGAAAGCGAATATATGCCGACGACTTGATAATAATACAGCTATAGCCCTATAAGAGCAAGCTACCAATACATAGAAATCGAAATGCCGACCACTCCTATACATCGCTCGCCATAGCTCTGTAACGATTCGTGATCGATAATTACTACACATATTGGAGTTTCACCACCCGTTTTACGTGAAGCGATATTCGCGATACGCATAGTCGTGAAATATATTTTTCACTAGTGTTTTTCATATCACTGGGGTGAAACTCCATCGATAAATTTCTTACTCTCAAACCTCGAAATGTTCGAGCTTCCACATTCCTAATCGTCGAATTAGCCAAGATACGGCATTTTCTTGTTTTGGACTACCAAAATCAACACACTGGCCTTCCAAGACCGTGATATGAAAAACACTAGCAGAAAACGTAATGCACGACTATTGCATATCACCGCGAATATCACGTTTTTTACCAAGTTCTACGACGCCACTTCACATATAACGGGTTGTGAAACTCCATTGTATATCCATCCTCCAACACTGATCGACGTGCATTCCCCCTACAATTACCAGATCGCGCTGTACATAGTCAACGCATTCTCTCCTCTCTGCTGCTGCTGCTGCTGGTGATACCGCGAACTTCGGGGGTGTGTTCGCCTCAGTAGCCGCGTCAACTTCTGCATTTTTCACTTCCTCGTCCACTGACGTTATATTCTTAATTCGAAGGGAATTCCATATTATTGATGTTTGTGAATATTATTGGTCATAGAAATCTCCTATCAATGGAGTTTCACGACAGTGATATAAAAAACACTGGTGAATTACATATTCCACGACACCGCCAATATCGCGTTTTTCACCGAGTTTTACACCGCTTTGGTAAAACCGACAAAACTCCACCATAACCATATTATTATAATTAATATCAGGTATCCCTACCACTTTTCTCCCTAGCAGGTTTGGAGCTCTCAGATTCCTTAGATTCCCCAACTGCGTCACTCGAGGTGCCAATATCGTCTCCAAGTCCGCCGGTCATTTCCTCCTCATTTTTCTTTTTCTCAGTGCCTTTGTCGGCGTTCGAAGACTTCCGTTCATCCGTAGAGGAACTAAACTCGTCGGAAAAGTCGTCGACTCGGTCGGCTAAATCGGTGATGGGAGAAATCAGGCAAACACTGCTGGGCAGCGCAATCTGAATAAACATGACAAATCCTCCAACATGGAAATGATGCGAAAATGTTGGGAGATTTTATTCTAAATTCTAAATTCTACCATAATTCGTACGTAAACTTCTATAATCAGTGAGGAAACTCCTGAGCTGAGCTGAGAGGACCGAACATATACTCCTCCAATATACTTCCTCCTACCCCTTCGTTTCTGAGCGCTATGAGTGCCAACATGACCATCCCCGCACCGAGAGAGTCGCCAGCGACTGCGATTGCACCAGGGTCAACTCCTATGGTTTCTATAAGATGCTTATACCTGAAAAACATCGCGTAATTTTTCGCAAAAATCAGCTACGCATTTTTACACAGTCTTTATATAAGAAACTCCTTCGTGAAATGACGTCGCTGGTGGCAAAGAGTCGTTAGTGATGCAACACCTAGAACGATGTTGAAAAAATACTAATAGGTGGAGGTTGCACTCACACTACAGCTTCGGCTCGTTTGGCTAGGAGGTAGCACATGTAGCGATGAACTCCTTTTCCCCATACGCAAAATGGTGTGCCAGGGACGTACCTGCACTATACCTTTTTCTATAATTTTATATCTACGTTTTGAGTCATTTTTACATTCTGCATCCTATGATTTTCGAGCCTTCCTAATTCTTTATGAGAATATCACATTGATGGAGTTTCACCCGTTTCATGTGAAGTGGAGTAATACTCATTTAAAAATGCGCTATACACAATGAACCATAACACTGGAATATCACGACCATGATATGAAAAACACTAGTGGAAAATATATTTTACGACTACTGCATATCACGACTGAGTATAACGCCACTTCACGTAAAACGGGTGAAAATTTAATATATATCAACTGCTATTTATGTGCAACTACATTATCGTTTTAAGTACGCGGAAAAGGGGAGATTGCAACTTACAAGATGACCGGGTTTTCCTTCAATACACTAATGCTGGGTCCTATCTTCTGCACTGCTAGCTCCGGCGGCCTCAACGGTGTGATCTCATTCGGCCATATCCACGCTGTGATGGAATCCAATAAAACGATCAGAAACCACTAGGATAATAATTACTCAATTTTAGAGCTTCCTCCTGCCCGTCGATGCGAAGGGACTGAGCGAAGCGAAACTGAAGGGAATTTCGATGCGAGATGGTAGCAGAAATATATAGTGTGGTTTTTACCACTCCTTTTGGGAGCATACTGTTTGGTAACGGTTTTTCTGCCAGCTTCCTCACACGCTCAACGCTCATGCCAGAAAGGTGCTTTCCCACAGAGTGCAAAGCACCGATATACCTGTAAAAATGACGTCCCTGAGGATCGAACCCGCGAGATAGATCAAATTAGAAAGGGGATATAACGATGATGATGATTCCTACGATTCCATATTGGAGTTCCACGACTTCCTTTTGGAATGACCTAGCAAACGACGCAGAGGCACCTACAGAAGCTCCAAAAATGACAACCGTGGGATCCGAACCAGGGATGGACAATTGACAACCAACATTCATATCGAACTTAGCTATTTCACCTTCAACATCGCCCCAGCAGCTCTAGGGCCGATTGTTGTCGCCCGCATAGCCTCGCTCCAAGAACTTTGAGTCTTCAAAGGCTTCCCTCCTCCCAATGTGCAGATACTCGCATCCGAAGACGGACCTGAACCACGAGAAAAAATCAATTCCACTGAAAATGGGCGGAGCGATGCGCTATTTTTCCTACCATAAACACTAACATCCCCAACTCCTACGTCCACAGTAGCCGAGCTGGTTGATGACACCGACGCGCTCAGTGAAGGCGCACCCCCAACTACTGATCGGTCCTCACCCTGGGGCAAACTCGGGGAACTACAAGTTGCTGACATCTGGACTCGAGCGGTCTTGCTAGGCAACATATTCTCCATTTTCACATCGGACCATTTCGGGCTGCTAGTACCGCAACTCCCATTCTCCTCTGGTACGTCTCCCATGAACTCAGCAACAGCAGTGATATCGTCTTGAGCGCCCGGGCAGGAGCCACCGGGAGCGGCCTTCGACATTGAGATTGGTAGAAATGGTTGAATAAATAACTGACAGCTTTCAGTACAGTTCGCTCCCCTCGGAAACAATTTGGTAATATCCTCACTAATATTACAATAGAGTTTCACCCTAGTGATATGGAAAACACTAGTGAAAATATATATCACGGCTACTGAATATCACCGCGAATATCGCGTTTTTCACCGAGTTTTACGCCACTCCACCTAAAACCGGTGAAGCTTTATTGATAATAGAAAACAACAATAATTTTCATATTATCACCAACACATGTGCATATTTTCCAGAGAGATCACAGCATGAGTTCTGCCGCTCAAAGACAAGTGTGTGTCGGTCCAACGCCGCTGCCACCGCTTTGCTTCCCTTGGGTTGGCCCAAACGCTACCATCACGGGTAGGCCAGAACAAGTCGCACTAGAAATTGTAGTAAACTCAATGTGGATTTACCGATCGTCGCCGAACTGGGTATTCAACACGGATCATATTGCCTCGAACTTGTTTTACACACCGCACCAATTGATACTTACAGATCAACTTCCTCAAAAATGAGGCGGAGCGAAGCAGAACCGCAGACTGCCCTCAGAGGCTTTACTATTCGAACGTAGCTTCCCGCAGACAAATATTTCATACCACAATTCGGGTACTTACACAACATGCAACATCGAGAGTGAGAGCAATAGGTCTCACTTGACAAAGCCACTGGAGAAACGACAGATTCTCCTTCTGCACACATTCAGTGTGGGAGAGTATGCACATGGTCAACTACGTGCGTTGGTGACAATATCAAAATTCTGGGAGGAAATCTATACAATAATTTCTGTACACTTCTACCCGAATCAACATGCAAACTTCCGACCGAAGACAAAAACGGCTCCAATTTCTCCACTTTCCAATACAATTTCCGTTCATACTCGTGTAAATCAGCACCAGTCTCCAGAGTTCGATAACAATGGGGAGAATGCTGCCAATGTACATGGGAAATTGATTGAAGAATGTGTTCCCAGCCATACGTGGAAAATTCAAATTGAGCTCCCCAAGGGACCATTATAGATTTCTGGATGATTGAATCATGGGAATCATCATGATACCCTGATCAGCACTCCGCTATAACAACCAGAGCCGTGGTCAGGATTTTCGTAGGAGGTGAGGCCCTAGACAAAAGCAGCGGCTGCGGGCCCCCCCCCCCACCATCAGCACTGGTGATATGCTCTGATACTTCCATCCTAAACTTCAACACAACAGATCAGTACAGAATGTACGATTCGTTACTAATAACGGCTTCTCGGCAACTATAATTCTATATCATAGTCATGAAAACGATGCTAATCGGCTCATCCAGTGTTGGAGTGTATGTTGCATCTCATCACTTCACAACTCTACATATGAATTCGGGTAGAAGTCAACAGAAACAAATAATAATTTCTTCCAAAATTTGCATAAAATTTTCATAGTTCAACATATGCATATTCTTCCACCACGATAAAAGTTGTATCGCATTGAGGCCGTTCCGAGCGGCCTTCATCCTGACGTTCCCGCATTTCTTAAGAACCACTTGCACGCGCGGAACAGTGAAGATTCTCCAAGGTACCCCCTCAGCCAGTACCTCGACAACAGCTTGTTCTCGTATTGTGATGAACGACGGGAAGAAAACAACATAAACGTGTAGTATTGGAGTATACCCGTCAATTTGATATGCAAATATGGAGTGAGCGCCAATTTGGAGAATATTAAACAAGTTCTCGCTATCACACTCCCCAAACGAGCACTCAGATGAGAGAATCGCATTACATTAGGTTGGCCGTCTGACATGAATGTAAGATACCGCATCATGATTCTAGTCAGATTTTATCCCTCTAACGATTCTGTCTCCAACCTGTGCTGATCATCGGCGGCGGCCATGATGAATGAGAACACAATTCCACTAAGAGTGTGGATGCAGAGTAAAATGTTAGGTTATTATCACATGCAACAGTTTCACTCTTAGGCGACCTAGTATAAGTACGGATCTTCACAGTGAGAAATGGCGAGGACAAACCGACGAATACCCAGCACAAAGACGCCTCAATTGAACCTCTTTTGTAATACAAAACGATACTATCGTGCGCAGCGACTCCTAAGATTCCCCTTCAGATCGTAAAACCAAGATGCACACCCGCGATTAGCATCGTGATAGCCCCGAGAACTAAACTTCTATTGGAGAGTGAGGAGAAGACTAGTGAGTGTGTGGAAGCACAAGATCCGGATTTAAGAGGGCTTGTTCAAAGGCCTCTATCTCCGGATCTGTCCACGCACGCGGCGGTGGTGGGATCAGCGGATTAACGACGGGTGGCCGATACTCACCTGTAATGCAACCATCATCTCCTTTGTTTAGCAGGGAATAACTCACCACTGCTGTAGTCAGACTCGTACTCAGGGGCGGAGGCGGGAGGGGCGGTGGCAGCAGGGGCGGTGGGGGCAGGGGTCTTGGCTTGAGAGGGGGCGGGGTGAGGAGGAGGAGAGGAGGAGGTTTTACGACGCTGAAGAGAAAAAGATGATAATAAAACTGAATTCGAAAGCTTACGGTGAAATATTGAACTATCGTCTTCTCAGGCGTACGTCGCCGTACGCCGTCAATAAGCGGATAAAGTCTTCCCTTCTGGTGACGATCCTTCAATGCACTCGTCCGGTCCTCCCCTCTCGCCAACTGGCATGCCAGTTGGTGATCGCGCCACTCCTGGCGCGATCGAGGGGAGAGTAGCCCACTATCATCAACTTGGTCGTCAACATCGACACTGGTAGTAGTAGATGGCCCAGCGGTAGACAGGCCGGTAGTGTAAACGATGATGTTCACCGTACTGCCGTTGAAGCTGAGGGTAAAGGACATTTGCAAGGGATTACAAAGGGACTACAAAGGGACTAGAGAAAGAGCGGAGGCTAACGACTACAAAGAACAAAGCGATTGATTGACGAGTGATTAATGAATGAGTGATCGATAACGGGCGTAGCGCGACAGCGGTATCATGAAACGTCCCGTATCCTGTGTACTGCGTCTCCGGTCTTGTGTGCTCGCACGCGGAATCTTCGCAGTGCGGCGTCAAGTTCCAATAGTGCATGAAGGGTGCTCTGCCACCGAGCACCTCGTTTCATCAGGTGCTCGCCAGGCTGTGCGGATCGAACCCAGGACCAACGGTTAGCTAGACCGTTGCTCTCCCGGGCACTCAATTGAGTCGATAACAGAGGTCGGAATCGAGACCCGAGAACTCGAGATTCTCGATCTCGTCTCGATCTCGAAGAGTTTCGAGACGAGATCGAGAGGTTTTCTCAGGAATCAAGATCGAGACGAGAATCGAACGAGTTCTCGAACTTCTCGAACTTTTGTATGCGTTGGTAGGCATGGTTTGAGCCGGAGGTCAGGAATATCGATATAACACCACTTTGATCTTAAATGACCCACATTGAATGACTATTCTTATTTCCATAAGATAGAATCTTTATGCTCAGCAAAAAAGCTTCCCACTGCGTGCCGGTTGTGCGGAAAGGTTTGTTCTCGCCAATGCGGCAGATCCTTCTGAAATCGTGTGCCGGTAACGGCATTCTTATAGATATAATTGATGGAAAGTTATTGTGATTTTGTGTGTGTGTCTCCAGTCTCCATAATTGTGTCCTAGCGTCAAGCTAGTGGACTCCGGTTCATAATTAATTTATTGCTGTGGTTGTTATTGTTGCGGTTATTCCCGACAACATTGAAGTTGCGTAAAGCTCTATTGTGGTATCTACTTGGTCATCAAGTTTATCACTAAGAACCTTTGTATACTTCGACGGTTGAGAGTCTTGAGTTGTATTATAACCGTCATATTCTACCGGGATCTAAACTGACCAATGTCAACGACGCCAGTTTTGCCATCTCAAACTGTTGATGATGAACAGCTTCTACGTTTAGCTGAGAGGGTAGCTGCTCTCAGACTAAATAGTGATGTGGGTAGTCTAAGAGACCTTCCGATTCAAGGACGAACTCAGTCATGCTTCTCATTTATCAGAAGTATTTTTTCTAATCGTAGTCATGTAACTACGATGCCTCATCGAGCAGTTGTACGTCCTCTTGGAACGACTCAGAGTGATCCTGGTGTGGTAGAGAAGAAGCTTCAATCAGTTGGTTTCCTCGATTCTCTACCTAATGACGATCTTTTTGGTAGTGCTATTCATGATCAAATGATGGGTTGAAAGAATGATTTCGGTGTCTCAGCGGTTGATCTAGAACGTATTCATGATGCTTCTTTCAAGCGGGCTAAGGACAGTCAACTACCCTCTGGTGGTGCTTACATGGGTCATGTTGATAGTAGGTCGATAGATATGTTTCTCCAAGCGGTTAAGCGTGCTCCCGGTTGGTCTGTTGGTGTGATGCCGGAACTATTTCAAGCTTATTATTTGGAGTTCTGTCTTGATGCCTCGGTTCGTGGAGTTATTACTGGCATTGTCGATAAGGAGTTGAAGGAGCGAGGTCTCAAGGGTTATTATGCCCTCAGTGCTCGTGCGGCGTGTATTGAGTCTGCTCTGAGAGCGAGATTTGAGTCTATTAATTCTCACCGTATCCTGGCCGATCGATGGGAGAGCTTACGGTGGAATATTGCTGATGATTTTGAGAAGTTTTATCTTGAATTTCAAGAGGTACGAGACTCTTACTCTCGTCAACGCCAGCAAGAACTTCAAGGCGCGGATGTTGTAGAACGACTCTTTGGTGCTCTGACGAAGGAGTTGGCTGATCGGCTTATCAGACAGTATGGTGGGAGCCCTTCGGAGAAGCAAATATTAGAGTTTTGCCGCCGTGAGAATATGATACTGACACGTAATCGTGCCTTGAAGAATGGTTCGGCACGCAGTGGTACAAAACCTAATGTCAATTCTGTTCGAATTGAGGATGAGGTTGATATCGAGGAGCGTTGTGATAATCTTTTTGCTATGCCAGTGGAGCAGACCACCACCTCAACACAAACCAGCAATCGCCTCTTTGTGTCTAACCTTGCTTTCACTGCCTCTGAGCGTGATCTTCTCGGTGCTTTCCGAAGTGTGCTTAAAGTGTCTGGTGCGATTCCTCGTGGTATTAGACTCTTCAAGGATGGTCGTAATGGGAGAAGTCGTGGTATTGGTCTTATCGAGTTTGACACTCCAGATGCTGCTTCTAAGGCCCTAGGTGTTGTTGATGGCCAACAAGTTCTGGGAAGGAAGGTGAGAGCTCGCCGTGATAGGGGACCTTCGACTTCGTCCTCTACCCCGACTGTGAATGCTCCATCCGGTCCTTCAAAGGTAGTTGCGTCCGAACCATCTCCTGGTACTAAGCGTCGTCGAATAGATGATAGTCCAGAAGCTGAGGTTATTGCTGAAGGTTCTGGTCAATCCGTAGACGTTAATTGTGTACAACATGAGGATCATGGTAGTGGTGTCCAGAACCTTGAGGATGTGGCTACTTCTGAGACTCGGTTGTCTGATTCTGTTCCAGTGATTAATGAAAATAGTACTCTTTGTGCTGTTGTTGAAACTCTTCACTTTGATGATATCGACCATGAAAAGGTCGATGTGGAAGTGGAGCTTAATGGACTTGTCCAAGATTCGGGGTCAGATAAACGTTTAACTATGGTGACCTCGTTGGTGTCAGTGAAGACTGCTAAAAATGTCTGTAATTCGGTTGCTTGGTTGCTAGATAGTGGTTGTGCCCTTCATCTGATTGATAAGGAGACTCATCCTTGGTTATGCGATGCCCGGTCAGTACGCCTTCCGAAACCAGTTCGTTTAATATTTGCTAATGGTACATCGCAGTTCGTAGAGGAGGCTAAGCTTGTTGCCTTTGTTTGTGGTGATCGTCGTTATTATACGCATGTACTTGTTGTTGAAGGTCTAACTGTTAGTGGCATTTTATCGGTACACCAACTTGTTACTGATTTTGGAACTGTTGCTTGGCATTTGGGTGATGATAATGGTGAGGTGTTGAGGCTTGGGCCACATGTTGTTCTTCGACCTCATTCTGTTTCTGGTTCCTGTCAGCTAAGTTCTACGCCGATATCGTCTCCCCCACTTGTGGAGGTTTTTAGTATGTCGGCTAAATGTGATACCACCGGTGATATGGCGACATCGGCTCTGGATCCGGTATTGCCTGGGAAGGCGGACTTTCTCATTAATGATATTGATCGCCCACCAGACTTAATGACTCCATCCCCTGGTGAGTCTGAATCGGTAGAGTATTCACGTTTAAAAGTAGACTATGTTCAAGATGATAGTGGTGGGACTCGTGCTCGTGTTGGCCTTCCATGGTTGAGCGAAGATCGTCCTGACTGTAATACGCCAGGCCTTCAGAGCTCGGTAGCAGCGGCTCGTGATCGTGTGACTTGTAAGAAGCTTGCCACCCTTGGACAAGAGTGGCTTTGCCGACTTTCATCAGAGCTTGAAGATATGGTCTCTCAGGGCCATATCCGACCACTCACAAAAGACGAATTGTTGATGAATCCTCCTATTATGAGTGCAGTGGTGGTACTTCGTCCAGGACATCCCACACAACCACTACGGGTAACTATTGATGCTCGACCTTTGAATCGGTATTTGGGTTCTGGAGATACGTCTACGTTGAGTCAGGCACTGCAAAAAGTATTGTTGCGATGGCGGTTAGCACCATACGTTTCTTGGGACGATGTGGCTCGTGCCTTTCTTCAAGTAAAGTTGTGGTCACACGGTGCTGCATACTTGAATTTTAGAATAAATAATGTGGCATTTAGATGCCTTCGTCTCCCGTTTGGTCTCATATGTAGTCCAGCCATATTATCGGCTGTGCTGGTGGATGCTGGTATTGTACTCAATAACCTTACGGGTAGTACATTAAGTGCTTTCTGTGCTTATATGGATGATCTGCTATATACTGGCTGGTCACCAGATACGATGTTGGAGCGTCGAAGTACCGGTCGTAAGGTTTTGGCAGAGAAGTATAGTATGGAGTGTCAACCGAGTAAATCAATACTTGGATATGATCCAGAGTATCATTTAACTCAGTCTCAGACAGCACCCTCAATAAGTTCTACTAAACCGGTGAAGGTTTTGGGCTATCAATGGAACCTTACTGATGACACTCTTTCGGTGGTACTTCCTGATGTTAGTGAACGCCCTCTTAGGACTAGACGTGACTGTTTTCAGACCTTGGGTCGATATTTTGATCCACTTGGTATCCACATCGAGGCAGCGGCGAGGGAAAGATGGCTCCTCCGACAAGTAGCTCAGCTGACCTCTACGTGGGATTCTGTTGATGTCCCAGTTGAGGTAGCTGAAAGTATTCGAGCATTTTTTAATAGTGAACTTCCACCTCAGCCTCGTTTTACTGATATCCGCTCCGGCATTGTAATCTTCTGTGATGCGGCTGGGACAGGTTGTATCTGTGCCGATGCAAGAGCGATTTCGACTGGTAGGAGAATTGTTGCACGTCAACGTACTCTGAACCCCTCATGGACTATTGCTCGTTTAGAGCTCTGCGGGTTGCTTTTTGCTGCGGAACTTCTAGCCGTTCTTCTCGAAGAGATTGATGTAGTAACGAATGACGGTTATGAAGTTGGACCATTGTGGATTTTGACCGATTCTCAGCTTAATGCGTGGAGGCTCCGTCGATCCCCTAAGCTTGATGAGAAGTATCTGCCGAAGTTTGAGCTCCGGCGTATGATGAGGCTGCGCAAGCTACTCTCTGATCTATCTCATAAATGCCATCATAATATTCATATTGGTAGCATTTCGGGGGCGGAGAATCCTGCGGATAATGGAACGCGTCCAGGTATGATAGATGTTCCAGTTAGGATGATGCCTTTATCTGGAATGAATATTGAGCTCACTCTGAGTAAGGTCAAGGTGGTCTCTACTTTCTCTCCCACCCCCACCTTGGGCTATGATGAGGTTGAGGATGAGTTGGATGTCGTCCTGTCTTCGGCTGATGTACCAGCTAATGCTGTGTTGGATCTGCAGAAAGATATTCCTTCCCTGGAACCTAGCGAAGGTCTTCGCCAGCTGTTACTGGATGCTCAGACCGCCGATCCTCAGTTACGGGATATTCTCAAGAAGCTCAGAGCTGCTGATGGTGTTATTGACGGTTATGAGCTGAATAATGGCCTCATCTATCGCACGTGTAGTGTTGCTCTAGATGATTCGAATAGAGGTTCATGTATTTGTTGTCAAATTGTGGTTCCTGAGGTTCGTCGAGATCTTCAGCTTCTTGTGGTTAAATGGGTACATGATAAACATCGAGGTCATCCAGGTCGTACTACTCTCACCAGATGGGTCTCGCGCAGTTACTACTGGAAAAGACTCGATCGGACAGTGAGGGTGTTGAATAGAGAATGTGAAGGTTGTCAGGCGAGGAGGATTGCTGAGAACAGACGTCGAGCACAGTCGTCGCGACCCCCTGGTTGCTCTGTGAAATATGAGCCGTTTGCGATAGCTTATTTCGATGTGATGGGTCCCTACCAGCTCTCTAAGGAGGAAGATGGTGACCCTAAGAAGGTGTATGTATTTACCCTCTCTTGTCATTCATCCAAGTTTGTGAAGTGTGAGCCTGCTTACAGTAAGTCGGGAGTGGATGCAGCTAGAGCCTTACTTCGACTACTAGCAGATGAGGGTCCGTCAAGAGTATTAATGGTTGACCAAGGCTTGAATGTGCCGGAGGTTCTGGCAGCTGCTGACGAATGGGATGTGACCGTAATAGCTGCCCCACCTCGTGGAGAAGAGTTGAGAGGATGGGGTGAACGGGCTCATAGAGATGTGCATGCTATTATTCGTGGATGTTTATGGGATCTGGCTGCTGACCATAAACTTCCTTTAGAAGATGAGTTCTTACGTATACTCAATAGAGCGGTCACTATTGTTAATATGACTCCTTATGTTGATGGCTCACCACTTTGCCCTTTCCTTGTCTGTCGAGGACATAGTAGGATGATTGGTGATATTGATGCCAAGAAGGAGGCTGAAGATATTCGAAAGGCTATATTTGATGGTCTGGAACCTCCCAGTTGGTGGACTGAAGAGCTTGCACAGCTATATCGAGAACGACAAGGAGAAGGCCGTACAGTTTTGTTGAAAGAGCTTGCTGATGTATGGTGGTTACGTAGGCGTAATGTTCGAGAGAGGTTGATGAGTCGTGTTAAGAGACATGCTGGACGAGACCTTACTGAGGGTGAAAAGGTCTATCGTTGGCGTCCCATGCTAGGCAGATTTGGAAAGCTCAACACTGGTTGGTCTCCAGCGGTGTTGGTTAAGAAGATGAGCAATAGTGTTTGTAAAGTGCGTTTGCCTGATGGCAAGGAAGTCAACGAGAGCGTGCTTAACCTTCGTCCGGCGGGAGTGTGCCGGTAACGGCATTCTTATAGATATAATTGATGGAAAGTTATTGTGATTTTGTGTGTGTGTCTCCAGTCTCCATAATTGTGTCCTAGCGTCAAGCTAGTGGACTCCGGTTCATAATTAATTTATTGCTGTGGTTGTTATTGTTGCGGTTATTCCCGACAACATTGAAGTTGCGTAAAGCTCTATTGTGGTATCTACTTGGTCATCAAGTTTATCACTAAGAACCTTTGTATACTTCGACGGTTGAGAGTCTTGAGTTGTATTATAACCGTCATAATCGGTTCCAGGCGTTTTCTAGATTTCGGATCGGGTATTCTTCGGAATAATTTCTTCCTGCCCTCCAACAAAGGCGCAAACCTCGCTGCATCTAGCTATTTACCCCCTCGGGGCCTGCCTTGCTTCCAGTCAGCGAATGAGAACTTTCTCTTTTTGGCGACCGGGCTCTTAGGACCATCCCCAGCATGATCAGTCACCACAGCACTGCCTTCAATGGAGCTTGACGACGATTCGATTCGTAAAGAGCCGCTCGTCGAAGTCACTTTACAGACTGAATCAGAGGGAGAGACGAATTACGAGCAGACTCAACCCGGATAGTGAAAACACTTTCATATGTTTTGGAAATTTGGCGAGTTCGGCCACACCGGCAAAGGCGCGCTCGCCCGATTCGAGAATCGAGAACGAGATCGAGATGACGAGAAAACCCTCCGAGATCCCACGATCGAGAATTAGTGACGCGGAACATACATCGAGACGAGATCGAGATATCTCGAAGCAGCTTTTTCCGACCTCTGGTCGATAATTTCATTTTCGTTTGAACTGCGTGGGTCCCCTATTATCTACTATCCCAGAAAGCCACCTCCTCGTCCCCTCAACCACCATCATCCCCTATAAATGCTCTAACAAGGATTTGATCTCTATATCTTCCCCTTATCAACCCGAAACGCGAACCCATACTCGGTTTCGTCGCGTGTGCTGTCCATTCTAAAAAAAATCTGCCCACGAGGGTCGAACAAAAACTTGCTGAGATCAGGGATGATATCGCGAATATCCAGACGCAGGTGATAGCTATGTAGAATTCAATCGTACACAACAAAGTCAAAGTTCAAAGATATCAAATTTTTCCTACACAGATTTTTGAATTCTGGATTCAAGAACAAGTCTCGAGCTGCTAGACGCGGCGGCACTCTTTTTCGGACGCGCCACATTTCATTAGAGATAATTCATCACCTCGGTATCGTGAGCTTGAGCATGCTCACACAGGGCTGTAAGAGATGCCTGCTATCGTATAGGCGACAAAAAAGGTCCCCAGCTTTTATTGCGATTGCGTCAATCTCAATTCAGGCTTATGCAATAAAATGCCCGTTCAAATATCGACTGTTGCTCACACAGCTGCCCAGCACAGCGGTAGGCGCTACGCTAGGAGCACACCGCTCCTGTGCTACGACAAGTTCGATCGTCTGGGTTATACAACTCAACAAAGGGGATGGACACAAGTTGCGTCACACAACAACCACCCGATGTGTACAGATGCAGTGAATGATGGACAACAACTAAGACAACTTTTGAACATCACATATATCTCATGCAGTCTTCACATGGACCGTGCCAGCGTCACCTAAGTGTATGAATATGGCGCAGGTTCGATCCGAGGAGCCTACGTTTTAATGTGTCCAGTATCTTTTCAGCTTCTCTCGAGTGGATGACAATCTTGTCGTTCTCTGTATTGATGCTCGAGATTGTCTGATTACCGTGCTTCAATGCTCTCAGATTCAGCTTCAGCTCCTTCAAGTGAGACTTCTCGTACTCTGTTGGATTCAATACTAGCTGCTTATACTGCTTCTGACCGGTCGTATGGTCTTCGACCTCCACCACCGAGTCTTGGGTAACGTCGCCAGTCGAAACAGCTGTGGTTGTCGCGTTCTGACAAGGAGTTGAGTATGAATCGGTGTTGGGATCATGATATGAGCGCATGTGGGTTCGAGATCAGTGTTGAGATCAACTCAGGATATGAGCCCAGTGTTCCGATAGGGGCATTGATGGGATCGAAAACTTGCGCATCCTGAACCAGTCTACACTCACGTTATTCAGCGGGGCTGGTTCTCCCCAGACTTGAGCGGCTTGGTCCACCTCCATCTTCCCCTCACAAATAAGGGATACCCTAACGTTATAGTCGTCCGCTGTTGACGCAGGTATTGCTGGGTCTCGGCACTGCTGTCGAACAGAGTAGCGAGCAGCTAGCCCTCGGGACGGCAGATTAAGACCGGTACACTCGTATTTGACTAGTTGGGGACCAGTCCTTTGAAGGAAAGTTGTGTCTGGTAATTCGACCTGATGGAAGAAGTGGGAGAATTCCTGCCTGTAGATGCACGATGTAACGTCTATCGAGACACGGATATTCTTGGCCCTGCTGATAGAACCTCTAATCATGAGGACTTGCCATGATAAAAGAGCATGACCAGCAAGAACTGTGTGAGCAGTTCGCAATATATCCACTACCGAAACCCTCTTATATTCCGAACATAACGAGATAAAACTCAGCCCCTGGCTCGTTTGCTGAGCCGAAGCTTTCCACCCAGGAGATCGTCACTTACCGTGATCGTCCCTTTGTGAATTTCCTTCACTTCGACAATACCAGCACCACGTACGGAGGCTTGCGAGCATCCATCCTGCTCAGCCTGAAGACGCATCAGTCGAGTCTGCGGCCAGTGTCCACTCGCTCGACCTACCACAGGCCCCGGTGCAACCGACTTGGATGCAGGCACCGGGGTCGGAGCAGGCCATCCGCGGTATACTCCTGATGAATCCTTATGTGGCTTCACTTCATGTTCGTTGGGAGTTGACGAGGAAACGGGCTCCGACTCCTTCTGAAGGGCTGTATGCCAACACACCGGCCATATCTCCCTTACATGAGGTCCAACATCAGGGGGAGATGGAGGTCTCGGGTGGGAAACCGGGGCGTCCCATTCAGCGGCTAAGAACGCCGCGGCGTTGTCCGAGGAGCACAGGATCTTCACGCTTATCCCGGAGCAGGTGAGAGACAGGCCCCCGGTGCCGGTAGTAGGGTGGGAAGTGGCCGCATCACAGCGTAGGGCAGCGCTGCTCGGATCCACGAACTGCGATGGTCACCAGCGGCAGATGAGACAACTCGAGTCGGACGAAGAATTCCCACCTCAATTTCACGTCTGTCATTGTTCACCTCGCTGATTCTCTCCATGCGATCACCAAAGTCGAGAGTGGTGCATGCGGCGGCTATCTTGCTATCCTGAATGGCATAGGTAAATCACCCAACAAGCACACCGAAGATGAGTATTCTCACCGAGTACGTGTTCCACTTCCGGGCTACGATGTTTGCTGCCTCTTTGTTGAAGCACTTGAGACTAACCCACGTGTCAAATACCCCCTCTGAGCCGGGTTTCCTGCAGAGGGTAGACACCTCAGGATAACGAGCGCCGGGCTCATGTCGAGACTCGGCTCCAGCGCACTCGATCCTATCGGAGGATGATTCGTCATGATCCTCGCCCTGTTCATGGGGTACCTAACGAAGAACTCTAAATGAGAATTTCTAGGCACAAGTAACCGACCATGAAACCGCCACCCCAGATGGAGGAAATCTTAGAATATGGGCGGCCCTCGAAAGAGACAGCAGGGCAATGCTCCAGTATTTCAGCCTAATGAACATCTCGTGGCTCTAGAGATGACCACAAGTATCACTAACCGTGGTCATCTGCGACGATCGCTCATCTGTTCCTCCTCCTTCTTCGTTCTTCTCAGCTTCCTCTGCTTCGTCAGTAGATTCATCTGATGTTTTATCGACTGAGTCTCCCGTCTCCGGTTGTTCCTGAGAGTAACATGTTGAGAATACCATAGATACAACAACTAGGGATATGCAACGCTTCGACGTACCTCTGTTGGAGATTCCTCATCCTCATCGGCAACTTCTTCCGGGCCAGTAGCCTGCACCTCGTTTCCGTGCTCCTCGGGCTCGCTTAGAGTATCCTCGGACGACGCGTGAGGCTCATCAGTAAGTCGATTGGTAATATCGGACGCTTCTCCAGCGGAGTCGGAGGTCTGGAGAAAGTGAGGCTGATGACAGAGGTTCTTGTAATGGTACACAGAGTATTCAAGTAAGAGTAGAATAAAATACAGCCGGCAAGAATCGAACTCGCGACCACACACGTTTCCTACTCTACTAGACATGTATCAGGCGAAAAAACCACCTCAAATTCATCTACTTACCCCATTAGCATCAATATCAGGCGTGAGGAATGCTTGTTCTGGTACCTGACACCCAAAGATCGTATCCATCTCGAGTTACTATCGCAGCCACATTCGACGTGTCCCCACCAGCATGGACTTACCTCGTCATTGCTGACATCATCTGAGCTGGGCTCGACAGAGACGTTGTCATCCTCGTCTATCATATCATCCTCGTTGATCGGCCGAGTCGCATACGAATCATCATCGTCCTCATCACGAGCCATATCATCGTACGACTTATACTCGCCGCTTTCCGCGGGTATCTGAGGATTCGCCTCTACCAGTAGAGCCTGCCAATGCCTCCGAACTGCCAAGATACTTCCGAGGGACATTATTTCTCCGACAGATAGAAGCCAAAATCACATACGATCGACACACATATTCAAGTGATACCTTGATGTTAAATGCATACTTAAAATGTGATATATTCATCGAAACCCACTCGATCAGAACTGTCAAGATGCTGCACTGCGGACTCACAGGATCAATGGGAAAGCTCGGCAACGTCGGTCCGATGTTTCCTGATGCAACCTCCTTCTCCGGCTCTGCCTCGGTTGGTAGTGCGTCCAAGTCCAGGTCCGGTATATCAGGAATCAGGGGGCCTAGGGAGTCCTGAGATTCATTCGCAGCCTGAAAGGGACTTGTGGTGGGCACTGACTCACCTCGCTGTAGGCCAATCTTACAGCAGTTAGAGCGAGCAGAGGCACATACAAGTGCAGCATGCTGTAAAAACACAAAAACTACAATTACTCTCCCCTACTTCTGGTAAGAACTCGACATGAATAACACACATCATAGCAACATGAAAAAACTGATAAAGAAACCGTAAAATGGGAACGCAGGTCAGATTGATCGAGCGCAAAAATCACTTCGAGTAGTTCAAAAACGGCTGAGAATACAATGTGAATTCCTCGGGTGTTGTCTCCTGCACTATGAGTCCAATCATATATTGTTGTGTTCAACATTAAAGTTTCACAACCCGTTTTACGTGAAGTGGCGTAAAACTCGGTGAAAAACCCGATGTTCGCGATACGCCGTAGTCGTGGAATATGTTTTTCACTAGTGTTGTTCATATCACGGGTAGAACTCCATTGATTACAACAAATTGTTGTCAACAACATATCACACCTGAGAAGTCAGACATTGCCCGGCTTACCACAGTCACTGTGGCGGCGAATCTGTCGCCTTACAGTAAATATAGTTTATAATATACACCATATCTATTCAATAGATATTCCTCAGTCTGGGGCTGCCTTAGACTCTGAGGAATTTTTCCCCGAGGATTTTTTTTTCTCCAGCGAGTGAGGAATCTTGGCACATTTTACTTCACTGCCACAGTGTAACGAGGAGTAGGAATACTGCCAACATCACAAAAAATTCTCAAATCTCAATAAATCGCACGCGTTGTCGCCACCGACAGCAGTGCTAACTCAACAAGGAAGTGTGAACAAGGACACCATCGAATAACATGTAAGCAGCACGAGAACACCTCACAACTTGATAAGACACAACATCATCTCACAACAGAGGGACCACAACAACAACAGTGGCAGCAGGTGATGGCTCGATTAGCAATGTACGGAGGAATAGATCAGCTGCGGTCAGCCCTTCTTGGTCACTTTAACTGCTCTCCAACCTGATCACCACCAACAGTGCTGACTAATCTCCTCACAAGTCTTTCACCTCGGCGGTGTTGGTCATTGGTCGACCTCCGCACTGGAGGGGGGCTCGAGAAGCCTCTTACCCCGAGCGCCTGGGCAAATCGGCTGACATCAGTGGTGACCTAAACATGTGGCAGCCGCTATGGCAATCACAGTCAAGTGTAGTGAAGGCCCACCTCCTGCACGCGGCCCGCGAACTGCCGCATAAGGAGCTCTGCCATGCCCGGCTCATCAAAAACGATATTCACTTTCTTGCCATCTAAAGTCTCCCCCCAAATATTATTCTCACCAGACCTACGAGAAAAACTGTTGAGTTGACCGCTGTGTGATGAAGCCGCTTACCGGAGACTGTCATATAGTATATGCATTTCATGCCAGCTGGCTTGTTCTTCTGGAGTGGGATCAACCACCCCGACACGGTCCACCACCTCAGATCCCAGACGCGTCACTCGGACATTCAGATGATGTGGGAGGATCGCTGATGGACCTGAGAAGGATCTTATTGAGCACATTGTATGAGAGAGCTCACCGTTGGTGGGGTGGGTAGCAATAGGAAGAACCTGAGGAACGGTAGTAACCAACATTCTGCGAGACGATCGTCCACTGTAGGTATTTACAAACAATGTCGGAAAATATCAATAAAAAATGAGCTCAGTTGAGAAAACCGAAAATATATTCTATAAGGGCTTACTGGTCTCGGAGTGAATCCTCCCCAAATAACAGATAGCATCTGAGCATCCCAAAAGGAGTTGCATATGATGTTTCCCTTGATAACATGAGGCGAATCTGACAGAGTCATGTACTCGACCACAACGATGACCGAACAACAACTCACTGAATCCTTCAAAGCAGCCAACGCGGACTCTCCATTTGCTCTCCTCCCCTCGGCTCGGCACCGGGCTGGAATTAACCGCATTACAGGTCAAGCGCCTCAGCAAGCTGCTAGCCTGGTCCTGGGCTGCCCGGATCTGTTACAATCAGCGTATAGGCAAATCAACTAGCTGCCTCTTACCGTGAGCATCCTCCCAGCCGTCTTGAGGTCTAGGAGATCATCAGCCACGCCAGGAGTGGCCTCTCGCTGGAGCTGTGAACAGCTGCCGAATCGTTCCTACTCACTAATCATCACACTGAAAGACATACGGTGCGTTACCAGAGGCTCGTCGGGCGCCGAAGTCATAACTTGAGGACTACTTGACGATGATGAGGAAGAGGACTGAGGGGAAGAGCGAATCTACTGTGCAATCCTCAGAAGCGACTCACCGAAGAGGCCCAGTCGAAATGCACGAAGTTGAACCAGCCTGTGCTCGCACTGTTCGCCACGGAGGCGGTAGTGAACACCATCTGGGTGGTAGTGCTTGTCGTGCTAGTCGTAGTGATACGTGTGACAACCTGAAGCCACTGATTCGAGTGTGAATTTTTTCACACCGTTACCGATGATGAGGATGACGCTTCCCAGCTGAAGTGGACAGCTGCTCCTCCGCTTTGGGTCTGGTAGTCTGACGGCGTAGGGGAGGGCATCTCCGACTACACAGAAGAGTTCACCCAACCACAATGTGCTCAACTACACGTGACCATAAGCGAATAACTAAGAATTCTCTTCGGTTTTTACACATTTCGAATCACGTGCAGAGAGAACTCTCTGGTTGAAAAAAGCAAGCATATCGCAATCGTGAACTCACCGGCCTGTATCCACCCCATAGGATGGACAGTAGCTCCGCATCCCAGTAGGCTCCGCAAACAATACGATAAGCAACTCCGGCGGAGTCCCAGCCTGATAACACCAAGTCTGTGAACAGTCCGACATTGATTCCCCACCTCTAGCATCGCGACACTTCGTCTTAATCTGCCACTTGCCGCTTTTATCCAATTCAGTCGGTTGGCCATCCGCTCCATCACAGGACAGTGTCACCACGTCGGGGAAGCCAAATGGGGTCAGCTGCACCGGGCATGAGGTGATTTCCTGCTAACACTAACCTCACCTGCATAATTCGACCAAGGTTGTCCACGGCGAGGTCCATGACTTCGTCCATTTCTGCTGCCACTGCGAACTCCGGCTGTGCGTATGTACAGCTGGGGAACCGCGTCTAGGTTAGAGAGAACATTCCAAGCACAAGAGAGAGCGATAGGCAGCCATACATGTGGCCGGGGTGAAGGAGGTGCGCCTGTCGGTAGTGGTTGGGGAGGTAACTTCTCGCTTGCCGAGGCCTGGCTCGAACCAGAGGACTAAGCTCAGTGGATACATAGTCGCCCTGAATGCGGAGCACTTACCTGCCAAGAATACTGCTGGAAATAGCTCAACAATCCTGAGCTCCGTGTGGTCTGAGTCTGGGTCGTGGTAGTAGTCGTAGTGGTCGTTGTTGTAGTGCTCGTCGTAGGAGGTAGCTTCTGAGTGGTATCAAAATCAGCTAGCATTTCATAGATGCGAGGGTAGGTGATACGAAATTCGAACAAGTCAATATTGCAAATATTTGTCGATTGTTTGACAATATATAACTTTGAATCCAATCTACTCCTACAACAGCTACACTCGCTACAACTTGAGCTGAGACCACCACCACCACCACCACCACCAACAACAACAACAACAACAACAACAACAACAACAACAACAACAGTGAACTCACCGGTTCATAGCCTCCCCACAGGACGGCGAACATCTCCGCTTCCCAATAAGATCCACATACGACGTTGGCGTTATCATAGCTTCCCGGATCTGAACCAACAACATTCACAACCATGGCCACAACAAGCCGATTATGGGCGCCACTCACTTTCATTATTCTGGCACTCCACAGGCACATACCAATTTCCTCGCCACGGTGTAGGATCTAGTGTAACTCTATCACAAGACATCGACCGGGTTCTTCTCCTGCCAACTGGTGCGACCTTTAAAACGTGATCGAGTTCCTGATCAGCGGACTTCTACCCACCTTCAGTTCACGACTAGCCGATACAGCGTCGAGTAGAGTATCATACGAGCCAGTGGTCATCGCGAATACACTTCCGAACTGCATACGGGTGCAGCTCCCAAAGCGACTCTGAGCAACAGTAACAAATCTCATCAAGATTCATCAATAGTACAGCCACCTTAGGCGTAGCAGTGGTCGTAGTCGTCGTAGTCGTGGGAGCATGAGTAGTCGTTTGGGGAACCTATAGAGCTGCTGAGTTCAAGTTCAACCAACAGCCTGATTTTACCACTGCTCGGGAGCCATAGCCAGAGTAGTAGTAATACCAAGATCGCTGATGAACCCTCGCCGCTGTGGTGGTCGTAGTAGTAGTAGTAGTAGTAGTAGTAGTAGTAGTAGTAGTAGTAGTAGTAGTAGTAGTGGTGGTTGTCGTAGTAGTGGTCGTAGTCTGCTGACATGAAGACATGAACTCGGAAAGTAGTCAGCTATTTTTACCGCTCTGTATCCGCCCCACTGTATTGAAAGTAGTTGAGCATCGTAATAAGATCCACAATAGATTCTCCCTTGACTGACAAACCCTTGACCTGTCCACAATTATCAACTTAGCAGAACCATACCAAACAAACACTCACCTTCAGCATCACCACACTTCACAGGCACCGACCACTGCTCCGGCTGGTAGGCAGCAGCAGCCCCATGCCTCACCGGAAGCTCCATAACTTGCTCACAGATCAGCGACATAACGCTATCCGCATAGGAAGGACGTACCTATCACTGCTTTGTAAGACTCCATCATGAATCTAAACTCACCTGTAGCTGTCTGCCATACACTACGAAATCAACGACCTCGTCTACTGCCTCGCCGTAGGACCAGTCGGGCCGCATGGTCTCGCAGGTGGGATACCGCGACTAGAGACACCATTATATAAGCAGCGACTTTAGATCAACTCACCCTGGGTTTCCGCGTGGTTGTAGTAGTTGTGCTGGTGGTAGTAGTAGTCGGCCGCGGCTGAAAGACAATGCGTGAGTCGTCATCAGAAAACATACGAGGCCTCACAGTAGGAGGGTTATTCCATGTATATCCTCCAGAGGCATGGACCATCCACCACGAAGACTGTTGCCTATGAACCCTCGGTGCCTCAGTCGTAGTCGTAGTTGTGGGTGGCGGCTCGGTTGGTGGGGATCTCTTGAAAAAATGGCAATAACACATATCACCTCCAATGTGAGAAAATATGCACATATTGAACTACATGTGTCACGGACGATATGAAATTTCTGAGAAAATTTTGGGAAATTCTTATTGGTTTATGTACATTCTTACCCGAATTGTATAGTGAGCAAACTGCTGAGCTCAGGTAAGGAAAATGAACACATATTTCACCATCCACACAATTGATCGATCCGGATAGTTCCCAAACTTACAGGCTCATAACCTCCCCACATGACTGCCAGCAGCTGGGCATCCCAATATGATCCACACACTATACCCTCCTCCTCAGCGTAGGCATACATCCTAGATGAGGCTGCCATGTAGCAGCTGGCCGAGACGCGATAACGACCATCCTTCTCCTTGGCCGGTGGGGCTCGGACCGGATCACAGGTCAGGAACTCCTCAGAGCCACCCTTGGCACCCCAAGGTGATATCTACAACACTTCATCAACTACGGCTCATTCAAAGAGAGCTAGAGGGCGGCTTTTTCACTAACAATGTATTAGGAATCCTAAGCTCGGGAGAGTTTATTCACTATCCCACACACGAAACCAACGAAAATTCCGTAGATCGTCCTAGTTGCAATCAACACACATAGTTGACTTTTTACACATCTTCCCATAGCAACCACCACCATCACCAAAGACTCACCCGCAGTCCGCGATTAGCGAATGCGAAATCGGCTATCTGCTGAGGCATCTCATTGGGAGCAGACGGACGAACCACCTCCTGGCAGCTGCCAAGGAACGACTGAAAATGAACATAAGTGTCTTTCTATCGCCACTCCAAGCCCCACCCTCCGCGTAGTGGTAGTAGTGGTGGGCGTTGTCGTTGTCGTTGTTGTAGTCGTAGTTGAGGTGGTGACAGGCTGAAGCACACAACATCCCAGCTGACATGATAGAATATCTCATACCGCTGTGAAACCCGACCACGAGAAGTAATTGAACTTATACCACCAAGACGTGGTCGTCGGAACCGGTGTTGTTGTAGTAGTAGTCGTAGTAGTTGTGGTAGTAGTAGACGAGGTTCTACTCTCCTGCTTGTGGTACATAACAACGTATTGGAACCATCCAGAAGAGTGCGCTGCGCTCCCTTGGGTGCCAAGACCGGCCTTTCCCTGAAACATCGATCACAAGAATCGTTAACAATAACAACTCACTTTAAAACCACCCCAAGTCCTGGCCAGAATCTCAGCATCTTCGCGACGTCCGCATACCAACACTCCTCCACCAGACCGACCATGACCTGATCAATCACAACGTGGCGCTCTCCCAGTACTCGAATATATTTCCCCTATGCAAACTACAAGATCACACTATAATGTAATAGCACATGTATCACAGTAGTAGTAGTAGTAGTAGTAGTAGTAGTACAAGTAGTGGCAGCAGTAGTGGTAGTAGTAGTAGTAACAGTAGTGGTGGCAGTAGTGGTAGTAGTAGTGGTAAGTCGAGACTGATTGTAAGTGGATGAAGTTAGTCAGAAGGGACGTTGAGGATCGTGGTGGACGATGGGAGTGTATCCGGAAGACTGCGTTGGATAAAGGGAAGCGGCATAAATTTCCTATTATTTGCAGCGCGCATGTTCCATAGTTGGATCCAAGCGCTCAATCAATGAATGAGTAGTGGTAATACACTATGGTGTACACGGGTGTCAAATCGATAGTGGGATAAACTCCCTGATAGATGTTCACCCCAGGGTATGAAGCAGAACATGGCGATTCAGAGTCTACGAGTTTTCCCCTCTGGATCGTTTCAATTATAGTTGTATACATATATTGTAGTTAATATACGACTCCGAGTAGAATGTACAAAAATCAGGGAGAACTTCTGTCTTGGTATCAGCACTTGTAGTTGCCTTATACCCCACCTTGAGAGTCTCGACAGTCCACACGGACCAGCCAAGTAGCGCCCTTTCCTTCTGGAGGCACCTCCACTTCACCGCATCTCAACTGCAGTGGATGTATCATTGTACCAGGCAACACCTAAGGCACAGACCTCACAACAGGAATGCAGGATATTTCAACCCTACCGTTAGCTCTCTCTTGCGTATGTCAAAGTCAATAACATCATCAGCCTCACCCTTTGAAAAATCGGCTATCAACTTTTTGCAGGACTGAAAGATTAGCGACCACCGTGGATCCGTCCTACAGTTGGAGGAATACACGTTTAGTTTTCTCGCTAATTATAGAAGTTTACCCGCGAGTTCGGGTAAAAATACACGAAAACCAACAAGAAAATCGAAAAACTTCCATATTGTCACCAACATATGTAGTTGACTTCGTGCGTATTCTCCCCCACTGCGCCATACCACGAGGAGATCAAGCAAGCCGTACTCACCTCGCCCCCTGACGGTGGGGAATCTGTCAATATCTGATCGCCATGCTTCTGGGAAAGAAGACTGTAGTGTAAAGGATGCAGTAGAGACTTACGTCTTTTCTCCACGAGCCTTGAGAGTAGGTGTACCACGATCCACTGCTGCTACTATCGACTCCATCTGGCAGCCGCATGCTATTGCCAGCCATGCCAGGGAGAGAGTATAGGCCAGGAACCCAGGAGGGATCCTGAAAATGCACGCTGTGAGGATCGAACCTGGGACCTCGATGACTCACATCAAACCCGCCCCACTGCTTGGCCAAAGTTCTTGCTTCATACTCCGAGTCGCATCGGATCTTCCCCTCCACCGTCTCAGCATCAGCGCCACCTCCAATAGTGCACTTCACCGGAATCAGCCAATCGTTGAGGTCAACCCGATGCTTGGGCCTGACCGCCACCTCCTCACACGCGGCGACTTCCGCCTCCTTCTTGTAACGCCTCCGAACCTGAGCCGTTTCCCTCCAACAAGATTCCCACCCAGAGACATGCCTTGAATCTCCGTCCTGGTGTATCAAAAGCGGTTATTTTCCCATACCGATAACTATGCCGAGGGCGAAACTCTCGACAAGTGCCAAAGCCCGCCTGAAAATATTGGAAATCACCACCACCACCCGAGGAACCACTGCCTCTCACCTCGTCAGTGGGCACGAAAATTCCACCATTCCCCTCCACTTCGGATGACGACGCAACCTGTCAGTGTCAACCAGGACCCAATAATCACTCGGGGAGTCCCTACCTCCTCATTGTCCGGTGAGAGCCTGTCATCGTCATCAACAGTGTCACCTTCCGATTCATCAGCCTGAGGAGTCTGGCAATATGAACCATATTTCGAAGTTACTTTTCAACGTCGAGAATACAACAATGTAGAGTTTCTGAAATTGCAGTACTCAATTCACGTGAAAAAATTCGTTACTGTTCTTTCAATTACAAAACTCAAAGAGTATAAAACTATGTATATCATCTTCTTACAGTATTTGTTCACGCCTTCGTACTTTCGAGTTTGGCAACAGTTCGATTCACGCTGTGAAATTAAACAACTCGTCTCTTCTCCCCACACCTACCTTCAGCCCCTCACCGTCCGCGTTACCCTCCGAGGAATGCCTTAACTTAGCTTCCTCCTCTTGGGTCTCCTGCATGAGTCCGATACCCCCAACCCCACATCTCAGAGTGCCCACCTCATCTCCTGCAGAGAAATCCTCCTCAACATTTGATGCAAGTCGAGCAGCAGCCGTATGATCGTCCTAAACCAACAAGGATAATTCCCGTCAAGTGAGAAGAACCCCCTACCTCAGCGTCGTGGTCCGTAGTGAAATCTCCTACATCTTGAAAGGTCGGCAAGCTCTCAGGGATAACATACTCGTCAGCTTCTGTCTCCGGAACCTGTAATGGTAGACAAATGAATGGTAGTACAAAGAATCACCAACCCCACCTCTTGAGACCGCTCTCCTTCCTCACTGCGTAATGCTCGGCTGGTGCTATGACCACCCTCTGTCTCAGCACCAGCCGAATCATCCTCAACAATAGGAACCGCTTGCGAGACCTGATGTCAACCAGCTTTCCTCAACTCCGAATCCGAGTAGGAGTGTACAGAAACCAAAGAAAATTTCCCAGAAAAATTCCCTTAGAATTTCCGATTGTCACCGACACATTAAGTGACCATGTGCATACCATGACCATTCCTCGTACTCCATGCCACGATAGTCAACATCCGCGACAATAATGGCCTCACCTGAGGATAATTTCCCCATTCAGAAGCATCTGAGTCATCGTCCGATGCCGAGGCCGGTTCGACGTCGTTGCTAGAGGCCTGTGCGAAGAGAATATGTTGCCAGTCAGCGCTCGAGGTGAGTAGTCTTGCTGGAACCGACCAGTTTCCGCGATGATGGAAAACACTTATCGATTAATTTCATCATCTACACACTTGAAATTTTTCGGACGATTACTGGTAGGATTTTCATATTAGACCCTATCAGAAATTACTGTCGACAAAATTCGAGAGGGCTGGAATTGAATGCTTTTCTCTCTCTCTCTCAACCTCAATTTTCGTGTTGCGACAAGTCATGTGTCCACAGTTTGATATCACTCCTGATACCGACTTGTGATACTCTCTACAGGAAGAGCCCCCATCGACGTATAGAGAAAGCCCATGCTTGAGTCGAAGCCACACCCACCTCTTGAGTTCCTTCCCCTGTTTCCATTTCTTGAGGCCCAGATGCGGGAGCCTAGAAGGAGACAACCATAAACTGTACAAGGTAAGTGAAGTCCCCAACTTACCTCGTCGTCATCTCCTCCTCCACTATCAGTTTCCCCACCAGGAGTCTCCTCAGGAGGGACCACATCTCCATCTGGACTGTCCTCATCCTCGCCAGTGTCACCAAATTCAGTAGTTGATGACTTAGCGCTGCTATCGGGCTCAGCAGCGCTATGACTATCCTTCACCTCATCGCCACTATCATCGACTCGTTCACTAGACTGTGCCTCCTCACCCGCTTCCCCCGCTGTGAAAGGGGCTCCCCATTTCTCAGCAAAGTAAGCCGCATCCTCTTGGGTTTCAAAATTTATCACGAACAGGAATTTCTTCTTTGGGTTTTCCGGCCTGGCGCACTTCGCCTCTACGAATTTCCCCCAGGGCTCCGCGGAAATATCATCACAATGAAAGGTCTCCTGCAGATCCCACAAATGGGCCTTCTCTTCCGCCAACCTCAACAACCGTACGCCAGCGTCACCATCACGATGAGCGTGCGTCACCACAAACTTGTCGGGATCCGAGCCGATCCGAACATACCGTACTAGACTTGCGTAATTCACCTAAACCACCAAGAGCAACTTCCAGAAACTTCTCACATAACCACTAATTCCTATATACTCCATGAAAAACTACCACATATGTTAAAGAACAACAACTAAAGAGTGACAGAATAATCAAAAAAAAGCTCCGAAAAATCTCAAGTCGTCAAATATCCCCCACCTCGCCGAAGGCCTCAACGACATTAGCCCTCGTTCTTTCCAACACTGCATCCCAATCTTCGTGGACTTGCTCCTCATTGGGTATCTCCTTGGTGAGCTCGACGGGTGTTTTATACCGATGCAGGTTACCCCACACCTCCGCGAACTCCATCGCATCTTCGTGTGTGGGAAAATGAAAATACACCGAACGTTTATCCGCTGGTTTTCCCCCGGGTTTTGTGCAAATTGCCGTAGCAATGTCACTAGATGGAGCACGTGCCATCATACTGCAGTAGTAGGGCTGTACGACCCTCTCTGTGAAAGAGCTCCTCAGTTTCACCCGCATGGCCCGACTCGCGCCGCGCTTGAACGCTGTGAGGACTTCCCATTTGGTCGGGTCGTCACCAATGTGAGCGTATAATACCTTCGAGGCTAGGTTCGGCGGGTCCAGTTTCTGAACAGGAAACCATACCACACCATGGTCTGATCGTAATCTTACTCCGTTTGCTGTAGCGACTAGAGCCACCACTACGGCCCTCAGGCCTGATGAAAAACACATTCACAGGAACTCCCAAAATAGGAGGGAGAACAACTGTAAAGATACTGTACGTAGGCGCAGAAAAAGATTCAGAACAGGTCCACTAAGCGACCATAATTCCGATTCAACTCGCAGATAACTATCGATTCAGCGGAAACAATTACCGTTATTAACGACAACGAATACTCAAACTCGGGGGAGGGGGAATACTGTAACAGGAAAGTGGTAACAACATTCCTAGTTCGATTTGATCGGACTTTAAAAAGTTAACTTGCCCGAATAGTGCCTCTCTAGTTATTGACAAACACAGGTCACAAGTATTTTCACATGAAACCACATGGAATCGCTTACTATCCGCGACTTTATCACGCGCCACGAAATTAGACCACGTTTAATCAAACAACATGAGCGCACACAACAGAAGAATAGCAACAGCCTCACAATCAACTCAGCGGGGTTTACTTTATAGCAGAAAAAATCCTCTCAAATTTGGCTACTGTACGACTCTAAAAAACTGTGGACGACGACGACAACAGAAAATACAGTTGTTTCCACAACATAAAAAAGAGGACCATCTTCCTATCGCCTTCGACTCACATTATACTTGCACACAGGGCAGCGATGGTTCACTCGCAGCCAGTGGTCTATGCTGAAAGGGATCAACAACGACAAGCTAATCACCTCTATCGAATGAGCATGTTCTTACCATTTCGCGTGGAAGTTATGAACACATGGCAGGCACTTGACCATATCCCCTTCCCTCAACTCATCCATGCATATCGAGCACTTAACTCCTCTCATACCACCATCGTATCTACCACCACCTCATCACACAGCTGCTCACTCACCCTCCTCACCTGTGTGCTGTGATAGCGCCAATTTTATGTTCGTCCAGACCCCTTGTTGAGCTCTTGCCTGTATCAGCTTCCAACACCTCAATGAGCGACTGCAGCCCAGCAGTCAATTGAACCGCGGCCTCGGGAAGCTCCCTAGCCCCGACCACTGGGTCCGACCGGCAAACTTCACTCCCACCATCGCTTCTGTCATTCCCAGTACCTAAACTTATATCAAAAGTGCTAGTCACAGCAAAAAGCGCGCGCCCGAAAATACAAAACTTACACAAAATATCGGCAACAAGTTCCTCACTGTTATCGTCCTTCCGCCTACCTCTGAGACGATACTGCATGAAGGTTCCACACAAGTGGCAACCACAAGCATCTGGAGGAGTTGGAATATATGTTTGGCTTCACAACTCAGCTCAGGAGTATACTATACAATGACATATAATAGAAGTGTACAAAACCCAGCAAGAGATTCTCACAATTTCCTCATTGTCATCGACACATGCAGATGACCATTCTCACCAGCAATAGACTCCTCCCCTTCTATTCTGACCATGTGCTTCTGCCCATCTTCCTCCTCCTTAGCCGCGGCCGGCTCAGATTTGATCACTACCAGGAGCACTCAACCTGCCTGTTTTCGTGGGCTTACTTTCTCCTGGCCCTACCGCACTACTTCTCCCTTCGTGGAAGCCAGCATAGGACTAGTCGGGGGAACGTATCTTACCTCTACTCGAGAACGACGTACGTGGCTGCTCAGTTTCCTATGCTTTTTCCTCCACAGATTCTCTCGATCATAGTAACCGCCATAAGCACCCAATAGCTGCTTCCCGTTCCCCGCAAGGATACTTGACTGCACGCTCGAAGGCCTCCTCTAACAAATACCGCTCCAAGCCATACCACACCTCGCCGAACTTCCATTCAAATCCACGAGGGAGCCCCATGGACACAAGCTAACACCATCTAACTATAAACTTGAAAATTTCCCATCCCTCCTCCTAACCTACCGAAGACACGTTTGACTTAGTCATAGCGATACTAGGGGAAACAATGCTCGACGATGAGGAGTAGCTACTGCTGCCAATACTGTTCCATCCGTGCGTATAAAAATTGAGTGGCGTTCTCTCGAATGAACCCATCTGAAAATGTCCTCCTCAACCATCATCATCACCATCAGCGGCACTACTCTTCCATCATATTCCCGGAAATAGTGTGTTGGATTGTCCACTGAGCTGAGGGGGGAAGGGGGAGGGGGTCGTCCGTAACGACCCGGCTCAGAACTCTGGAATGGTGACTGTCGTCTTCAAGCCTGTTGTATCCACTTACCCTTGTTATCCACTCTACAGAGCATCCCGACTCCTCCCGACGGGTCGAGGGGTAGACTGAAAGACCTTCACCCTCACTGCTAAGGCAAATAGCTACCCTCATTGGCTTCAGAGTGCCGACGCTGTTGTATCATCCACATATAGTCTGGGGAGTGTACTCTGGAGCCTCTCTCCTGATAATCACCAATAAAACCCTTCCCAAGTGGCATCTTACTAAGTTAGTTGAGACGCCGAATTCATCCAGCAGTGAACTGTCCTGAATACGAAGCCCTTCGCAACACGCCTCAGACCGCCCTTCTTACCATAACCCTTTTATAGTTACTTTTACTAGTACTAGTACTACTACTGCTCACGAGCATTCCTCTCGAGGAATAAGGCAACATGAGGCCCTCCACTTGAGCCCCGGGATCCACCGTCCCAGTGGGCGGTCGGTCAAAGCCCTGCTCTGACATGCCAGGAACGAAATGACTAAAAATGAGGTAAAAAAAGTTCACCAAAATTTTCCCATTTCAAACGTACCACAGACAAGTGGGAATCTTCCAAAGAGAAACTCAACATAGTCGTCAAGGCCCCGAGAGAATCTCCGTAAATGATATCAAAGTCTAAGGAAAGTCTAAGGAAATTGTTCACCGTAGTGGAATTTACATTGCTCGAACGATCTTGCCCACTTAACATTCCTCAAGCCTACTCTTGCTTTGCGACACTAATTTCTCTGTGCCTGGTTCTTTTTCCGAAGCAACCCGTTGCAGCATAGTCTACTCATGGTGTCCTTACCGTATCTCGTTAGTGCTCTATTGTGTCGGCACTATAATGTTTTCATTTCCCATCCCTGAGCCACAAACCTCCACTGAGAGCAGATTCTCTAAGGTAGCCGCTACGAGGAAATGGTCCATCAGGCCAGGGTGTTTTCTGTTCTTGTGATGATGACTCAGTGAGAGTAGCTTGGCAATGAAAACCACAGACAAGCGGCTCTTACACTATCAGAAGCAAAGTTGTTCATTGTTATTCTTGAATGTTCGCTGATGCAATTGCATAGCAGCCAATAATCGATAGGCAGACATCTTTACAACTTCCCAACTCATGTGAGTCACTATGGGTCACGATCAGGCAACAACAACAGTTTTAGTGAACTTGTATGTACGTTGTTACACTCGTACTATCTTCAGCCACTATCAGATGTTCTCCTTGAGTAATGATCACATCGCAACGCATCAAGCCATCACAAGAAAATCATCGGAACAGTAGATTGGTCATCATCACATTCGTCATCAGAGGTGTATTCTATATCTTCGAAAGCTCTCTACTCCTTTCAGTGGCAGCCTTAACTGCTTCGATAGCTGCACTACGGAATCCATTACGCTCCAGGGCGGCGACGCCAGCGATCGTTGTACCTGTGAATCATACGGGGTCCGAGCCAATAACATTCGCGATTATTTTCTCACCAGCAGGACTGCACACACTATCCTTCAGCTCACCCGGGTGCCTGCCAGACTCCAATACCTGAACAATACTAGACGAGAAAAATGAAAAAATAAATTACCATTTTCCCTGCTCCCACACAGGTCTGCGCTGCCAGCTTCAACGCCTGAGCTCGAGGAAGTCCCTGTTGGACTGCACCGTCGGCGAGGGCTTCAATAAAGAGGAAAAAATAACTGCTTAAAATAGTAGTCACTACCAAGCGGCAGTCAACTCACGCAGGGCCACTTCCTGAGAGACCAGTCACCGCGTCGATCAGTTTTTCATCAATAGCAACGACGACGCCAGAGAAACATTCGAGCAACTTGTTCGCGAGGGCGCGATCCTGTTCCGTGCCTGGCACCACATTCATAATCACACCGTTCAGTGTTGGAGGAATATACGCTTGCTTTCCTCAGCTAAGCTTACGGGAGTTTATATACGAATTCGGGTGGAAATGTACAGAAACCAATAATAATCTCCCAAAGTTTCCTCAGAATTTCTATCTTGTCACCAACACATGTAGTTAACCATGTATATATTCTCCCACACTGACGCCGTTATTGAAAACTCCCGAAAATGTTTCACAATACCGCGTTAACTATCACTTAGCCGTTGGTATTACATGTAGCTCCCATGCAGAAAGCTGAAGCTCCAGCGCCAACGAGAGCTGGAGTATTAGGCATAACACGAACCTGAGCTGAGCTTCCACACCAACACACGTGAACAACAACGCGACTTACGATCCTTTGGCTCGGCATCAGCTGTGACAGCGTCTCGAGAGATACACCAGCGCAGATAGATATGATGAGAGGCTTTTGAGTGAAATTGAGTCCACTAAGAGCCGACTTCAACATCCTGAAAATTTCTGATGATTCAGCTATCAAGTTCGCGGTATAGAAGCTCTACTGTGGTTTGACTGCGACAAATACGACGTCACACTGAGCGGAAACAACATCAGCATTTGTGGCAGTGATGTGAATACCGGGATAAGTCTTTCGAAGATACCTGAAAATAGAGAAACTCATCGGTCTTCACTGAGGGCATTCAAGACTCACTCTTCACGGGACTGTAGCGGCTCGCTGATGATGACTTTGTTCTCCGCAGTGATTTGGGAAGAAAGCAAACCCTTCAGGAGAGCTTCACACATGTTACCACCACCGATGAATCCGACACTCAGAGGGGAGGACATTATATGCTTATGGATAATACGAAGCCTGCAAGTGTTAAAACCTATTTTCACTTTCCTCAGCTGAGCTCAAGAGTTTCCTAACGATATCATAGATTCTCACACGACTTGAGGGCAAAAGTGTGCGACAACCGACATCAACTCTCAAAAAGTTCCCAGAACTTCCTTAATTTCATCAACACGCTTCGTTGGCCATGTGAATATTCCGCCTTGGTGACACTCTGTAGAAAAGACACTAGACCCGTCCACATGGTGTACACCAACAAGTGTTGGAAAATATGTTCGCTTTCCTCAGCTGAGGTTAAGAGTTCCTCCACTGATTAGAGGAGTTTACATCCGTATAGGATCGTACAGGAATCAATGAGAGTTTCCGGAAATTTTATCAGAATTTCCATATTGTCACCAAAATATGAGTTGAACGTGTACATATTTCCCCACACTGACACGAACGTCTAAGAGAGGGAATGAATGCGCGCGATCAACACAGAGGAGGGAGCTTTGGAGACAGACGACACAACACAAGCCTTGGGCGTTCACTCAGGAAGCTTTTGATTCCGATCACGGCAACGACGATGACGATTCAGGCGGAACTCACGAAATTTCCAAGCGTTAACTTCACTCAGCTTCAGGTCCACTGCTGTAGGTATGTCATATATCGACGATTCGTCTCTGAGGAATACACTGTCGTTGCGCAGGGCGGAGGTTCAATCCGCTCACGTGTCGCTCGAGATGAATTGACTATCGCCACGAGATGGATCCTCAATCAGTCTCTTGTCCGTGAGGGGAGGCGACAGAGCCCAGGAGAGGAAGGGGAGGATCACACCAGCAGTCCAAAAAATGATAAGTAAGAATAACGTGGGAATTACAACTGCCCACCACTTCGATGGATAATACGTGATCCCAATCTGGAACAGGAAAAGTCTTGGAAGTGTGGTATCAAAAATACAGAACATTCCCAACATCGCTGAAATGATGCAATTCAATCATTGGAAACAATAACTTGAATAAAATTATCATGGACAGAGCAAACCACTTCCACCACTGTGTAAATTCTGATAGCAATAACAAGAGTGACGATGAAGATGTGGACTCACTTCTCTCAAATATCGATCCGGGATGAACGCCCATGCCAGATAGATGACACCAGCGACCAGACAAGCCACCCACGATACGAAGCCATACACCTCCACTGACTTGCTGCCTGGTGATGTAGGCTCAGCTGTGGCCTGCTGCTGCTGATAGAGAGTGTGCATTGGGGACAAGGACGATGAACGGTCATCAGCGAGTGACGCTCGGCGGCGGCGGCGCCGATGATCATCACGATGACGACGATCATCCTCTACTTCCCCACCAGGAATCATCTCCGAGGGTAGTGAACTGCCTGAATGTTATTGGCCGCTCACTCCAACACGAAAACTGAGATTGTGGTAAACGTAGATAAGTTTGACGGGGGGTCTATTAGATAGAGTCCTCATCGTTCACATCAATGTCCATCCTTTTGTACTTCACAGAGCCACTCACAATGCCTGACACTCAAAAGAAATGCATCATATGGTACGTTCCACCAACCCTCCAAGTACCTGCTTCCTCAAGTTCCCGATCATGCTTCTCTTGGAGATCAGCAACGAGCTTTTTGATCTCCTGACTTATCAGCTTCTTCTTGTCCTTATTACCCTTCTTGGGCAACCTCATTCTGAGCAGCCACACCATCAATATGATCATCAATGCCCCAGAATACGTAACAGAAAGGTACGCCTTGTGTGTACACTCACGGATGTAAGTCCGTAGCGTAAATTATAGAGCACGTGAATGGACTTCACAACAGGAAACATAACAAACTAGTAACGAGGACGATAAAAAGACGTTACACTGCTAAATTATGTCATCGATGAGCACACTCGGGAGAGGTTGATCGAAACCTGTGATGGTCCAAAGCGCTGCTGAGCTCCGTCGCTTGGTTTGTGGAGTCGTGTCGCTTGCAAGGCCCACGACAAGAAGACCAATGAGCATTTGTACTACTACTACTACTACTACTACTACTACTACTACTACTACTGCTACTACTACTACTACTACTACTACTACTACTACTACTACTACTACTACTCCTACTACTCCTACTACTCCTACTACTCCTACTACTCCTACTACTCCTACTACTACTACTACTACTACTACTACTACTACTACTACTACTACTACCGCTGCCTCTTAAGATCGGCCACTTGAACCTTCATTTTCTTCCACTCTTCAGTGTGCCTTCGGAATATCTCGTGATTGGAGACGGTCTTATCCCCATCAGTCTCAGCATTCTGCGCTGGCACCTACAACGAGAGGACAACGAAATCGTTGACGACTGCCCCAGAGATCCTTCGTTACCTTCTGGGAATCAGGTTGTTCCTCCTCGAGAGCGGCATCGGCCTCCACTACTGTATCGACGTCCATAGCGGTAGATTCGAAAGGAGTGGCTCTCTTCTTTTTGCCGGCGCTTCGTGACTTGCGAGGGGCCTTGGGCATTTCCAAGTGAAGACTTCCAAAATTTCACGATTGGTAGAAATTTTTGTAGAGAATCGAAACACCTTCATACTTGATGGCGCTAATCGCTTTACGTTACATAAAGCTGCTGAAAATATCCTACTTTCGAAAGGACCATGGTCCTCGGGCCCGCCGCGGCCCACCTGCTCTCATTTCTGAGATACTTGTTCATCGTCGGAAAATGTAACTCAGTTGTTATTTACCGTCGATTGAATGAAAGAAAAATACCTCGTCTGGGATTCGCACCTGCATCCATCACCCTGGACTAAAAAATGGTTTGCTTTCGAAAAGACCATTTCGCTCGCCCCATGCTCAGATAACAACAGTCTCTGCCTGGTTCCTGTGTTGCGGGCTCTCACTGACTAATTGAGTGGTATTTTGGGAGGTGAGCTGGAAAATATGGGCGTCTATCGATCCGGGCCACAATTTTCGCGCCCCGGCCAATCCCATCTTTTGGCCACTAATTTCGGTTATCTTGCCAATTGCGCAATGACGAATTCCGAGCGCGAGTGCGGTATCCCATACTCGCTACACAGTAAAGTGGAACGCTACGGGTGCTCTGCGTCGCCCGGAGTATGTCGGGAGTCACCCTGTACCAGTCTTGCCTTTGCTTGAGTTGATGGGCCTGCCCGACTCACATTCGAGTCGGGCACCTTCAGCCTGGTGGTTAGGGAACCCTCCGTGTGCCGCGGCTACAGGGCTTCAAGTGCAACGCAACTCGTTAGAAGCTTGGATTTCAGCTCATGCAAATTTTCAGTCTTCTAGTGTGTGTTCGTGTTATCTTAATGAACTAATCTTATGCTCCGCTCCGCAGCCTGCTGGCAATATTCACTGGCTAACTGATGATCGGCATACTCAGAGTATGATACTCTTCGGAGTCTTTGCTTTAGTGCGCTATCGATTGGTTTGTCCGAAGTTCCTAGCGTCTAGCTAATATGCGTGGTTTTACTGACAACGTAGCTGACATCTGTGTTTTTGGGTTTTTCACTTGGCAGAATATATCCCCAAGGTACTTAGCTGTTCATTCAATCACCATGACATAAACAACGCAACTTCGAATAGTGGCTCCTCTAACGATGTATGAGATCGTATATCACAACACAAATTATTTCCGACTATTGTTCACCGTGAGCATTCCTGCCATCAGTATCGCACTGAATAGTACACCAGCGAATGCACCAGCGAGATATCTGAAACCGCGCAATCCTACATCACCCTCGAAAGCGAGTCTCACTCTTTAGATAGAACAATCATTCCTCTCAGATGTTTCTCATTCGCTTCCTCGCTTTCCTCAGAGGCTGTCGAGCCCGACGTAGGTTCCAAGGCGCTGATCGGAAGTATAACCGTGAAAATTCACAACACAAGAACCTCGTAAATGCAGTAACTGGGTGGGAACGATATGTGAGGAGGAACGTTAACTGTAGGATTGTGAGGAACGTGAAAGTGACTCACGGGAGGACGATACTCGCCCGTAGGGTAGATCTCCTAGGGCTCCGAGATGGCGAAGTTGGCGATAGATTCAAGTTGAGACTCTGCCTAGATGGTTGATGGTGTAAAGTACTGTTACCTGAATTAATATAGCTCGTAAATGGAGACTCCGAACTATGCAAGTAAACAATACAATCGACGATGATTGACCAGAATGATGCTCTGAGTCAAAACACGAGCATCCTCTTGCCTACC